ATTCACTCGTTGCCTCACACATGGATCACTGACTCACTCACCCATTGATTGACCCATTTGCTTATTCGCTCATTCAGAGCAGTTAAGCTGTTCTTGGACTGCACTCCCATTCATTGACTCATTTACTCACTCACTAATTCGTTGTTCTATTCACTCACCCTACTATATGCATCCCTCCATACACTGGCCTATTCATCTGCTCATTAATTTGTTTCATTCATGAACTTATTTATTTACTTTTCCACTTTTTCCTTCTTTCATCGATGTATTAATTTCTTCACTCACTCAGTTTTTGGCTTGTTAACCAATTAATTCATTTGGTTGCTCATTCACTCATTGACTCGCTGGTTCATTCATTCCCTCATTGCTAATTAACTTTCAATCCTCCAGTAATTCACAAACTCATTCAGGGACTCAGTTATTTATTCTTTCATCCACTTGTGCCCCCATCTTTCACTTGTTGACTCCATGAGCTACTAGTCTGTCATTCATTCACCCCCTGACTTATTTATTCATCATTCTCCTTTTGACATGTTTACTTAAACATCATCTCATCCACTCATTGATTCACTAATTAATTCATCACGCATTTCTGCACGTATCCATTTGGCGAAGTGGACGTGTCAACTCACCGTCAGTTTGTTAACACATGTGCGTACTCCTCGACGTTTTCATCAGTATGCTTTCCTTTGTTTGCTCAAAGACTCATTCATTCACTAACTCATTGCTTCATCCAGTCATTTATCATTCATGCAATTTGTCATTCAATGAAGGTCTATGACTTGTGAGCTAGACTTAATGGGCAGAGCAGTAGACAAGGGTTTAGGACTCCTAACTTTATGGAGCTCACAGCCTAGCGAGATTTTCATTGGCTTAGGTGTCATCACCTTTGTAAAGCATCTGATACTTAAGATTGAGCCAAGGGTCCACCGTCTATGCTTCCAGAAAGTCCATCTACTTGCCCCATTATATTGAACTGTTGCATTTTATGAGTTGGTCTCTACCTAATCCCCAAGAGCAACGTGATAGCTGGAACTAGACTGAACTACGACCAACACAGAGACTCACATAGATTTGGGTCAACGATGAGCTGAAATTAACACCTCATCAGTTACTTTAGCACTCTCTTGGACACGAAGTGGCAAAACATTTTAGAATAGGGAATTCTTGGGGCGCCTGGGTGGCTCAGTCGGTTACGTGTCCAATTTAGGCTCAGGTCATAATCTCACGGTTTGTGGGTTGGAACCCCGTGTCCAGCTCTATGCTGACAGCTCGGAGCCTGGAGTCTGCTTTGGATTCTGTGTCTCCCTCTCTCTTCTCCTCCTCCACTCATTCTCTGTCTCTCTCTGTCTCAAAAATAAAGAAAGGTTAGAAAAATTTTTTTAAATAGAATAGGGAATTCCTGCCACCACCTCCAAATAAATGAGATCGTAAGTATTTGTACCTGAGATAGAGGAAAGAAATAATCCGGCTAAGTAGCAGGCAAAAATACCTCAATTATTTCAGGACAGCAGGCAGAGCAGTACTGCATACTACGCATTACTAAGACAAGGATGGAAAAGGTAAATGTTTTATTTCATAAATGTCAATGGTGCAAAACTATAATGACCTTAATCCTTCTTTCAAATCACATTTTCATCACTGGTCCAGGATTTTGCTTCCTTCAGTCTAGATTTTCAAAGACTGATTTACTAAACAGCTACAGCAGCAGCCACAATAATATTAACATCCATGAACCCACCAAAGTACAAGAATGAAAACTAGGAATATTTTAACAACTGTGCCTGTCCTCATTATACACAGAGGGGAAGATTAAATCTTTTCCATTAAATAGGTCTCAGAGAAGCAAAATTGGGTTGATCCTAATTCTTGTTTCATAAAATTTTATCATTGGGACACCCTTTGCCCCTTTAATTTTCTTTACATACGGATTTTTCCTTGTTTATTATTTTAGACAGTTACTCCTTTTCAAAAGTAAAGTCAACAGCGAAGGATTTATTTCCAAACAAGAGGCGAAATTTCTACAAGGATGTCTCTTTACGTACTCCTAAAACCAAGTGCTGAAATCATTGACCCAAATGAAACAAATCTTTGTCTTGGGAATACTCCCATGATTTGTCAAGAGTAACCATCATAATTTCACTAGCGGATTTACATTTAACCTGCTTAATTATTTGTTATTTTAATAAAATTTTAAAAAACAATGAAAACACAGCCAGTGCAAGGACAAGATCTTTGACTATGACTAGAATGTGTCTATAATCTTCTTAATCTGAGATGGAGCAGTCCACCTACGTTTTGAATGGAAATTTTTTCCATTCAAACGAATAAAGCACAACCTTGTCAGGACAAATTCTTATCATCAGTCCATGCAAAGTCTTCTTTGATTTCATGTTATGATTGTCTACGGCCATACCACCCTAAACGTGCCCGATCTCGTCTGATTTCATGTTAAGATTGCACGAAGCCATTTATTTTTTTTTAAATAATATAAGTCATCATCCATAAATGAAATGACCAAGCCAAGAATAAAAACTTAATCTACTAATTACCCTAATTTATTTATTTATGTATATCCAAGTTAGTTAGCATACAGTGCAATAATGATTTCAGGAATAGATTCCAGTGATTCATCCCCGATGTATAACACCCAGTGCTCATCCCAACAAGTTATATTCCATACTTTTTAATCACACAGACAACTCTAAATACTCTATACAGACAATCCCAACAAAGATAAGAATTTGGAGTATTACTCACATTGAACCATCAAGGTCTTGACCATTACAGAATGATTACCATCTCAAGTGTGTCCATTCTATAGAGTGGAAAGTAGATGGGGAAAAAAAGGAAAACGAACATGAATTCTTTTATTTTATTTTTTTAAGTTTTTATTTAAATTCCAGTTAATTAACATACTGTGTAATATTAGTTTCAGGTGTACAATATTGTGATTCAAAACCTCTATACAGATGTCTAGACATGTATTTATGTATTTTTCATCATCCTTGACTCTTACACCACCAGGCACTATCAATGGTCCAACTTTGTGAATTCTTTTCATTTATATTTTGTCTATTGATTTACTCATTAATTTACTACTTACTCGTGAAGAAACATGCATGAATCCAAAATTAAAAATAAAAACAGAATAAGAGCCCTGATATCCCTAATGTCTACATATGAAATCACTTCCACAGACATTAGCTCTGTGTCTTCATTGCCCTTTGTGTTTCACATATGGACATCTCAACATAGTGCTTTGCACCATTCCCATGTTTATTACTGGATCATGTACGGCCTTCTTTGATCATATTTCCTACTTCTTAAAAATGCACTGACCACTCCTAAATTGCCCAAACCAAGACAAGAACTTTGAATGTTACTCACACACACGGGTCTCCATGCTCCAAAGGCAACTATTGAGTCCGAGGCCATGGCAGAATGCCAAAATTGGCAAGGCAGTGCCCATTCTGAGGAGTATAAGAGCAAGGAGAAAATAAAGTTTGAGATCTTCTACCCATCAGTCCTTTGTATTCCACCTTTCGTTCCCTCAGGCATTTAGTATTTATTAATTTATGGTGTATCTGCTTACTTTTCTCCGTATTACCCATTCCAGACTAGACTAATAGTATCTTTCTTCACTACATCTTTTCATAATTTGGAATACACCTCACTCTTTCATCGTTAATCATTTAAACATCTTTAGTGATCCTTCCATTGATTCTTTTATATTGATTTAATCATAATCCATGAGCCATAAAATTAGAAGCAAAAGATTCTTACGTATCTCTCACATAGTATAGAATAGTATAGACTAGATTTCTATTGTATTAGTGTTGGACCTCAGAGTTCCAGACATGTAGTAGTCATCATCCATGACTCATACCGCCACCAGTAGTCATCATTGATCCAGACATTAATTCATCAAGTCACTAATAATAATAAATACCTAAAGTCATAAAATATGATAATAGGATCCTTAAATATCTGTCTATAGAATTATTACTCATGGAACTACATCTCTTTTGTTGTTTTATTTCAATGTTGCATTTAAGGAGTAATCAAGACAATGTTTCATATCAACCCCATATTTATAATGGGGTCATTGTCAATCTACCGAAATCATATTTCATATTTTTAAAATGATACAATGAATGCCTGAGTGCCTTAAAAAACAAAAAAGACTGAAAACCAAGACAACAGCCTTGACTATTACTTACATTGGTCTCCATGCTCGTAACGCAGAGACATAACTATGGAACTCCTGATCATGGAAGATGCTTACACCAGCTTGAGGGTGTCCATTCTAAGGAGTACAGAGCAGGGGAGGTGATAAAAAAAAAAGATTGAGACATTATCACCATTGGTCTTTGTAGTCAATCATTTGGGTGGTTATTTGGGATATCATTTTACCTTCTCTTAAGTAAACAATATCAGTCTTGTCTCTGACATAGAATGTGAACCCTAACTATCAGTAACACCGCCTTTATCATCCTTAAAAAGCAACACCTTGGGGCGCCTGGGTGGCTTAGTCGGTTAAGCGTCCGACTTTAGCTTAGGTCATGATCTCGCGGTTCGTGGGTTCGAGCCCCGCGTCGGGCTCTGTGCTGACTGCCAGCTCAGAGTCTGGAGCCTGTTTCAGTCTGTGACTCCCTCTCTCTGACCCTCCCCTGCTCACGCTGTCTTTCTCTCTCTCTCCTAGAAATAAATAAAAATATTTAAAAAAAAAAAAAGCAACACCTTTATGCCACTTATTTCCTAGTGAATATCAGAGTTTTTAAGATATATCAACAATATGTCTTGCCTTAGCATATATTTTTATATGGGACAATGTTTAATCTTATTCGTACTTATATATTTTTTGGTTTGGCCATTGGTCCAATTATAATAATAGTTTGAAAATGCAGGAACCCAAAGATCAAAATAAAATAATTGTTTACTTCCAACATCTGTTTATAGAATTATTTCAAGAGAAAATGGACCATATTTCTTTTGTGTTGGACCTCAGAGTTCCAGACATGTAGTATTCATGGTATATGACTCATACACCACTGGCCGTCATCATTGATCCAAGATTAGGCCACGTCCTCTTCTCTCATTTCTACAATATTTATTGATTAACTCATTAATTCACTAATTGTACTTTTAAACACTATGACTCACAAAAACTGAAAAGAGGTCTGATATCCTTAATCTGTATACAGAATTGGTCTCATATATCAATATACGTCTTTCATTAGTATCTTCAGTTTTTCATATATGCATCCATCAATATAATGCTTCATATCTACCCTGGGTTTATCACTAGGCTACACGTGGCCTTATCTGATTGTATTTCAAACTCTGTTACACAGTGAATACACTTAAACAAAAAAAACCCAAACTAAGAGAAGAACTTTGATTATTACTTACACTGGTCTCCATGCTTCCAGCAAACAGATGCAGCCAGGAGTTCAAGGCCATGGAAGATGCTTACATCAGCTCAATTGAGTCCATTCTGAGGAGTACAGACCAGAACAGATGACCAAAAAAATTATGCCTTCTCTCCACTGATACTTGTTTTTCATCTTTAATTCAGATAGTCATTTATGCGATCATTAATTTCAAGTATATTTATTTTATTTCCTCTTAAGAAAACAATTTTGAACTCGCCACAGACCCAGACTATAAACACTGTCTACAATTTATAATGTCTATATTATCCCTAACATAAGAGGTCACAGTCAAATACCCTTATTTGTCCTTGGACTTCAGTGTTTTCAAATATATATTAATAAGCATTTCTTGTTTGATCACATATTTTTATAATTGGTCCCTGCTTCACATCATTTATCTTTTTCTATTTCTCTCTTTCTTTTTTGCTTTCAATTCATTTATCCAATAATAGTAATGGAATGAAAAACCATGAACACAAAGACCAAAAAAAAGTCTTTGTGTATCCCTGACATCTGTATGTAGAATCCTTTAAAACAAAAGGAATGGACTAGATTTCTCTTCTGTTGGACCTCAGAGTTCCAGACACGTATTCATCATATATGACTCCTATGCCACCAGTGGTCATCTTTGATCCATTACTGTCCCTCTTTTTCTTCATTCATTTATATTTATTCACTGTTCATTAATTCACTAATAATAATTTGTAATCATTTTGATTCACAAAAACCCAAGAAGAGTTTTTATGTCCCTAATCTGTATAGAGAATAATTCTTACATCAATCTCTTTCAGTAATTAACCTCAGTTTTATGTACGTGCAGTTATCAATATAACACACCATCTCAGTCTCGCACTTATCCTTACTCCACAGTTGGCCATCTTCTTAATAATAAACACTCTTAGACAAGTCATCCAAACCAAGACACTCTGACTATTACTCACGCTGGTCTCCATGCTCCTAACACACATATGCAACCGCAGAGTTCATGACCTTGGAAGATATTAAATCAGCTCAAGTGTGTCCTCTCTGAAAAGTACAGAGCAGAACAGGTGATTAGTTAAAAACAAAAGAAGAGGGGAGCCTGGGTGGCCCAGTTGGTTGAGCATCCGACTTCAGCTCAAGTCATGATTTCATGGTTCGTGGGTTCAAGCCCCACATCAGGCTCTGTGCTGACAGCTAGCTCAGAGCCTAGAGTCTGTTTCGGATTCTGTATCTCTCTATCTCTCTCTGACCCTCCCCTACCCACGTTGTCTCTCTCTCTCTCTCAGAAACAAATAAAAACATTTAAAAAAGAACAAAAAGTAAAACAGATCTTATCTCCACTGACCCTTGATTTCTGCATTTCAGTTACTCATTGATACGTTTATTAATTTTTCATAAATATTTTTTTTCTCTTAACAAGAGGAATAATCTCAACCTTGGGTATGATTGAGAACAATAAAATTGACTCTTACTAAACAATGTCTACATCATCTTAAACCAGAGATAACATTTTTAATCCATTCATTTCTTTATGAACATCAGTGTTTACAATTTTTATTAATAATAATTTTTGCCTCACCACATGTTTATTATTGAAAATCACTTTATCCTCTTCTTCCTTATATATTTATATTTGGTTAATGGTTCTACCATTGATTCATTAGTAATAGTGAATCTAAATCTATGACTCTACAATAAAATACCTGATATCTGTATATTCTTGACATTTGTCTATTGGATTATTTCAAACAGGAAATAGACTACGTATACCAGTCATCATTGCTGGTCCATGCTAGACCCTCACTCTCTTTGTTTTACATTTGTGCTCAATTAAATCATTAATTTATAGACATTAATAAAAAACACATTATTCAAGAAAACATGAGCACAAGATCCTTGAATATCCGTAATGCTGTTCTATAGAATCCTTTCCCATATACACTCTATTTTTTCCATTTGTTTCATTAATCAACAATAAGAATGTTTCCTATTAAATCTATGATTGTGCCTTGAATAACTTTTTTTATTATGTTTAATACTTTTTAACAACGCTGGGAATACTCTTAAGCAAATGATTAAAATCAAGCTAATATCATTGACTATTACTCACCTTGTTCTCTTTCTTGACAGAGATAACATAATTTTAAGCATGGCAGAAGCTAAAATCAGCTTAGTACATCCATCTGCAGAGTACCAAGAAGACACCATGATTTTTAAAAAATGAGACATTCTCCCCATTGACCCACAATTTTCATCTTTCATATGCTTAGTCATTTAAGTGTTTATTAATTTATGGTAATGCTTATTTTCCTCTCAATACAACAAACCTCAAACTCGCAAGTGACTCAGAGCGATACTGACTACTACCTGTCACCACCTATGTCACCCTTCTTCAAAGATGTAATACACTCGGTCCATTTATTATCCATTCTGGTGAATAAGTATTCATTTTCCTGACTATATATTTTAGTAATGAACAATGCTTCACCCTCTTTATCTTTATTCATTTCTACACTTGCAAATGTAGTCTTGTCATTGATTCTTTTCTAATCATATTTTAAGATGCATGAACACAAAGACCAAGAAAAAGATCACAGGAGAATGCTGAAATCTGCATTCTTAAAAGAGTATGAATGGATTCGAGTCTTTTTGTGTTAAACCTCAGAGTTGTAGACACGTAGGATTCATTGCATGTAACTCAAGAGCTGCCCATGATCATCACTGGAACATGGTTGCCCATCTTCATTCTCGTCTACATTTGTTTATTAATTAATAACTGGCCATCTTCTTAATAATATGGTGAATACTCTTAGACAAGCCATCCAAACCAAGAATAAGAATTCCACAGAAGAATAAGCTACTTGAATATGCCACAACACCTACCCATAGAATCATTCACAGAAACTAAATCTATTTCATTTAACTGAACTCAATGTTCCATTTATGAATTAAGTGATATAATGCTTCATATCAATCTGATACTGAACACCACTACAGTTGGCCTTCTTTGGTTATATTCAATACTTTCTAACAATGCAGTGATAAACTATACAAATGATCCCTGAAAGTATAGAATAATAATGCTATCACAGTGATTAATTTAATAATAATAGTGAATATTTTTTTAAAAAACATCACTCAAACTAAGTCAAGAGATTTCAAGAACTCACATTGCTCTCCATGCTCCTACCACAAAGTTATGACCAGTTCGTGACCTTGGCAGAGTCCTTAAATCAGATGGACTCTGTCCATTCTGAGGAGTATAGAGCATCATAGCAGATGATTTAAAGAAAATGAGAAATTCTCTCCACTGTTCCTTGCTTTTTACCTTCATTTGGTTAGTCATTTTGGCAAACATTATCTGCATTATGTTTGTTTACTTGTCTCATAAGAAAATGACCAACTTTGAACTTGAGACTGACCCAAAGCATAAACATTTTCTATAATTTATATTATCTGTATCACCATTAGCCAAGAAGGAAACAGTCATGTACCATTTATTTCGATTCAAATTTCAGTGTTCTCAACTTATATAAAAGTACTTTTGTCTTGTCACATATTTTTACAATTTTATAATAGGGAAACTTGTTCTTTATGTATTTATTGCATAATTATGCGAGGCCCCTTTATCTTCATTTATTTCTAAATTTGTATCAAATTAAATCATTAACTCACTGATAATAATAAAATATATATGATTCACAAAAACACAAGAATAAGATCCTTGAATATCCCATTCCTTAACTTAACTTCAATGGAAATGTTTCTCAATACATTGTACCTTTTTCATTAAGTGTCTACAATGTTACACATTATCAATTACTCAGTATTTCCTATCACATTAATCAATGGGCCATATATAGCATTTTAATTTCTATTTAACACTTTAAGATAACACAGTGAATACTTTACACAAATTACTGAAATCAAGACAAAACTTTGTCTATTAGTCTGCTTTGCTGTCTTTCTGAAAACGGAAGTAATATAACAATTTTGATGATGGAAGAAGGCTTAAATCAGCTTGTTGTTTCTGAAGAGTATCGAGCAGAAAAGATGATTTAAAAAAATTGAGACATTCTTTCCACTGATCTGTAATTTCCATACTCTGTGTACATTGTAATTTAGGTATTTATTAATTTATAGTAAAATTTATTTATTTTTCTCTCAACACAATAAGCATCAAATTCACAGCTGACTCAGGGTAATACTAACTACTACTTATCACTGCCTATGTCACCCTTACTCAAAGATGTAGTACACTTAGCCTATTTATTATCCATTCCAGTGTATATAAATATTCATTTTCCTGAATATATATTTTTGTAATGAACAATGCTTCACCCTCTTCATCTTTATTCATTTATACATTTGCTAATTTATTCTGCCCTTGACACTTTCGTAGTTACAGTTTTATAATTCATGAACACAAAGATTACTAAACAAAAGATTACTGGATACTCCTAACCTCTGCCTATAGTACCACTGAAAATATAGGGAATAGACTAGATTCCTCTTGTGGTGGCCCTCAGTGTTCCACACTCATTATTCATCCTCGATGACTCATACACCACCAGTCATCATCATTGGTCCATGATTGGCTGTCTTTCTGTCCACTCTCATCTACATTTCTTTATTGACTAATTCATTAATGAATAAATATGCATAAATCACACCAAAAATTAATATCTTTCAATATCCCTAACATTCATCAATAATATCATATATAAACAGACTAATCTTTGGTATTAACTGAACTTAACGTTTGTTTTTTTATGGATTAATCATTTTACTATTTCATATCAATCTGATATTGCACATTAGCATGGTTGGCCTTCTTTGAACCACTTATACCAAGACAAGAATTTTGACTACTACTCACATTGATCTCCATGCTCCCAACACATAGATGCAAACATTGTGACTGTGGTTGAATCCTTAGATCAGCTCAAATGTGTCCTTTCTGAGAGGAAAGAGCAGAGGAGATGATAAAAAATTAAGACATTTATCCATTGATCCATAGATTATACCATTCATTTATACGGTCATTCAGGTATTTATTATGTTAATAGAATTCTTCTTAAAACATCAAATGTCAAATTTCAAAGTGACTCACACAATAACTGTTACTTATAATGTTCTATTACCATCCTTGCATCAAAGACAAAACACATTTGACAAAACGGTCCATTTACTATCCATTCCAAATCCTAATGATGCCATTTTCCTTTGTACCTTCCTGATATCCAGTTTAAAAGGTCAGTTCAAATAGAGGTACTGAACTAGATTTCTTTCATGTGGGACCTCAGAGTTCCAGAAACGTATTCATCATACATGACTCATACACCATCAGTGATCATCATCAATTCAATATTGTCCCTTCTATTCTTCATTTATTTCAATGAGTTTATTGATTACAGAATTCTTTCACAAATAACAATTTTAAATGCTGTCATTCATAAAAACCCAAGAAGAGTCTTTACGTCTGTAGTCTACATACAGAATTATTCTCACATCCATATATTTCCCATTATTACCTATTTCCTGTATACATATTAAACACAATAATGTTAACTATATCCCATTTTTATCACTGAGATACAGTTATATTCTTTAAAAATACTTTTCATCTTTATACAAATAATCTTAAAATAGAACACTGAAACCAAGACAATAACCTCAACTGTCACTCACATTAATTTCTGCCCTCCTATTACAGAGAGGCAACCGTAGAGCTCTTGACCATGGAAGATGCAAACTCAGCTCAAATGCATTGTTCTGAGGAACATAGAACAGAGTAATGGTAATAAATAAATGGGGGCACCTGGGTGGCTTAGTCGGTTAAGCGTCCGACTTTCGCTTAGGTCATGATCTCGCGGTTCGTGGGTTCAGGTCCCGCGTCGGGCTCTGTGCTGACTGCCAGCTCAGGGCCTGGAGCCTGTTTCGGAGTCTGTGTCTCCCTCTCTCTCTGACCCTTCCCTGCTCACACTCTCTCTCTCGCCTAGAAATAAATAAAACATTAAAAAAATATATAAATAAATAAATGTATGAAAAAATAAATAAATAAATAAATTGAGACCTAATTGCCACTGATCCTTGCTTATTGAATTTTATTAATTAGGTTTTTATTACTTCTTCTTAATATGTATTTTTTATCCTAACAAACGAAAGACTGACCTGGAAACATAAAACTCACTCTTCCTCATCAGTGTCTAAATGATCTTTAGCCATTTGATCCATTAATTTCTTTTATTTAAATTTTCTAAATTATGTTCATCTATTTTGAGAGAAAGACAGAGTGCGAGCGGGGAGGGGCGGAGAGAGAGGGAGACAGATCCAGAAACAGGCTCCAGGCTCTGAGCTATCAGTGCGGAGCCTGACTCGGGGCTTGAACCCACAAGTGAGAGATCATGACCTGTGCTGAAAGTCAGACGCTCAACCGACTGAGCCCTTCAGGCGCCTCTGACCCATTAATTTCTTAATGGGTATCAATAGTTTTAAAATTATTAATGATATCTTTTGCCTCACCACATGTATTCATAAGTGGACCGTGCTTCACTTTCCTTTTAATATATTCATTTATATTTCTTTAATAGTTCTATCATTATTCCATTAATAATAACTAATCTATGTTGAAATCAATACAAGAAAAGGATCTTTGTATATTACATGGAACCAATTTCAACAGAGTAAGGAGAGTGATTATGTCCCACAGGAGACTTGAGTTTCAGACACATATTTTCATCATTCTTGACTCCTATGTTTCCAACCCATCATCACTGGTCTCTGACTGAGTCTATTTTCCTTTGTTCATGTCTACATTTGTATCAATTAAATTATGAATCCATTAATAATAATAAAAATAATACATGGTTCATAAAAACCCAAGAACAGATTCTTGAATATCCATAACATCAGTTTACAGAATCATTTCCCACGTAGACTATACCTCTTTCATTAACAGACCTCCATCCGGGGGCGCCTGGGTGGCTTAGTCAGTTAAGCGTCCGACTTTCGCTTAGGTCATGATCTCACGGTTCGTGGGTTCGAGCCCCGCGTCGGGCTCTGTGCTGACTGCCAGCTCAGAGCCTGGAGCCTGTTTCAGTCTGTGACTCCTTCTCTTTCTGACCCTCCCCTGCTCACGCTGTCTCTCTCTCTCTCCTAGAAATAAATAAAACATTAAAAAAAAAATAAAAAAATAAAATAGACCTCCATCCTGTACATTAAAAATCAACATAATGTTTCCTATCATATGTATCATTAGGTCATCATAAACTTTTAAGCTCTTTTAGTAATTTTTAATAATCCCATAAATACCCTTAAACAAATGACCAAATCCAAGATGGCAACTTTGACCATGACTCACGTTGGTCTCTTTCTATACACAGAGGCATCATGACTATTTTGATGACTGCAGATGCTGAAATCGGTTCCAGCATCCATTCTGAAGAGTACAAGCAGATTAAAATGTTGAGATTTTCTCTCCATTGATTCATAGTTTCCACTATTTGTTCACATAGTCATCTGGACATGTACTAATTAAAGATAGTATTTATTTTTCCCTTAATAAATGTCAAAGTTTTAACTAACTCAATAGGTAACTATTATCACTGCCTGTCATTCTCACTCAGGACATCTACATCTTTGATCATTGTATTTTCCATTCCAATTATACTTGCTTATTATATATTTTAACAATAAACAGTATTTAACCCTCTCCATATTTGTTCATCTACATTTTTATGTATCCTACTATTGATTTTTTTACTGAAGTACAGTCAACACACAATGTTACTTTAGTTTCAGGTATACAACATAGTGACTCAATAACTTTATATAACTCTGTATATATGACACTACGCTCATCACAATAGGAGCTACCATCTGTCACCATAGAATGCTATTACAATACCATTGACTGTGTTCTCTACACTGTACCTCCCGGGACTTATTCATTCCATAAATGAAACCTGTACCTCCCTCTCCCCCTCACCCATTTAGCCCCTTCTCTCAGCTCCCTCCCCTCTAGCAACCACCAGTTTGCTCTCTATATTTCCACCATTGATTTTTTAAATACTTTTAAATATTCATGGACACAAAGAACATGATCCTCACATATGGCTGACGTCTCTCTATAAGATCAGTTCAAATGGGGACAAAGAACTAGATTTCATTTGTGTTGGCCCTCAGAGTTCCAGACCTGCAGTGTCGATCATCCAAGATTCTTATGCCTCCCCCTCCCATCATTTATCCAGGTATGTCCTTGATTATCGTCAATCCTGTCCACATGTTATTAATTCATCAATTCACTGCTGCCAATAAAAGAAGTACCTAGGGGGTCAAAAAAAATGGAAACAAGACCCTTGAATATCTCTAATATCTGTCTATAGAATTGCTTCATGCAGTCCTCTATCTTTCATCAATGCTCTCAAAATTTCCTACAAACACTAATTAACATAATGCTTCTTAAGATCATTTTTCTTTTTAACATGTTTGGAAATTACTGATCATATGTCACACTTTTTAATAATGTGAAGACATTTTTTTTAAACCACAAAATGAAGAAACGAATTTTGACAATTACTCTCACTTTGCTCTGTGCTCCTCAGCCATAGATGCAACCACAGGGCTCTTAACTATGGGACAATGTTTAAATCAGCCGAGGGGGGCCATTCTAAGGAGGACAAGGCAGAGCAGAGGATACAAAGATTGAGACCATGTGTTCATTCATCCCTGTGTTCCATCTTTCCTTCAGTCATGTAGGTAGGTAGTGATTTGGGATAATGTATACTTTATTTTTCTTAAGTGAATGAACGATATTGATCTTGTCCCCGACAGAAAACTATTACTTCTGAATATAGAATTGTCAAAAAATAGATGTGAATGTATCTTTCATAATAGATCTTTGTTTTCAATATGTAGAAATAGCATTTCTTGCCAAACCACACATTCTATTAACTGGATAAAGTTTCACTACCTCTGTCTTTATATATGTGCTTATTGATTATTTAATTGAACTAATTAAAATAATATAAATGCATGAATGTAAAGGCCAAGACAAGATTGTATGTATTCCTGATGTGTGTCTATAGGATCCCTTGAAACAGGGGCAATGGACCAGAATTTATCCGTGTTGGACCTCAGAGTTCCAGATACATCTTCATCATATATGACTCAAACACCATCAGTTGTCATCATCGATCTAATATTGTCCCTATTCATTCATTTCTACGGTGCTTATTGGCTAATTCATTAATTCACTAATTATTTTGAAACCCAGTTATCACCAAAAACAGCCCTGAAATCCCTCTTCTGTATATACAAACTTTCCACGTCTATATATGGCTTTCTTTAAATATCCTATGTTTTTACATTTCATATCATTTCAATACTTATCCACAGGGCTACAGCTGACCATCTTTATTCAATATGCCACTTTTAAAAGACACAGTGAACAACACCCTACCCAAAAAAATCACTGAAACCCACAGAAGAACTCTGACTCTTACGCACATTGGCCTCTCTGCCACCAGGTCTTGCTACTTAAGTCAGGTCAAGTATGTCCATTCTGAGAAGAACAAAGCACAGCAGATTAAAAAAAAAAAAAAAAGTTAATTCTTATTCCCATTGATCCTTGATTTCCACCTTTTTTACCCACTCACTTAGGAATTTATAAATTATTCCTTGTATAAATACTTTTATCTCAACAGAATGAACAGGAGCAAACTTGAACCAAACCCACAAGAAAAAAATTGGCTCGGAACGAACCGTGTTAACGTGATCCTTAGTCAAATAGGTAAAAGTCCTGATCCACTTATTCCTTAATGAGTTTCATTCAGTGTTTTCAATTGTATTGATTAATATCACACACCTGTTCACATACATTCATATTTTAACAATGCTTCACCCTTTCTTCTTGATTTATTACGTGCCTTTCTTTTATGGTCCAAGTATTAGTCCAGTAACAATAATAAATCGAAATCTATAAGCCCAATTCCTATATTGGGCATATTCCTAACATCCATCTATAAGATTAAATAAACAGAATACACTAGGTATTATACTAGACCTTGACATCCAGACACATAATATTCATTGCCCATGACTCATCCACCACCATTCACCATCACTGGTTCATCATTAGGCCTCTTTCTTGTGATTCTCATAAACATTTGCTTATGGCTTCACAAAACTAATAAATACACACCATTCAAAATAAAGAAAGATCCTCAATAGCCTTAATCTCTATCCTTACAATCTTTTCCAGAGACTAACTCTGTTTCAAAACTGACCTCATTATTTACATTTAGGGATTCATCACCTTAATGTACCATATCAATTTGATATTTTACACGGGTGTATTTTGCCTCCTATGCTTATATCTGGAACAACACAGTGAATGCCCTTAAACAAACCACCGGAGCTCAAGCATTGACATCTCTCACACTGATCTCCGATGTTCTTAACAACATGGATGGACTCAACTAGAGAGCACGTGACCTTGGAAGAGGCTTATGTCAGCTCAAGAGGGTCCATTATGAGGAGTACAGATCAGAGCAGATAATCATAAAGTGAGGCACTCTTTGGATGGAAAAAACATTTCTTTTCTGCTGGACCTCAGGGTTCTGGAAACACACCATTCATCATGCACGACTCATACGCTGCCAGTTATCATCCCTTATCGAAAGAAGTCATGGTCTCTTCACTTATTTCTACATTGTTTCTTGATTAATTCATCAATTCACTAATTATAATTTTGAAACTAGTATTAAAAAAAAAGGCCTCGCTACCCCTCGTATATGACTAGAATCATTCTCACAACAAAAGAACTCTGTCACTATCTTCAGCTTCACATGTATGAATTAATCAAAATAATAGTTCATATTAATCCCATAATTGTTACTAAGATACAGTTCATATTCTTTGATTACATTTCATACCTTTTTCCGATACAGTGAATATTCTTAAACAAAATACCAGAACAAAGGTAAGAACTTGGATAATTACTCACATTCTCCAGACTCACCTGTAACAGAACCACAATCCTAGATAGAGCTCATGATCAGGGAGGAATCCTTAAATCAGGTCTAGCTTGTCTGTTATGAAGACAGGGCAGATGATACAAACATGAGACATTCTCTCCAGAGATTGTTGCTTTTCACTTTTCTCTTAGCAAAGTACTTAGATCATCACTAATTTGGTATAAATATCTTTTTCTCTTAGGAAAACAAACAACTGTGATTTTACCACTGACCCAGAATCTGAATATTGTCTAGGACTTATATTATCTATGGCACCCTTAGTCACCCCAGGAAAAGTCACGTACCATTTACTTCCTATGCAGGGTTTTCACAGTGCATTAATAGTATTTCTTGCATAATCACATATTTTTATAATTGGACAATGCATTACTGCATTCATATTAATTTATATATTTATTTATGGATTCTCTCATTTATCCAATTATAATAATAAGATGAAAATGCATGAACTGTGAGACCAAAACCAACATCTTTATATATTCCGGACATGTGTCGAGAAGATCACTTCACAATATGGAAATGGACTGGATGTCTTCTGTTGGACCTCAGAGTTCCAGACACTTATTTATCGCAAACGATTCATGCACCACCAGTGGTCATCATCGATCCAAAATTGTCCCTCTTTTCCTTCATTCATTTCAATTTTTTACTGATTAAATTATTAATTCACCACTAACAATTTCTAAAAACTGCAATTCACCAAACTCCAAGGAGAATGATTATATTCCTAATCTGTATATAGATACTCCCATATCAATGTATCTCTCTCATTAATATTCCTCAGCTTTCCACATGTGGGTTAATTAATACAATTTTGCTAGCCCATATTTATCACTGAGATAACTGCCTTCTTTAATTATGTTTTGTTTATGTACCTTTAAGTACTGCAGTGAATTATCTTTAAAAAAAAAAAACCCATTTAACCAAGAAAAGAACAACTGTTACTCACATTCCTCTGCGTCCTCCAACTATAGAGAGTCCACCACAGAGCTTGTGCCCATGAAGATATGAAATCAGCCCAAGTGCATCTATTCTGAGGACAGAGCAGAGCAAGTGATAAAAATAATGGAGACTGAATTGCCATTGATCCTTGCCTTTTATTTCCTAGACTCAGGATTTAGATATTTCATTTTTATCTTTATATATAAAATATATATTTTAGGGGCTCCTGGGCGGCTCAGATGGTTAAGTGCCCAACTTCAGCTCAGTACATGATCTCACAGTTCGCGAGTTCAAGCCTCACGTCAGGCTCTGTGCTGACAGATGGAGCCTGGAGCCTGCTTCAGATTCTGTGCCTCCCTCTCTCTCTGTCCCTCCCCCACTCATTCTCTGTCTCTCAAAATGAATAAACATTAAATTAATCTAGAATTTCAGACTTGTAGTATTCATTGTGTATGACTAATATGCCACTCGTCATCCATGCCTCTTTCCTTTCTTTCTCAAAAACATTTGTGCATTGAGTGAATCATTAATAAAGAAATAAACAAAATAAGAATAAGATCCTTCAATTCCCCTCCCATCCATCTGTAGAATCATCTCCACGGAGAGCACTCCGTTACTACTAGCTAACCTCAGCGTTACATGTATAGAGATACACAGGCGTATTGTATCTTCCTTGATAAATTTTTAAAGAATGCTTTTGGATACTTTCGAATAATACAGTAAATACCCTTAAACGAGTGACTCAAACCAAGACAAGAACCCTATTACTCACTCATGTGGTCTCCAGGCTCCTATGATATAGATGCAACCTGAGGGCTCGTGACCTTGAAGAATGTTACGATCACCTTGAGCGCATCCATTCTGAGGAGTGTAGAGCAGAGCAGAAGGTAAAACATGAGACCTTCTGCCATTTACCCTTGATTTACATCTTTCCTTTAGGCAGGCATTTAAGCAATCATCATTTGGAGTCTATTTCACTTTTCTCCTTAGAAAATGAACTACTTTGAACTTTCCAAAGAGGTTACATTCATGAACCATTTGTTTCTCTTTGGGCCTTAGTGTTTCCAAATATATTCATAGTATTTCTCGTCTCCCACGTATTTTTTAAGTGAACAAGCTTTCTACAATTCAGCTTTTTCAAATATGCATTTCCACACTGATAGTTCAATGATCCAATTGTCATAAACAATGGAAATGCATGAAGAGAAGAACCACAGCTCTCTTGTTCTGGACCTCAGAGTTCCTCCAGTTAGGTATTCATCGCATGAGGCTCATACGCCACCAGTGGTCATCATCGATCCAGTAATGTCCCTCTTTCTCTCCATCCATTTGTTTGTTTAATGATTAAATTAATTCACTACTAACAATTTCTAAACACTGTGATTCACCAAACCCCAAGGAGAATTATTATATTCCTGATCTGTACATAGATTATTCCTACATCAATGTATCTCTTGCATTAATTATCCTCAGTTTTCCACATGTGCGTTAATTAATACAATTTTCCTATAGCCCATATTTATCACTGAGATAACTGCCTTCTTCAATTATATTTTGTCCTTTTAAATAGTACAGTGAATTATCTTTACAAAATCCCACTTAACCAAGGAAGAACTTCAACTGTTACTCACATTCCTCTGCATCCTCCAACTATACAGAGTCCAGCACAGAGCTTGTGCCCGTGAACATATGAAATCAGCCCAAGTGCACCTATTCTGAGGACAGAGCAGAGCAAGTGATGAAAATAATGGAGACTGAATTGCCATTGATCCTTGCTTTTTATTTCCTAGACTCAGGATGTAGATATTTCATTTTATCTTTCTATACAATATATATATTTAGAGGGCCCTAGGTGGATCAATTGGTTGAGCATCTTACTTCAGCTCAGGTCATGATATCATAGTTCATGACTTCAAGACTTGTCTTGGGCTCTGGGCAAACAGCTTGGAGCCTGGACCATCTTTGGATTCTGTGTCTCCCTCTCTCTCTTCCCCATCCCTGCTTGTGTGTCACAGGCTCTGTCTCTCAAAAGTAAATAAACATTTATAAATAAATAAATAAGTAAATATTTTATATGTAAATGAAATTTTCTATATTATACATAAATATATAACAAAATGTATATAAAGTACATAACTATAAATATAGAGAATACATAAATAGTAAATATTTTTAAATATGGGTAAAATATAATGTAACATATAGTGTGTAATATAAATACATGAAGTATATAAAATGAATAAAATATATATTTACATATTTCATATTTTATGTATTTATATATTTATAAAAACTAAATGTTTTTATTGCTTTTATGTAAGATCTATATTTTATTATATATTACATATTACATATTATATATTATTTACCTATCATAACACAATGAAAAACTTAACCTTGAGACTGATGATACATTTTTATTGTTTTCTATATAAGATTCAAATCTTATTATAGATCTATCCCAACATAATGAAAAACTTCATGTTGAGACTGACCCAGAACAAGACAACTAATTCTTACAAACCTAAGCCTGTAGGATTCTTAAACAATGAAGTGATACACCGTGATCCACTAATTTTTCATGGGCATCAGTATATCCAGGTTTATTAATATCTATATTAACTTATCACATGTGTCCAGTTAGGCAATGTTTCACCCTGTTTTTCTTTATACTTATTTAATACTGCTATCAGTATTCAATTAATAACATATCCATATCCATGAAATCAATGCAGAAGTGAGATCTTTGTTTTGATTTGTATTGACTTTGGCCTCTGCCTATAGAAACAACTGGTCTATAAAATCAAGAGCATTGCTTGCCTAACACAGTATTTTTATAATTGGACAATCTTTCGCCCCCCTTTATATATTTATTTTTATATTTGTTTATCATTTCCTTGATCCAATTATAAAAATAGAAACAAAAATGCAGGAACATAAAAACCAAAACCGAGGTCCTTGTATGTTCTTGACACCTGTCTTTGGGCTCATTTCCAATAGGGGAGGCAAAGCAGATGCTCTCTCTGCTGGACCTCAGGCTTGCAGATACGCGTTTGCCAGGTAGGACTCATGCGCCACCAGTAGTCATCATGGATCGTGGATCCAGTACTATACCTCCTCTTCTTTGTCTATTTCTACATTGTTTACTAATAAATTCACTAACTATATTTTTAAAATTATAATGATTCACAGAACCCCAAGAAGGTACTGATATCCCTCTTATGTATCTACAGTCATTTGCACAGCAATACGCCTATTTCATTAATAATCTTACATTACATGTATGCATTAATCAATATAATCTTACAAGTCAATTCAATATTAATCAATGAGCTACAGTCAACCGCCTTCAATTCTATATGGTGCTTTTTTCCCCTCTGTTTTAACATTTTCCTTTCAATTCCAGGTAGTTAACATATGGTATAATGTTAATTTCAGATGTACAATTCAGAGATTCATTAATTCCACACATCACCCGGTGCGCATCACAGTAAGTGCATTCCTTAATCCCCATCACTTATTTCCCCCTCCCCCCTCCCGCCCCTCTGGTAACCATCAGTTTGTAATCTATACTTAAATCTGTTTCTTGGTTTCTGTCTTTTGTTTTTTCCCTATGACCATTTGTTTTGTTTCTTAAAGTCCACAAATGAGTGAAATCATGTGGCATTTGTTTTCTCTGATTTATTTCGCTGTTTCATGTTCACTAGCTCCGCCCATTTCATTGCAAATGGAAGATCTCAGTCCTGCTTGTGGATGAGTAATATTCCATTGCATATATATACCATCTCTTCTTTTTTTTTTTTTTTTTCCCCCCTTCCCTCAGTTCTAGGGTTAGGGTTATGATTAGGGCAACATGACCCAGAGATCAAGAGTTGAATACTCTAATGACTGAGCCAGCCAGGCACTCCCTTTATTCTTTATATATTTCTTATGGATCTCACCACTGATGCTTCATAAATATTATTAAAATTCATGAACATGAAGACCAAGAAAAAAACTGATATATATTTCTGACACCTGTCTATAGGATCCCTTGATACACGGGAAATGTACTAGATAACATTGTGTTGGATGCTAGAATTTCAGACATGTAGAGTCGCCTGGGTGACTCAATTGGTTAAGGGTCTGATTTGGCTCAGGTAATGATCTCATGGTTCATGAGTTCGAGCCCCACGTCAGGCTCTGTGCCAACAGCTCAGAGCCTGGAACCTGCTTCAGATTCTGCGTCTCCCTCTCTCCCCTCCCCTACTCACACTCTGTCTCTCAAAAAACGAATAAATGTTAAATGAATTTAGAATTTCAGATTTGTAGTATTCATTGTGTATGACTAACATGCCACTAGTCATCCACGCCTCTTTCCTTTCTTTCTCAAAAACATTTGTGCATTGAGTGATTCATTAATAACAAAAATAAACAAACAAAAAAAGAATAAGATCCTTCAATTCCCCTCCCATCCATCTGTAGAATCATCTCCACGGAGAGCACTCCGTGCTACTAGCTGACCTCAGTGTTACATGTATAGATGGGTCAACATAACGCTTCATATCAACCTAGAGATACACAGGCGTATTGTATCTTCCTTGATAAATTTTTAAAGAATGCTTTTGGATACTTTCGAATAATACAGTAAATACCCTTAAACGAGTGACTCAAACCAAGACAAGAACCCTATTACTCACTCATGTGATCTCCAGGCTCCCATGATATAGATGCAACCTGAGGGCTCGTGACCTTGAAGAATGTTACGATCACCTTGAGCGCATCCATTCTGAGGAGTGTGGAGCAGAGCAGATGATAAAACATGAGACCTTCTGCCATTTACCCTTGATTTACATCTTTCCTTTAGGCAGGCATTTAAGCAATTATTATTTGGAGTCTATTTCACTTTTCTGGTAAGAAAATGAACTACTTGGAACTTTCCATTAACCCGAACATAAACATGGTCTATAATTTGTTCTCCAAAGAGGTTACATTCATGTACCATTTATTTCTCTTTGGATCTTAGTGTTTCCAAATATAGTAATAGTATTTCTTGCCTCTCACATATTTAATTCAAGAAGTTTTCTACATTCAGCTTTTTGAAATATGCATTTCCACATTGATAGTTCAATGACCAATTGTCATAAACAATGAAAATGTATGAAGAGAAGGATCACCGCTCTCTTGTTTTGGACCTCAGAGTTCCTCCAGTTAGGTATTCATCGCATGAGGCTCATACGCCACCAGTGGTCATCATTGATCCAATATTGGATCTTTTTCTTCATCCATTTCTATTTATTGACTGATTAAAATATTAACTCATCAATAGTTTCTAAATGCTATGTAAAACAATACCATAGGAGAGGCTTTGTTGCCTTAATCCACATCAATGTTTCTTTTATTAATTATCTGCAGTTCTCTACACATGGATTAACCAATACTTCATATATTCCATATTTATTACAGAAATACAGGTGTCTTTTAAAGTTATTTTTCACACTTTTTAGTAATAAAGTGAATTACCTTTACAAAAACACATAGGAACCAGAAAAGAATTTTAACTATTACTCACGTTGGAAGAGAGCAGGAGCTCACAGCCATGGAAGATGCTTTAATCAGCTCGCGGATACCCATTCTGAGGACCACAAAACAGAGCAATTGAGAGAAATAGCTGAGACCTAACTGCCATTGATCCTTGATCTCCATTTTTCATATATTCATCATTTTTTCAATACGTATATGCTTTTATCTTACAAAAGGAAAAACTCCATTGCACTACCAAAAAGAATAAAATTCATTCTTCCTTATCAGAGTATATGTGACCTCAAAGAAGTGGGACCTTTGTCTATTAATCTCTTAACGGGCATCCCTGTTTTCCACGCTGACTACTGACGCACCGGCATCAGCACAACTGTTTATAGTTAGACAATGCTTGCCCCTCTTGATCCTTATGTAGTCGCTTTTTAATAGTCCCATCATTTCCCATTACTACCAACAAATCTATGTCCATAAAATAACTATGAGCATGATCTTTGCACATTCCAAATATTTCTTCATTGAAGCAATTCCAAAAGAAAAAACAGACTAATCAATTCTCAAGTTTGCCTCAGAGTTCCAGGCTCATACATGAGCTGGCAACACGACAGGTTCATGCGTAGTCTTCATCATTCCTGTCTACATGGTTTTATTATGAATTCATCAATGAACTAATCACGAGAAAATAAACGCTTAGAAACCACAAAAACTTCAGACAAGATCCTTAAATATCTCCACCTTTTGCCTTTAGAATTATTTCGTACTGACAGTGTCTTTCATTAATTAACCAAAATGTTTCCGTTACAGATTAATTTATATAATGCTTCATATTAGCCTCAAATTTACTATCTGGCTATGGTGGTGATCACTGACCTCATCTCACACTTTCAATCATGCAGTGAAAAACTTTTTTCTTGTTTTAAATTTTTTTTTAATTTTCATTTACTTTTGAGAGAGAGAGATACACAGATTACAAGTAGGGGAGGGGCAGAGAGAGAGAGGGAGACAGAATCTGAAGCAGCTCCAGGCTCTGAGCTGTCAGCACAGAGCCCGACCAGGCTCGAACTCACGAATGGTGAGATCATGACCTTAGCTGAAGGCAGATACTTAGCTGACTGAGCCCCACAGGTGCCCCTGAAAACCTTTTTTGAAAGATCACAAAACCAAGGAAAGAATTTTGACTATTACTCACATTGTTCTCTGTGCTGTTAACACATAAGTGAAACCACAGAGCTCATGACTATGGTGCAATGTCTAAATCAGCTGAGTGGGACTATTCTAAGGAGTACAAGGCAGAGCAGAGGATAAAAAGATTGAGGATTTATGATCACCTGTCCCCCTGCATTCCACCTTTCATTCACTCAGTCATTAATAAGCAATAAATTGGGATAATGTATATTTTATTTTATTTTTTTTCAGAAAATAAACTATATCAATCTTGTAACGGATAAACACCATGAACACTGATTGTTACTCAAAGAACACCATTATGTGATGTATTTCCTAATAGGTATTTGCTTTCAAAATATATTAATAGTGTTTCTTACCTAACCATATATTTTGGTAATTGGACAATATTTCACCCGCTTCATACTTATTTATTTACTAATTTATCTATTATTTCATTGATCCAACTTGAAAAATAGGATGTATGAACATAAAAGACCAAAAACAATATTATAGATTAACTTATAAATCACTTATCCAAATATTTTAATAGAATGAAAATTCACAAACACAGCTAAAGGCAAGATCCTCACATATTCCTGATATCTGCTTGATCTCATCAAACAATGGGAACAGACTACATTTCTTCTGTTTTGGACCTCAGAGTTCCAGATACGTCTTTACTGTAAACGACTTCTAACATACGCCACCAGTGGTCATCATCAATCCAATACTGTCCCTCTCTTCCTTCATTCAGCTCTAGACTGTTTATTGACCAATTCATTAATTCATTAACAATAATTTAAAATCCTATTAGTCAGAAAAACTCAAGAGTTTCACAATACTTCTGTATATAGAATCATTCCCTCATCAATAGGTCTGATTCATTAATTACGTTAAATTTCATGCACGTCACCATCAATACAATGTTTCATATGAATTCACCATTACCACTAGGCTCCAGTTGGCTACTTTTGGCTCTATATGGCACACTGAACATCCTTAAAAAAAACACAGCTGAAATAGAGACAAGAACGTGCCTATTACTCACATTGGTCTGTGCTTCTTACATACAAATATAATTGCAGAGCTCGCCACCATGAAACGATGCTTAGTCAGCTCAAGTGCGTCCATTCTGAGAAGTACAGTTTACATTTAATGGTTAAAATATGGAAATTTAAGACCTTATCTCTCCACTGATCTTTGTTCTTCACATTTCATTTGCTCTCTTGTTTAGGTATTTATAAATATTTTATGACATGAATATATTTTTCTCTTAATAAAAGGAACAACCTCGGGGTGCTTGGGTGGCTCAGTCGGTTAAGCATCTGACTTTGGCTCAGGTCATGATCTCATGGTTCATGAGATGAAGACCTGCATTGAGCTCTGTGCTGACAGCTCAGAGCCTGAAGCCTGCTTCAGATTCTGTATCTCCCTCTCTCTACCTCTCCCCCACTCACACTCTGTGTCTTTCTCAAGAATAAGTAAACATTAAAAAAATTTTTTTTTGAAAGGAACAACCTCAAACCTGACACTAACTCAGAAACACTAGACCCTTACTTACCTATGTAACTCTTGGGTAAGGAGGTCAAGAGGTGAACACCTTTTATCCACTTATTTCTTAATTAACATATGTATTTTCAATTTTAATAATATTTCTTGCCTCATCATATATTCATAGTTCATAGTTGAATAATCCTTCTCTCTCTTCTTCTTTTTTTTTTTTTACCTATTATGTATATTTCTTTAATGGCTCTATCATGAATCTACTAATAATAACAAATCCAAATCTACAAACTCAAAATAAGAACATGACCTTCGCAGAGGTACCTGGTGGCTCAGTTGGTTAAGTGTCCGACTTTGACTCAGGTCATGATCTCATGGTTCATGGGTTAGAGCCCCACGTCGGGCTTTGTGCTGGCAGCTTGGAGCCTGGAGCTGTTTCAAATTCTGTGTCTCCCTCTCTCTCTCTGCCCCTCCCTAGCTTTCGCTGTCTCTCTCTCTCAAGAATAAATAAACATTAAAAAAATTTTAAGAAAAAAAAGAACATGATCTTTGTATATTCCTAACATCTACCTTCAGGATCCAATAGAATAGAAGGAGGAGATGATTTCTTACATCAGCCCCCGGATATCCAGACACATAGCGCTCATCACCCATTACTAATCTACTGCCAATTGCCATCACCAGCCCATCAGAGGCCCATTGTTATTCCTTCCTTTCTACATTCATAATGATTAAATCATTAATTCTTTAAAAATATTAAAATGAGTATAATTTAAAAAAAAATAAATTTAAAAAATTTAAAATTTTTTTTAAAAAACTAAAAAAATTAAAAAATAAAAATGCAAACAGATCATAAAAAAATAAAATAAAATAAAATGAGTATAATTTGCAAAACCTGAAGCTTCAATACCCTTAACTCCTAACATAGGATCATTGCCAACATAGGTTATATTTCTTACATTCAATAATCTAAGTTCTATGTATGAAATTTATGAACAAAATGTTTTGTATCATATTTATCAGTTAGCCATGGAGAGCCTTTTTATTATATTTATGACATTTTACTAATATCATGAACACTAACAAATGACCCAAACTAAAGCAAAATGTTTGACATTACTCTCCTTGTTCATTTCCTTTTTTTTCCTTGTTCATTACCTAACACAAAAGGAACGTCACGTGATAATTTTGATCACAGTGAAAGATGAATCAGCTCAAGCATCTGTTCTGAAGAGTATCAAACAGAGAAGGCAATGAAAAGCATTCATTCGTGTAATCATTTAAGTATTTATTAACTTATGGAAATATTTATTTATTTTTACCTTAAAAATAAACTTCAAATGTAGAACTGATTCAGACAATAACTGAGCACTGCATTTTGTTGTTTATATCAACCGTAATCAAAGACATACTACACTTGGTTCTTTTATATCTATTCTAATGTATATTAATATTTTTCCCTTACTATATATATATGTACATTTCTTTTTTTAATGTTTATTTATTTTTGAGAGAAACAGAGTGCATGTGAGGAAGGGACAGAGAGAAAGGGAAAGGGAGGGAGACAAAGCAAGCTCCGGGATCCGAGCTGTCAGCATAGAGCTGGATGCAAGGCTCAAGCCCGTGAACTGTGAGATCATGACCTGAGCTAAAGTTGGATGCTTAACCAACTGAGCCACCCAGCACCCCTTCCTTGCTATATATTTACCAAAGAACAATACTTCAACCTCTTCACCTTTATTCATTTATTTGTTTTATAAATTATTAAGATTCATGAACACAAAGGCCGACAACAAAATCCTTATATATTACTAATATCTGTATATAGGATCCCTATGCACATGAGAAACAGACTAGATTACTTTTGTCTCAGATCTGAGTTCCAAACACACAGCATTCATCATATATGACTCATATGCCACCAGCTGTCATAGTTGATCCAAGGCTGGCCCTCTTTCTTTTCCTTCTCATAAACATTTATTTATTAATCCATTAAGCAAAAAGTGCACAGGAGTTAAAAATATAAAAATCTGGTCCTTCAACGTCCTAACATCTATTTCTACAGTATTACAGAGACTAAAGCTCATTCATTAACTGACCTCAGTGTTACATTTATGTATTATGAAACATAATGCTTCATATCAATCTGATATTAAATACATTAATTAATAAATAAATTCCTGGGGTGCCGAAGTGGCTCAGTTGGTTAAGCATTTAACTTCTGCTCAGGTCATGATCTCACAGTTCATGGGTTCAAGGCTTGCATCAGCGTTTGTGCTGACAGCTCAAAGCCTGGAGCCTGCTTTGGATTCTGTATCTCCCTCTTTCTCTGCCCCTCCCCTACTCATGCTCTGTCTCACTCTCTCTCTCTCTCAAAAATAAACATTAAAAAAATATATCTATAATTTGTCCTGTCTATATCATCCTAGCCAAAGAGGAGACAGTCATGTACGATTCCTTGCTGTTTAGACTTCAGGATATCCCAATTATATTAATGGTATTTCTTGTCTCCTCACATATTTAAAATATTTGGATCGTGTTTCTACAATTCGCTTTATTCTTTGTATATTTCCTCACCGGTATTTCATTGATCCAATAATAATAAAGAATGGAAATGCATGAAGAGAAAGACCACATTTCTTTTGCGTTGAATCTAAGAGTCCCTATCATTCATCATTCATTACTCCTACTGATTCAGAAAAGACCGCTTTCTCTTCATTCATTTCTACATTGTTTATTGATTAATTCATTAATTCCCTGATTATCATTTACAACTATATGATTCACAAAACTCCAAGAAGGAACTCCTATCCATGATATGTATAGAATCATTCACACATTGATGTATTTCATCAAGTGTCCTATTTTTCATAAACACCTTAATCAATGTAATGTTTCATTTTAACCCTATGGTTATCATCAAGATACAGTTGGCTTTCTTTGATTCTATCTCATAATTTGTATTAATACAATGATTACCCTTAAACAAAATACCAGAAACAAGACTATGACTTTGACTATTACTCACATTGGTCTCAGGTCTCCCCAGTACAGAGATACAACCTGAGGGTTCTTGATCAGTAATATCTAAAGCAGGTCCAGTTTGTCTGTCCTGAAGCATGTAAAGCAGAGCATATGATAAAAATAGTCAAGACATTCTATTGATCCTTGCTTTTAATCTTTTATTTAACCAGTCATTGGTCAATTATTAATTTGGTGTAAATATTCTTTCTCTTAAAAAAATTAACAACTTTGATTTTACCACTGAGCTGGAAGCTGAACATTTGCCTAGGACTTCTGTCTACGGTATCCTTAGCCGTACATGTAAGGAGAGTCATGTACCACTTACTTCTAACTAAACTTCAGAGGTTTCATAGTATGTTAATGTATTTCTTGTATAATCACTTATTTTTATAATCGGACAATGCTTCATCACATTCATCTTTACTGATGTTTGTTTATTGATTTTTAATTGGTCCAATTATAAAAATTGAAAGAAAATGCATGAAGACCAAGACCAAAAACAAGATCCTTGTATATTCCTGACATCTGTCCACACCAGATCCCTGCAAACAATGGGAATAAACTAGGTTTCACTTCTGTTGGACCTCAGAGTTCCAGACACGTATTCCTCGTACATGACTCATACGCCACCAGTGGTCATCATCGATCCGATATTGTCCCTCTTTTCCTTCATTCAGTTCTAATTTTTTTAATTGAGTAAATCATCAATTCACTAATGATTTTAAATTTTATAATTCACAGAAACTGAGAAAGAACTATAGGTGTCTGATCTCTATCTTGATAAGCCTCAAATCAATAGATCTCTTTAATTAGTTACCCTAAATTTTCTACTCACGGATTAATCATTCTAATAGCTTATGTATCCCATATTTATCGCTGAGATCAAGTGCCTCCTTTCATTATATCTTGTAGTTTTCAATAATACAGTGATTACCTTAAAAAAAAAAAACACGTATACCAAGAAAATCATTTCAACTGTTACTCACATTAATCCCCATCCACCTATTATATAGAGGCAGCGACAGAGCTCCAGGACCATAGAAGACATTAAACCAGCTCACGTGTGTCCATTCTGAAGCATACAGAGCAGAACCAGAGATAAAAAGGAATGAGACACTATGTTCACCCGTCCGCGCATTCCACCTTGAGTTTAGTCAATTATTAGCCAGTGAATTGCAATAATGCGGATTTTATTTTCTTGTAAGTAAATGAACAATATTGATCTAGCCACTAATAAAGAATTTGCATATGGCCTATTACTTATCAATAACTGTATCATCGTCAAAGAACAAGTCTTACACAATACGTTCCCTTATAGACATCAGCATTTTAAATATACATGAATACTATTCCTTACCTAACAACGTATTTTTATAATTGGACAAATTTCACTGCTTTCATCTTTACTTATTTATGTTTGCTTACAGATGATTTCATTGCTCCAATTATAAAAATTGGAAGAAAATGCAGGAACAAAAGAAGCAAAAACAAGATCCTTTTTATTCTTAATATCTGTCTCTAGAACCACCTCAAACAGGACAATCAACCAGATTCCATTTCTGATGGACCTCAGAGTTCCAGACACGTATTCATCGTAAAGGACTCATACGCCACCAGTGGTCATCATCGATCCAATATTGTCCCTCTTTTCCTTCATTCAGTTCTATATTGTTTATTGACTAATTCATTCAAGACTAATAATTTTTAGACCTCATTCACAAAAGCCAAGAAAGTCATGATATCCTTCATCTGTAAATAGAATCATTCTCACATCAATATATCTCTTCTTAAAATTAGGCTGTTAGTCCTTTATGCATTAATCAACATAATATTTTCACAAAATTCAATATTTGTCACTGAGCTATAGTTGGCTTTCTGTGATTCTACTACACGGAACCTTCAAATAATGCACTGAATACACTAAAAAAAAAATCACTGAAACTAAGACAAGAAATTTGATATTACTCACATTGTTCTCTGTGGTTTAACACAGAGATGCAGCCTCCAAGCCTGCCACAATAGAATAGTGCTTAAATCAGCTCCACATGTGTCCATTTTGAGACATGAAAAGCAGAGTTGGTGATCAAAAATAAAATAAAATAAGATATTTATTTTCATTGATGCTTGCTTTCCATATTTCATTTACTCAGTCATTCAGGTATTTATGAATATTTCATAACGTTTGTTTTTTGTTCTTTAAACAACAGCATCAAAAATCCTCAAACTTGAGATTAATCCACAACAATAAAATGGACTCTTAATTGCTCATGTCTAAATGACACTTGGTTAAAAACGTGACATTCTTTTTTTTTTTTTTTTAATGTTTTATTTATTTCTGAGAGAGAGAGACAGCATGAACTGGGGAGGGTCAGAGAGAGAAGGAGACACAGAATCTGAAACAGGCTCCAGGCTCTGAGCTAGCTGTCAGCACAGAGCCCAATGTGGGGCTCAAACCCACGAACTGTGAGATCATGGCCTGAGCTGAACTCGGGCGCTTAACTGACTGAGCCACCCAGGCGCCCCAAAAATATGACACTCTTGATCCACTTAATTCTTAATGGGTGTCATTCTTCACAACTTTTATTAATATATCTTGCCTAAAAACAGGTCTTCAGAGTTGGACAACGCTTCATGCTTTTATATTTATCTGCTGTTTATATATCAATGGTTCTATCACTGATCTATTTCTAATACATCTAAATCTATGGACCCAGTCAAAACATTCTTTGTATTATCTGAAAATCTGTCCACAGGATCAAATAAACAGAGAGAAAGACTACGTATTGAATTGGACCTCATTCGTGGCTAAAATGAACACATCAGGAGACTCTAGATGCTGGCGAGGATGTGGAGAAACGGGCACCCTCCTACACTGTTGGTGGGAATGCAAACTGGTGCAGCCCCTCTGGAAAACAGTGAGGAGGTTCCTCAGGAAACTAACACTAGAACTCACCTATGACCCAGCAATAGCACTGCTAGGAATTTACCCAAGGGATACAGGAGTGCTGATGCACAGGGGCACATGGACCCCAATGTTCATAGCAGCTCTCTCAACAATAGCTAAACCATGGAAAGAGACTAAGTGTCCATCAACAGACGAATGGATCAAGAAGATGTGGTTTATCTACACCATGGAATACTACATGGCAATGAGAAACAATGAAATCTGGCCACGTGTAGCAACATGGATGGACCTTGAGGGTGTTATGCTGAGCGAAATAAGTCAGGCAGAGAAGGACAGATACCATTTGTTTGCATGTATAGGTGGATTAGGAGGAAGTTAACAGAGGACGAAGCAGGAGAAGGGGAAGAACAGTGGGGGAGGGGGAGGGAGGCAAACCATGAGAGACTCTTGAATGCTGAGAACAAACGGAGGGCTGAGGGCGGGTGAGGGAGAGGAGAAAGGGGTGATGGGCATGGAGGAGGGCACTTGTCGTGATAAGCACTGGGTGTTATATGGAAACCAACTTGACAATAAACTATTTAAGGAAAAAAACAAAGAATTGGACTTCATTCATCATCCCTAACTCACTGACAACAGTCATTATCACAGGTACGTAAAAGATCCACTTTTTCTTCATTCATTTCTACATTTATATCAGTTACACATTAATTCATCAATTATAGTAAAATACATGATTAACAAAACCTGAAGAATCAGCGAGTTTAATATCCCTAACTTCTATCTATAGAATAAATCCCAACATAGATTATACCGCTCTCATCAGTCAATCTCCATGTAACATATTATCATTTAATCAGGAAGTTTCCTATCGTATGTTTACCATTGGACAGTATCTTATTTTCTGATTGTTATTCATTAATTTTTAATAATACTGTGAATACCCTTAAACAAATGACCCAAACCAAGACAAAATCTCTTGCTACTCACCTTGGCTCACTCTCCTAAGAAACAGGCCACATAACAATCTTTCTTCATCGGGGCAGAAGCTGAAATCAGCAAGAGCATCTGTTCTGAAAAGTACTGAAAAGAGAACATGATAAAAATGAGACATCGTTCCACTGATCATTTAGTCAAGAATTGAGGGAATCATTTTCAGAGTATATTCATTTAATTATCTTTCATAAAAGCAAACCACTTCAAACTTCCCACTGACCTACAACGTAAACATTGTCTACAATGTGTCCGGTCTATATCACCCTAGCCAAAAAGGTGACAGTCATGTACTATTTACTTCTCATTGGACTTCAGTGTTTTCAAATTATACCAATAGTAATTCTTGCCTCCCCACATATTTTAAAAATAGGGCAAGGTTCTACAATTCACTTTATTCTCTATATATTTCCTTATTGATGTTTCATTGACCCAATAAGAATAAAGCGTGGAAATTCATGAAGAGAAAGACCACAATCTTGGACCTCAGAGTTCCAGACACGTATCATTCATCATCTGTGACTCATACGCTGGCAATTATCATCATTGATCCAGAGAAGACTACTGTCTCTTCATTTATTTCTACATTGTTTATTGATTAATTCATTAACTCACTAATTAATTAGTTTGATTCACAAAACCTCCAAAGGGGTTATGTGTCTGGAGCCATTCCCACATTATTAGATCTGTCATATTTATTATCGGTTTTTCATAAATGCTTTATTCAGTATAATACTTCATTTTAACCCTGTATTCCTCACTAGAACGCAGTTGATGGTCTTTGAGTATATTTCTTATTTTTTATTACTACAGTGAATGCCCTTAGGTACACCACCCACACGGGATAAGAATTTTGAGTATTACTCACATTAGTCTTCCAACTCCTTCCAGAAATGCAACCCTAGAGCCCCTGATCAGGAAAGGATCCTTACATCAGGTGCAGCGTGCTTGTTCTGAGAAGTACAAGGCAGAGCGAATGAGAAGAAAGGGTGACACACTCTTTCCACTGGTCTTTGCCTTTCCCCTCCCATATAATTTGGTAATCATTAATTTGGTGTATATTTTTTAAGAAATAGAAACTTCAAATTTACCACTGACTCAGACTATGAGCACTGTCTATAACTCCACTTGTCTATATCATCCTTAACTCTATAGCTAAGTCCTGTACCACTTGCTTCCAATCGAACATCAGAGTTTTCATAATATGAGAATAGTATTTCTTGCCTAATAACATATTTTTATTTTTTTAATCACATACTTTTATAATTAGACAATGCTTCACTCCATTCATCATTTTTATTGATATACTTATTTATAGAATCTATTTACCAAATTATAACAATACCTGTAAATGCATGAACACCAAGACCAAAAACAAGATCTTAGTATATTCCTGACACCTGTCTATCAGATGCCTTCAGATAATGGGAATGCACTAGATTAATTTTTTCTTGGACCTCAGAGTTCCACGTATTCATCGTATCCAACTCATACGCCACCAGTGGTCATCATCGATCCAATATTGTCTTTCCTTGTGATATTCTCTTTGTATGTTGATTAAGTTATTGGTTCACTAATCATTTAAAACCCTATTCTGCACAAAAACTGAAATGAGTCTTTCTGTCCTTAAACTGAACACAGACTTAGTCTCACTTATCTTTCATTTTCAGTTTTCCATACATCCATTAATCAATATATTGTCTTATAAAATTCAATATTTATCACAGAGCTACAATCAGCCTTCTGTGATTTTATATGGAATTTTCGAAGAGTAGACTGAACGTGCTGGAAAAAAAATCAGTGAAACAAAGACAAGAAATTTGACCATTACTCACGTCCATTTTGGTGTATCACACAGATGCTGTCACAGAGCTCACCGCCAGGCAAGAATGCATGGTAAGCTCAAATGTGTCCATTCTGAGAAGTATAGGCTACAGCTGATGACAGACAAAATGATAAAATTTTAATCCCCATTAATTCTTGCTTTCCACATTGAAAATACTCATTTGGGAATTTATAAATTTTTCATAATGTAGATTTTTTTTCTCTTAACAAAAAGAAATCTTCACACTTGACACTGACCCGGAATAATGAAACTAACTCTTAATTATTCATGTCTATAATCCTTGGCCAAAGAAGGGACATCTTTGAAACATCTATTTCATAATGGGCATCAGTGCTTGCAAATTTTATTAGTATTTCTTGCGTTACCATGTTACGTATAGTTAGACAATAATTTGCCTTTTCTTCTTGCTCTATAATTTATATTTCTTTAATTGATTCTATCATTGGCCTATTAATAATAACACATCTAAATATATTCATCCATAATAAGGACATGAACTTCACACATTCCTAACATCTATCCATAGGGTCAAATAAACAGAGAAAATAGAATATTTATTGTATTACACCCCAGTGCTTCAGTCACCTACTACCCACTGCCCATGACGTGTCATCACCACTGCTTCCCTTAGAGGTCACTTTTAGTTTATTCATTTGTGTATCTGTATCAATTAGCTCCACTGGTGATAATAAAATACATACACAATTAACAAAAACTGAAGAATATGATACTTGAATATCCCTAACTTCTCCCTGTAGAATTGTTGCCAAAATAGATACCTCTTTCATTAATAATTATCAGTGTTACATGTTATCAATTAATCAATGTAATGTTTCATATCATATTTGTCATTGAGCCATGGTTAATTATATATATTATGTTTTAATAATATCATGAAAGCTCTTACACAAATGACCGAAACCATGAAAAGAACATTGACTGTTACTTGCCTTGGTCTCTTTCCTATAGAAGAGAAACATGGTGACCTTGATCAGCCCGGGCTTCTCTTCTGAAAAGTACCAAACAGAAGTGATAAAAAAAGTTAAGACTTTCTCTCAGTTGGTCCATATATTTGTTTTTTGATTCTTCCATTCAATTATAATAAGCAAAGAAAATGAATGAAGAGAAAGACCACATTGCTTTTGTATTGGACCTCAGAGTTTCATTCACATATTACTCATCATCTGGGACTCATACGCCGGCAGTTAGCATCATTGATCCAGAAAAGACAACTTTCTCTTCATTTATTTCTATCTTGTTTATTAATTTATCAATTCACTAATTACAACTTTTAAATTGTATTATGTACAGCCCCCCCAAAGGCTTTGATATCCCTAATATGCCTCTAGGGCCATTTTCACATCATTATATCTCAGTCATGTATCAGTTTTCCATACATGCATTAATCTATATAAAATTTCCTACAAATCTCTTATTTATCAGTAAGGATCAAGATGGCCTTCTTTGATTATATTTCAACTATTTCATTACTATAGTAAATACCCTCAGACAAACAACCCAAACAAGAAATTTGTTTATGCTTACACTGGTCTCCGTCTTCTAAAATAGGTGATGCAACCCTACAATTCGGGATCAAGGAAGAATCTTTAAATCACGTTCAGTGTGTCTTGTCTAAGGAGTACAAAGCAAAGCAGATGATAAAAATGGTGGAGACATTCTCTCCATTGATCCCTGCTTCAACATTCACATAGTTCTTTAGGCAATCATTAATTTGGTGTATATATTTAGTCTCCGAAGAAAACAAACAACTTTGATCTTACCACTGAGACAGACTACAAGCACTGTCTGTAACTTACACTGTCTACATCATCCTTACCCTAAGAGGTAGCAGTAAAATACCATTTATTTCTAACTAAACTTCAAGGTTTCCATCAAAGATGAATAGTATTTCTTGCCTCACCACATATTTTTATAATTGGATGATGCTTCACTCAATTCATCTTTATTTATGTATTTGTAGATTCTCACATTTATCCAATTATAATAATAAAATAAAAATACATGAATACCAAGACCAAAAATAAACCCTTTATTTATTCCTGACATCTGTCCATAGGATGCCTTCAAGCAGTAGGAATGGCCTAGGCCAATCTTCTGTTGGACCTCAGAGTTCCAGACACGTATTCATCATAACGACTCATACGCCACCAGTGGTCATCATCGATCCAAAACTGTCCCTCTTTTCTTTTTTTTTTTTTTAATTTTTTAACGTTTTTAAAATTTATTTCTGTGAGAGAGAGAAAGAAAGAGAGAGAGAGAGAGAGAGAGAGCAAGCATGTGCAGGGGAGGGTCAGAGAGAGAGGGAGACACAGAATCTGAAACAGGCTCCAGGCTCTGAACTAGCTGTCAGCACAGAGCCCAATGTGGGGCTCGAACCCATGAACTGTGAGATCATGACCTGAACTGAAGTCGGATGCCCAACCGACTGAGCCACTCAGGTGCCCCTGTCCTTCTTTTCCTACATAGATTTCTATTTGTTTATTGATCAAATAATTCACTATTAATTCATTAATTCACTAATTAGTGAATTCATTAATTCACTAATAATTTTTAAGTAGTACAGTTTTAAAAAAGAGACTTGAAGTCTCAGATCTAAATATAGAATCAATCTCACATCAGTATATCTCTCTCATTAATATCCTCAGCTTCCTATGTGCATTAATCAATGTTTCATGCATCCCATATTTAACACTGAGATACAGCTGCCTTCTTTAATTATATTTTACACTCTTTAATAATACAGTAAATGACCTTAAACAAATGCACTTAAACTAAGAAAAAAACTTCAACTATTACTTACATTCATCTCTATCCTTCTATTACATAGAAGTGAACCTATGCCCATGGAACATCACCTACAGGGAGTTCATTCTGAGGAGCACAGAACACAGCAGATGAAAAAAGAAACTGAAATATAATCTGCATTTATCCATGCTTTCTACATTTCATTTACTCAGTATTTAAGGTTTTATTATTTTTCCTTTTATATATATTTCTTCATCTTAGAAAAACTCAGTCTTTAGTTTAGTCTAAGGAAGAACAATTAGACTCTCACTTAGGCATGTCTTTATAACTGTGCTCAAAGAGATGATCTTTTGATCCATTTATTTAATGGGCATCAGTGTTTTCAATTTTTAGTAATAATATCTTCTGCCTTGCCACATGTGTTTGTATTTGGACAATTCCTCACCCTATTTTCTTTATATGTTTATTTATACCTGCCATATGGTTTCTATCATTGACCCATTAATAATGACAAATCTTTATCTATGAAAAAATACAAGAATATGATCTTATTCCTGACATCTCTCTGTGGAAAACAATTTCGACAGGAGAACAGATCAAATCCTGTTCTGTATTGGACCTCAGAGTTTCATCGCCCTTGACTCCTACGCCTTTGGTCATCATCATTGGTCCATGACTGAGTTGCCTCTTAGTTAATTTCTACTTTTTATCAATTAAATCATTAATTTATTGATAATTATAAAAATAATACATGGTTCACGAACATAAGATCCTTGAATATCCCTAACATGAGTTTACAGAATCATCATCCAAATGGATTGTATCTCTTCGATCAACCAACCTCCATCCTGTACATTTTTGATTGATCAGCATCATGTTTCCTACCACATTTATCATGAGGCCATGGATAATTTTTTTTTATCAGTTGAATACTTGTCAATGATACCATGATTACCCTTAAGCAAATGTCCCCTTCCAAGACAGCCACTTTGACCACTGTTAGCCTTCATCTCTTTCCATACTGGAAGGGAGAATGACAACTGTGGTGACAGCAGAAGCTGAAATCAGCTCAAGCATTGTTCTGAAGAGTAATAAGCAGACAAGATGACAAAAATATTGAGATATTCTCTCCATTGATTCATATATCTCCAACTTCTTATTTGTAGCCAATTAGGCTGTTGATGAAATTATTATAATTTTCCCCTTAATAAATCAAATGTTGAAATCATAACTGACTCAGTAATTAACCATTACTTTTCATTATCCACATCCCTCTTACTCAGACATAGACACATGAATATTTTATTTTCCATTCTGATGTATATTAGCATCATTTTACTTATTATATATTTTGGCAATGAACAATACTTCACCCTCTTCATATTTATTCATTCATATATTATTTATCTTATTTTTTATAATGATACTTTTAAACATTCATGTACACAAATGCCAAGAGCATGACATCACTTAGGCCTGACATCTCTCTATAGGATCACTGCAAATGGGGGATGGAGGGTAGAAAGGACTAGATTTCTTTTGTGTTGGACCTCAGAGTTCCAGACCTGTAGGGTTCATCATAAAAGACTCATACGTCAACACCTGTCATCATTTATCCAGGTATATCCCTGATTGTCTTCAATCATGTCTATAGAGCTTATTTATTAATTCATCAATTCACTAATAATAATCAAATGATACCTAGGGAGGGGTCACAAAAACTTGATATAGGTCTCTTGACTATCTCAAGCATTGTCTACGGAATTAATTCTCACTGACAGTATATATCATTTATTAACTGACCTCAATGTTTCCTACATAGATTAATTAACATATTGCTTCATCGTAACCTCATTTGAATTATTTGGCCATGGCTGGCAATCACAAATTATATTTCATAACTCTTGAATCATGCAGTGAAAACCTGTTTGAAAAACCACAAAACCAAGAAAAGAATTTTGACTATTACTCACATTGTGCTCCATGCTCTTAACACATAGATGAAAACATAGGGCTCGTGGCTATGGGGGGAGTGTCTAAACCAGCCGAGTGGCACCATTCTAAGGAATACAAGACAGAGCAAAGGATAAAAAGATGAAGACCTTGTGTTCATTCATCCCTGTGTTCCATCTTTCATTCAGTCAGTGATTTAGGTAAGTAGTGATTTGGGATAACATTATTTTATTTTCTGTTAAGTAAGGAAACAACATCGATCTTACCCATGCCAAAGAGTATAAGCACTATCACTTAACACTGTCTATACCATTAACTTTAGCCGAAGAGGTAACATCCTCATACCATCTAATGAATATCAGTCTTTTCAATATAATTAATATTACTATATAGTAGTAATTTTTGCCTAGCCACATATTTCCATAATTGGACAAGGCTTCATAATCTTCATTTAAATCTGTTTACACATTTGCATATTAATAACTGCATTGATCCAATTATAAAAATAGGAGGAAAATTGATGGACATAATGACAAAACCACAATCCTTATATATTCTGACCTTTGCTGCTAGACCACGTCAAACAGGGACAATGGACTAGATCCCATCTAGTGTTGGTGTTGGACCTCAGAGTTCCAGACACGTATTCATTGTATACAACTCATACGCCACCAGTGGTCATCATCGATCCAATATTGTCCCTGTTTGTCACCATTCATTTCTACATTATTTATTGATCAATTCATAATTCACTAATCACAATTTTAAAATGATTATTTGCAGAGACCCATAAAGAGCCTAGAAATCGCTAGGATCTATTTAGAATCATTCTCATGTCAATATCACTTTCATTAATTATCCTCAATTTTTATTATATTCATTCACCAATATAATGCTTCATATTAATCCCATTTTTCTCGGTGGGCTATTTGGATTCCACCGATTATACTATGTGGTTTTCAATGATGCACCGAACACCCTTAAGCAAAGTACTGAACCTAAGACTGACACTTTGACTATTACTGACATGGTCTCCATGTTCCTAACACAGGAATGCAACCCAAGATCCCGTGACCACGGAAGAATCCTTATATCTACTCGTTGGCTCCATTCTAAGGAGTACAAAGTAGAGCAGACAAAAGGAAATTTCAGATCCTATCTCCATTGATTCTTCCTTACCGCATTTCATTTATTCATTTGGATGCTCATTAATTTTTCATAAGAAGGTATTTTTTTTTAATCTAAAGAAAAGCTTCAACTTGACACTGACCAAGAACAATACCAATGGCTCTTATCTATCAGTGCTTATATAACTCCTAAGTTAAAATGGCAAAAATGCTTATTCTTTTTATTGCTTAACGAGAGGAATGTTTTCAGTTTTATTAACAATACTTCCGTGTCACCACATATATTCCTAGCTGGACAATGTTTCACCCTATTTATCTATACTTTACATTTTTAAAGTCTTCATCACTGATTCATTCATAATAATAAATTTTAATATATGAATCTAAAATAAAAAGATGAGGGGCGCCTGGGTGGCTTAGTCGGTTAAGCGTCCGACTTTCGCTTAGGTCATGATCTCACGGTTCGTGGGTTCGAGCCCCACGTCGGGCTCTGTGCTGACTGCCAGCTCAGAGCCTGGAGCCTGTTTCCGTCTGTGACTCCCTCTCTCTCTGACCCTCCCCTGCTCATGCTGTCTCTCTCTCTCTCCTAGAAATAAATAAAACATTAAAAAAAATAAAAAATAAAAAAATAAAATAAAATAAAATAAAAAGATGAGAGGCGCCTGGGTGGCTCAGTCGGTTAAGCGCCGACTTTGACTCAGGTCATGATCTCACGGCTCATAAGTTCAAGCCCCAGGTCGGGCTCTGTGCTGACAGCTCAGAGCCTGAAGCCTGCTGTGGATTCTGTGTCTCCCTCTCTCTTTGCCCGTCCCCTGTTCACACTCTGTCTCTCTCTCACACAAAAATAAAATAAACATTAAAAATATATAAATAAAATAAAATAAAATAAGAAGATGAATTTGGCGGGGCACCTGGGTGGCTTAGTCAGTTAAACATCTGACTTCAGCTCAGGTCACGATCTCAGAATTCATGGGATGGAGCCCCATGTTGGACTCTGTGCTGACAGCATGGAGCCTGCTTGGGATTCTCAATCTTTTTTTCCCTCTCTCTCTCTCTCTCTCTGCCCTGCCCCTCTGTACTCTTTCTCTTAAAATAAATAAAATAAACTTAAAAAAAAGAATATGAGCTTTGTATATTTCTACATGGACCCATGGGATCATTTACAACAGAAAATAGGCTACATTTTATTTTATGTGGACTGAGAGTTACAGACATGTAACACTCACATGTAAAATTCCTACATCACCAGTTATTACTATTGGTCTGTTTGGGCCTGTTTCTCTTCATTCGTGTCCACATTTTTAATGATTAAATTGTTAATACATTGACAATAAAAATAAATACACAATTCATAAAATAAAAAGACCTGTGAATAAACTTAACTTCTATCTGTAGAATCATGTAACACGTAGATTATATCTTTCATTAATCGACATCAGAGTTTCACATTATCAATGAATCAACATTAATATTTCATATCCTTTTTGTCATTGGGCCATAGTTAATTTTTTGATGACATTTATTACTTTTTAATAATACTGTGAATGCTCTTAAATCACCCAAACCAAGGTAAGATCTTTGACAATTATTCACCTTGGTATTTTCTAACACAAAGTTAACATAACAGTCTTAATCACCATGGATACTAAAATCAGTTCGGTGCATTTACTCCGAAGATATGATTAAATATGAGACGAGCAGACAATGTGATAAAAGACTGAGTTATTGTCCCATATTTTCCACCATTCATTTGCACAGTCATTTGAGCATGTATTAATTTTTGGTAATATTTATTTTTCCCCTTAAGAAAATAAACTTCAAACTAATACCTGACTGAGAATCATAACTGATTATTACCTGTCACTGTCTAAATCACTCTTAGTCACATACATAATATACACGGTCCTTTTGTTTTTTATCCACTCCTTATACTAATATGTATTTTCATTTAGTATATATTATATTTTGCTTATGAACAAAACTTCATTGTCTCCAACTTTAGTCATTTATGTATGTTTATTTATTCTTCTATCGATACCTTTATAATAATATTTTAAAGCTTCATGAACTCAAAGACCAAGAATAAAATCCTGTATATTCCTGACATCCATCTACAGGTGCCCTTCATAAAGGAGACTGGACCAGATTCCATTTGTGTTGGACCTCAGATTTCCAGACACATCTCCATCATATTAGACTCATATATATCACCTGTTGTCACTGGTGGGTCCAACCCTGGCTTTCTTTCTCCATGACCACCTACATGTGGTCATTGTTTAATTCATTAACAAAGAAATATACATAAATCACAAGAAGAAACAAGAATAATATTCTTTGGTATCTCTACCATCCATCTACACAATAATTTCCACAGAGACCAAATTCCTTTCATTGACTCAGTTTAGTGTTCAATATATGCCTTAATCAACATAGTGCTTCATATTAATCTGATATTTAACACTGACATGTCTCACTTTTTTTTATTTTATTCAGTACTTTTTTTCAAGTATTTACTTAAATTCCAGTTAGTTAACATTCAGTGTAATATTAGTTTCAGGTGTACAATATAGTGATTCAACACTTCCATGAATCACCCGGTGCTCATCACAGATGCCCTTTTTAATCCCCATCTCCTATTTCACCCACCCCCTCCCGCCCACCTCCCCTCTGCTAACCATCAGTTTGTTCTCTACAGTTAAGAGTCTGTTTCTTGGTATGCCTCTCCCTCTCTCTTTTTTACCCCCTTTGCTTATTTGTTTTGTTTCTTAACTTCCACACATGAGCGAGATCATATGGCAATTGTTATTCCCTGACTGACTTAATTAAGCTTAGCATAACACTCTCTAGCCCCATCCATGTCAATCCAAATGCTAATATTTCATTCATTTTGTGTGATTATAAATAATACTTTTTAATAATACAGTGAAAATCTCTTTTAAAACAATAGTCTAGCCAAGAAGAACATCAAATATTACTCACACTGGTCTCCATGCTCCCCAAAATGTAGCACTCTTGAGTGTGGATGACCTTCCATCGGCTGGAACACACCCATTCTGCAGAGGACAAAACAGCAGAACCACCACCACAACAAAAAGATGGAGACATTCTCTCCCTTGGTCCTTAATTCCACCTTTATTTATTCAGCCATGGAGTCCATCAGTAAGTCGTGATCATGTCTATCTTACGTTCTCTTAAGTGATCGATCAACATCAATATTGTCACTGACAATGAATATGAACATTGACTGTTGCTCATACTCAGCAAAAGGGGCAACTTCCTGTCCCATGTATTTTCATTCACCACCAATGTCTGCAATATATATCCATTGTACTTCATACCTTACCACATATTGTTATAATTGGACCATGCTTTCCTCTCATCACCTTGAGTTATTTGTAATAGGCTTATTATTGTATTTTCACTGATCTGATTAACACTGTAGAATAAAAATGAATAAAACCAAGACTCTGGTATATTCTGACAGCTGTGTAGGCCCATTTCAACAATGTGTAATGGATCCATTTTGTGCTGGACCTCAGAGTTCCAGACACATAGTATTCATCACACGTGACTCCTATGCCATTAATCATCATCACTGGTCCAGGACAGGCTCTTTTTTTTCTTGTCATCTGGATCTGTTTTTGGATTGACTGCCTAACATAGAAATAAACACAAGTCACCAGAAAAAAAAAATCACAAAATTCTTGAATACCCTTAACACCTATCGATAGGATAATTTCCACTGAGAACAAACTCTTTCATTAAGTGAACTCAGTGTTTCCCATATGGGTTAACATCATATCGGATCACATCAACGATAGGTGATGGGGGTATGCTTGGCTTTTTGATTATATTAAACACTTTTTAATAACACAGTAATTTTAAAAAGCCAAAACGTTCAACCCAAGATAAGCCCATTGGTTATTACTCACATTGTCGTTCATGTTCCTAAGACACAGATGCAGGCACACGGCTCCTAAACCTGAAGACGCCTGAATGAGCTTGAGCGCATCTGTTCTGAGGAGTACAGAGCAGAGAGGATAACAAATTATGGCCTCATCGTCACTGATCCTCGCCTCTGCGTTTCACTTCTCAGTGATCGAGGCAATCCTTCACTAAGAGTCTACTGTACTGATTTCATTTACTCTTAAGAAAATGAACAACTTATACCTTGTCCCTGACCCAGAAAATGAACATTGACTATTATTTACTTTGTCTGGATCATCCTTAGCCAAAGGTTTAACAGTCATGTAGCCATTTATTCCTCTTTGAATTTCACTCTTTTCAAATGTATTAATACTATTTCTTGCCTTACCACATATTTTTATAGTGAGAGCATACTTTGCCTAATTATCTACTTTATCTACTTATCGACTTATTGGTTATTTCATTCCTCCAATTATAATTACGGAATGAAAATGCACAAACAAACACAGGAATCAAAAATAAGATCTTTGCATGGTCCTGACTTCTGTCTATAGCATCTTTTCAAACAAAGAGAATGTCCTGTTGGACCTCAGAGTTTCAGACACATATTATTCACCATCATCCATGACTCATACGCCACCAGCCATCATCATTGGTCCAGGATGGGCACGCTTTCTCTTTGTTCACTTCTAAATTGTTTATTAAGTCATTAATTCACATTAACTTCACATTAACAATACAGTGAATATTCTTTAACAAACCACCAAAACCCACACAAAAATGTTGACTATTACTCACATTGGTCTCCACTCTCCTAATGCATAAATGCAACTGCAGAGCTCATGGCCATGGAAGATGCTTACATCACCCTAAGTGCATCCATTCTGAGGAGTACAGAGCAGAGAAGTCGCTATAGAAACTTAAGCCCTTATCTACACTTACCCTTCCTTTCCACATTTCATTTACTCAATTTTTATGGGTATGTTAATTTTTCATTATATATATATTTTTCCTACTAACAAAGGGAACAACCTTGAACTTGGAACTGATCCAGAATTTAAAAATTGATTTTTAATTACCTGTTCTACATAATCTTTAGCCAAAGAAGTAATACCCTTGATCCACTTCTTTCCTTTTTTAAAATTTTTTATTTGAGAGAGAGAGTGTATGTCTGTGTGTGTGTGTGTGTGTGTGTGTGTGTGTGCGCATGGGTAGGAAAGAGGGGCAGAGAGAGAGAGAGAGAGAGAGAGAGAGAGAGAGAGAGAGAATCTTAAGCTGGCTTCAGGCTCAGCGCAGAGCCCCACATGAGGCTTCATCTCACAGCCCTGCAACCATAACCTGAGCCGAAATCAAGAGTTGGATGCTCAACTGATGAGCCACCCAGGTGCCTCAATCCATTCATTTCTTAATGGGCATCAGTATTTTTAATTTTTATTAATAATATGTCCTACCTCCCAAAATACGTTCATAACTGGCCAGTGTTTCAGTCTCTGTATTTCTTAAATGGTTCTAACACTGATCCACTGATGACAATCTTTAAATCCAAAATAAGAACATGACCTTTATATATTTATCACATCTGTCCATAAGGTCATTTCCAAAACAGGGATTGAACTAATTATGTTTTGTGTTGGATCTCAGGATTTAGATACTTATTTTTATCATCTATGACAATATACCACCAGCCATCATCCCTCATCCATGTTTGGGTTTCTTTTCTTTTCTTTTTTTTAAATTTGTGTCTATATTTGTTATCAGTTGAATCATTAATCATCTGACAATAATAAAAAATTGATGACTTACAAAAAAGATCTCAAGAGCAAGATGCTTGAATGTCCCTACCATCTGTCTATATTGCCATTTCCCACATGGACTACATCTCTTCTGTTAATCAATCTCAGTGTTGCACATTATCAATCAACTTGCTTTATGTCATATTTGTTATTGGACAATTGTTAACATTTTTATGAATTTAATAATTTTTAATGCTACACAAACACTTAAAACAAATGACCCGAATGAAAACAAGATCTTTGACTGTTACTCACCTTAGTGTCGGCCTGATACAGAATAATAACGGGATGAAATGATATGTGATAATCTCGATCACACGGAAACAGAAATCAGCTCCAGCATCCCTTCTGAAGAGTACTGAGCAAAGAAGGTGATAAAAAGATTGAGACATTCCTCTCTACTGATCCACCATTCATATACAAAGTCATTTAGTTTTTGATTAATTTATAATAACATTTATTTATTTTTCTGTTAATGCTAATCAGACATAAAACTTATACATGATCAGCAACCTCTGGATATCACGACAGATAATAAAATATTGAGATAGTCTTCCCATGAGTACATACTTTTCTGAATCATCTTCTTAGTCTCTTGGGTATGTATTATTTTACAGTGTCATTTCCTTTTGCCTTTGTAAATGAACCACTTGAACCCACCACTAACTCAAAGCAAGAACACTATTACATATCATCATCTGTATTCTCCTTACCCAAAAATGTAACCCCCTTGTCTGTTTATCAGTGAACTTGACTAGTTCCAAGCTATATTAATAGTAATTCTTGCCTCACCATGTATCTTCATAGTTGGGTATGATTCACCCTTTTCATCTTTATGCATTGACATATTTGTTTCTCTCATTTATTTATTGTAATAAAAGCAAAATCCCTAAAGCACCAAAGGCTCGGAACATGATCCTTGACTATGACTGAAATCTGTGTAACAGCTCACTCCCACAGATACAAACACTTCAATCCCTTTTTGCAATGGACCTCAGTGCGTCGTAGAAGTTTTGATCATAAAATATAGATCAGAATGCATTCCATTCACATCCTTGGTCCATGGTTTGCCTTTTTCATGTAATTTGCATATTTTGTGACTATACCACTTCCACCAGAACTAAAACACTGATTACTACTTCCATCTCCTATGTGCTTTGTCCTCATCACTAAAGTAGTTGATGACTCTATCAGTTAAAGAGGGTTTAGGGAGATGCTGAAATAGAAATTTAAAGATTTATGAAAATGAGTGACGTGGATTTGATCTATTTTTAAAATCATCCCAAGTTGGGGAGGTGGGTGGGGGGTGGGGGAAATAGGAGGTGGAAATTAAGGAGAATGCTTGTTGTGATGAGCTCAGGATGATGTATGCAGGTGCTGAATCACTGAACTGTATGCCTGTTAACTTAATTGGAATTTAAATAACTTAAAAAAATGAAATAAAATCATCCCCAGGTAATATCAAAGCAAATTAATCATAAACTTTAGGGGCACCTGGGTGGCTTAGTTGGTTAACTATCTGACTCTTGATTTCAGATCAGGTTATGATCTCATGGTTCATGAGATCAAGTCCTGTGTTAGGCTCTGTGCTGACAGCATGGAGCCTCCTTAGGATTCTCTCTCTCTCTCTCTCTCTCTCTCTCTCTCTCCCCCTCTCTCTCTCTCTCTCTCTGTCCCTCCCCTTCTCATTCTCTCTCTCTCTCCCCCTCTCTCACTCTCTCTCTCTGTGTCTCTCAAACTAAATAAGTAAAGATTTTTTTAAAACTTAATCATAAATTTTGGTTCCTCATCATTAGTATAGGACTGTCTTTTTTTAGTTTATTCACGTGTATAGCCATTTATTCATTTTAAATATATATTCCTAAACATACAGATCTGGGTCTACGCAAAATGTATAATCTGTGCAGGTGCATCCATTGTGGACAGCAAAAAGATGATATTAAAAGAATTTTCTCCATTGGATCATGCTTTCTCCTTTCATTTAATTAAAGTTTCAGGTATTTATTAATTAATGTATCTATTACTTTGCTCCTTTCTTTGCTTCATTGTATTCATTATTATTATTACTATTTTATTATTATTTAGTTTCAAGTGTAGAATCGAGTGATTCAGCGCCTCCATACAACACTGGTGCTCATCACAGGAGCACTCCTTAATCCCCATCACCTATTTCAACCATCCCCCCACCTCCTCCCTGGTAAACCCCTTGTGTTCTCTGTAGCTAAGAGTCCGCTTCTTGGTTTTCCTCTCTTTTCTTTCCTTATTAAAATAAACAACCTGGTATTCAGTGCTAATCCAAAGCAAGGGCAGACGTATTACATACATCTAAATTACATACATGTAAATACATATGTATTTACATAAGTATTTACATACATAAAACAGTGATTCTCAAAATGTTGTTTTTAAATGAGGCATTATGGGACAGGGAACATATTTGCAATGCAGGTTCTTCGACCCTGCTAGAATCCTGCCAAAGCAGACATGCTGAGGGTGGGACTGGAAGTCTCTAATTTAACCAGTCTTGCAGGTGATTTTGGTGCTCACTCAAGTGTTAGAACCACTGCTCTATAGTACACTAACCCAGAGGGGTAACACCTTTAACCTACTGATTGCTTACCATATTGCCATGTTTCCCAATTGTGTAAACAAAAATTTCAACCTTACATTTTGTTCTTAATTGGCCCAGCATTAATTACTCTCTTCATCTATCGACCTACATATTATCATCTATCTACCTATCTACCTACCTATCAATCATCTACTGATTTTGTTCATTTATTCCCTTAGAATAATGCAATACATCTCCAGGGTTCCATAATTAAATTCTTCCAAATTACTGATCTCTAGCTATAGACTTATTCTCACAGATGTAAGGTACCAAATCTCCTTTTGAAATGAACTTCAGGAATGCAGAAGTGAATTAATCACAAGACACTTTCAGAATGCATTCCGTTTACAAGTTGGTCCGAGGGTTGTGGGTTATCGTTAAGCTGATTAACAGAATGCATTCCATTTACATCATCGGTCCTTGCTTGGCTCTTTGTTTTTTTCAACTTTTCATTTAAATTCTAATTAATTAACATATAGTGTAATATTGGTTTCAGGAGTAGAATTTACTGACTCATCACTTACATGTAACACCCAATGCTCATCACAAGTGCTTTCATTAATACCCATCATCCACTTAGCCCCACCTCTATCGACCCCCCCCTCCAGCAACCCTCGGTTTGTTCTCTAGAGATAAGAGTATGTCATACAGTTTGCCTCTCTCTTTTTCCCCCCATGCTCATCTCTTTCACTTCGAAAATTCCACGAGTGAAATTATATGGCATTTGTCTTTCTCTGAATGACCCATTTCACTTAGCTTAGTACACTCTAGATCCATCCATGTTGTTGCAAATTTTCATGCTTTTTTATGACCGAGTAATATTCCTTTGTGGTGTGTGTATGTGTGTGTGTGTGTGTTTGTGTGTGTGTGTGTTTGTGTGCGCGCGCGTGCTTCCTTATCCGTTCACCAGTTGATGGAAATTTGGGCTTTTTACATAATTTGACTACTGTTGATAACACTGCTTTAAACATCAGGTACATCTGCTCCTTCGAATCAGTACTTTTGTTTCCTTTGGGTAAATACCTAGTAGTACAACTGCTAGATCGTAGGGTAGTTCTATTTTTAATTTTTTGGAGAACCTCCATACCTTTTAATTTAACTTGTATATTCTTTAAAGATAGAAGTACAACAAAGAACCCGCTATCCACTCCGCATACAAAGACTATATGATTTAAAAAAAAAGGGGGGGGGGCCGCCTGGGTGGCTTAGTTGGTTAAGCGTCCGACTTTCGCTTAGGTCATGATGTCGCGGTTCGTGGGTTCTAGCCCTGCATCGGGCTCTGTGCTGACTGCAGCTCACAGCCTGGAGCCTGTTTCAGTCTGTGACTCCCTCTCTCTCTGACCCTCCCCTGCTCACACTGTCTCTCTCTCTCTCTCTCCTAGAAATAAATAAAAAACATTAAAAAAAAAAGACTGTACGTTACATCTTTCTAAGAGTTGCTTCACTGAATTAACAACTTCGATCTTTTCCACAGAAGAATGTTTATACACTGTTGTGCAAACCTAAGATGGAATTATAAATATTTATGAATGTAAATGTAAAATCCTCAAACCTTTAAAAAAAATTGTATCAATACAGGAGTGCTGATGCCTAGGGGCACATGTACTCCAATGTTTATAAGCAGCACTCTCAACAATAGCCAAATCATGGAAATAGCCTAAATGTCCATCAACTGATGAATGGATCAAGATGATGTGGTTTATACATACAATGGGATACTTAATGGTAATGAGAAAAAAAATGAAATCTGGCCATTTGCAACAACGTCGATGGAACTCGGAAGGTATTATGCTAAGTGAAATAAGTCAGGCAGAGAAAGACAGATACCATATGTTTTCATCCATATATAGAACAGCAGGACCTTAACAGAGGACTATAGGGGAGGGGAAGGGGAGAAAAATCAGCTAAGGAGAGAGAGGGAGGCAAACCATAAAAGACGCTTAAATACAGAGAACAAACTGAAGATTGATGGGGGGTGGGAGAGAGGGGAAAATGGGTGATGGGCATGGAGGAGGGCATTTGTTGGGCTGAGCACTGGGTGTTATATAGAAACCAACTTGACAATAAGCTATGTTTTAAAAAAAGGAAAATTTAGAAAACTGTATCAATAGATTTAATATACATTCATTCACTCTTTAATTCATAAAAAATTGACAAAACTATTCACTGTTAAAAAAATGAAAACTGTTTAAGTTCTCAGAAACCCAGAATAGAAATGCTATTGTGTGTTATCTGTACAGCTCCCCTGACCCAACCTGGAGCTGAGACTTGTTTCTTAGGAGGGACATGGACTATGTCTCATCACGTGCTCACCGCAGGCCATGTAATGATAAAATGTGTACTGCTGTATACAAACTCAAGATGATAACACTAATTAATAATAACTGTGTCCAGCTGCTTGCTCTCATGAATGACAAAGGACTACATACTGTTTTTCCAATTTTACTGAGAAATTATGGATAAGTATAGTTGTATATATTTAAAGTGTACCATGTGACTTTTGATTCACATGTACATTGTGGAATGATCACCAATGGAACACAGTGAAGCCAATCAGATTGATCATAACTGGTTATATGATTCAGTTTTATCACTGGTTCATGCTTGGCCCTCTTTGATATAGTGAGTTGATTACATTATATAAACTTTTTCCCTATTTCTCAATTTCAAAAAAAGCACCTGCAACCCAAAGACAGCACAGAACATGAAGTTCAACAATTACACATTTCTGTCCCCATGTACCTACTGATGAGGTACAAACACTTACATAAATTTTTGATGGGCTTCCATTCCTTAGAAACGGATTGGCAATGATGTTACTTTCATTACATATGCTATAGTTATTGCCTATTTGGCCCTATTTTTCATTCATTCATTCATACATTTTCAGTTATTTTTGCATTGGTTAATTTTTAATAAGCAATCAATATTTGTGAAACTCAAAAGCCCAAAAATAATAGTAGATATCTCTAACAACTGCTTATAGGACTGTTTATAACAGAAGCAATAGACTAGATTTCTTTCTACATTGGATTTGCATTGGATCACGAAGTTGTAGATCAGCCTTTGGCATCCTTGCCTCATATGCTACTAGTCCTCAGAATTGGTTCAGATTTCACTCTCCTTTTTTCACTAGATTATAATTTTGTTAGAGATTAATTCATTAATTCACTAACAATAAAAAAATACTTATGAGATTATTAAAAGTAGCTTTAATGTCCCTGACTTCAGGACATAAAATCATTTTACAGGGCAAATAGTCTAGATCTACTTTACTAAATGACCTCAGTATTGAGTATGGATTTAGCCAACATGCTCATTTCAAAGTCTTTATCATTAGTGCATGGTTGGCATGAACTAATGTGCTGCAACATCTGTCTATATAGAATGATTTCTTTCAGCAATTCACTTCTTTCATTGACTGACCTCAATGTTTTTTGTAAATGGATTAATAAACACAATGCTTCATGTTAATTGCATTTGGGGGCAATGGTTGGCATTCACTGATTACATTTCACATTTTTTAACACTACAGTGAATACCCTAAACACACCACCCAAACTGACAGCACATTGACTCTTACTTCTATTGATTTCCATTCTCTAACACCTAGATTCAGCCATAGAGCTTGTAATCGTGGAAGATGCTTAAATCAACTTGAGTGCCTCCAACCTGAGAAGAAGAGAGCAGATGATAACACAAAGCTAGACACCTGGTTTCTGCTGGTCTTTGCATTCCATCGTTCATCTAGTTGGTCATTTCAGGAATTTGCAATTGGGAGAAATGGTTACTTAATTTCTCCTAATAAATGAACTATAATGCCCTTGCCACTGACACAGATTATGAACACTGCCAATTACTTTCTAACACTACAGTATATAATCATTAGCCAAAGAGGCAACATGTCTATACATATACTTCTTGGTGGATGGGAGTGTGTTTTCAATACACATTAATAGTATTGTCTTACTACATCTTTTTATAATTGGACAATGCTTCATGATATTAATCTTTATTTATACATTATTATCTCATTGATCTGATTATAAAAATAAAGAATGCATGAACATAAAGCCAAACCATGATCCTTCTATATTTATGATATCTGTCTATAGGATCACTTCACACAGGGCACTGGACTAGATTGCTTTTCTGTTGGACCTCAGAGTTCCAGACACGTATTCATCATACACAACTCTTAAGCCACCAGTGGTCATCATCGATCCATTACTGTCCCTCTTTTCCTTCATTCAGTTCTACATTATTTATCGACTAATTCCTTAATTTACTAATAATAATTTTAAGACCCTATTATTCACAAAAACACAAGAAGAGCCTTAGTATCTCTAATCCATCTATAGGAATATTCTCACTCTCCTATAGGATACAAATAGGGTCAAGGTATCCCTCTCATTAATTACAATGTTTTCCATATATGCATTAATCAATACAATCAACCCCTATTCACCAATATAATCAATTCCATAGTTGCCCCTACTTGATTTATGATTTGTACTTTTTAAATGATATAGTGAACACCTTTAAAAAAAAAAAGAAAAGAAAAGAAAGGAAGAACACTAGAAAGACAAACACTTCGGCCACTACTCACATTGGTCTCTATGCTCCTAAATCAGGGATGCAATCAGAGAGCATGTAACCATGGAAACACTTGTATCAGCTTGAGTACTTCCATTCTGAGGAGTACAGAGCAGAGCAGATGATAAAGGAAATTAGGACTTTATCTCATTGCCTCTTGGTAACCACATTTACTTAGTCATTCAGGTACCTATAAAATTTTCATGATGTAGATTTTTGTTCTCTTAACAGAGAAAACAAACTTGAGACTAACGCAGTAAATAAAATTGACTCTTACTTATCAGAATTTATATGATACTTAGGCAAAGAGGCAACACCCTTGATTCATTTATTTCCTAGGAGGCATCAATGTCTTTTTCTATTTTTGTTAGTAAAATTTCTTGCCTCACCCAACTTGGACAATATTTAATATTCTTTTTTCTCTATATTTATTTGTTTAAAGGTCCTATCATTGATCTATTAGTAATAATAAAACCTAAATCTATGAACCCAAATAAGAACATGATTTTTGTATATTTCTGACATCTGCTTATAGTATCATTTCCAAGAGAAGGATTCAACTATGTTTTGTGTTGGACCTGGGAGCTCTGGACATACATTATTCCAATTAACATGCCACCAGTTATGATCACTGGTCTATATTTGAGTCTCTTTTTCTTCTTTCATTTCTACATTTATATTGAATAGATTATTAATTCATTGATAACAATAGAATTAATATATGATTTCCAAAGCAAAGAAAAAGGTATTTGAATATCCTGATCATAGTCCATAGAATCATTTCCCACGTGGGCTATATCTCTTTGATTAATTAACTTTAAGGTTGATTGGTTAACATATTCCATTATGGATGAATTAACATAATATTTCCTATTATATTTATATGTGGACATAGCTAATTTTTATTACATTTATTCCGTTTTAATACTAGCATAAATAACTTTAAGCAAATGACCCAAACGATGACTAGAACTTTGACGATTACTTACCTTGGCCTTTTGACAATCTTGACCATGACAGAAGCTGAAATCTCCTTGGTGCATCAGTTCTGAAGAGTACCTAGCAGAGAAAATGATAAAAGGACTGAGACATTCTTTTTATTGATTCATTATTTCTAGCCCTCATCTACATGGTCATTTAGGTATTTATTGACTAACGTTAACATTTAGGTTATTTTCTACTTAATAAATTACACACCAAAGTTCTAAGTGACTCAGGGCAGTAATGATCACTTATGATAGTCTATATGAGCCTTAGTACAAGATGCTATACACTTAATCCATTTAATACCAATTTCAATTCATGTTATTTTCCATACTATCCATTTTAAGAATGAACAATACTAGAGCCTCTTCCTCCTCTCCTTATTTTAATTTATACATTTGCTTATTCTTCCATAATAAGATTTTGTGAAATTCATGAACACAAAAGCCAAGAACGAGATCTCTGTATAATCCTAACAGGTGGCTCCTGAACCACTTCAAACAGAAGGGGTGGACGCGCTTCTGTTGTGTTGGACTTCAGCGTTCCAGAAACACAGTATTCATTATCTATGACTCATACGCCACCAGTGGTCATCACTGGTCCAGCCCTGACTCTCCCTTTCTTTTCCTTCTGTCTTTATCTACTTATTGATCAATCAATTCATCAATTCACTGATAATAATAATAAAATAAATGTCTATCAATCACAAATACTCAAGGACAAGATCCTTAATATCCCTACTATCTACCTAGAGAATCATTTGCCTCACTGAATATGCCTCTTTCATTAATGATCTTTACTGATACAAATACGTATAAATCAATATAACATTCCATATCAAGTCCGTGTTTATCCTTGGAGCACTGGCGAGGCTTCCTTGAATATACTTAATACTATTTTACAATGTTACAATAAATAAACAACCCAGACCAAGAGATGAATTTGACTGTTCCTCACACTGGTCTACGTGCACCAAACATAAGAACCACCGCCGGAGCTCCTGTTCACAGCCAAGTGCTTCAACAGTTCGCACGTGTCCACCTGCAGAATAAAAAGCAGAGCAGATGAAAACAAGATTGAGAGACACTCTATTGATGTGAATATTTTACCTTCATTTAGTCGGTCACTTAGGAATATAGTACATTAGGGTCATCTTTATTAATTAGTAAGTTAACTTTCTATTAATTAAGTTATTAACAAATTAATAAATTTGACTGTTATTTACTATCTATAGCATTATTAACCAAAGAGGTAAGACACTGGAAACATTTACATGTCTTAATAAACTTCAGTATTCTCAATAAATGTTCCTAACTTTTACTAAGAATAGATACACTTCACCCTTTTAATCTTATTCATACTTGTATATTGATCCCACTTTGAGCCATGTGTTACAGTAGAATCAAAAGTCATGAAAATAAACCAATAAAAGGGCCCTTTTCCCACCCCTCACATCTTACATAAGACCACTTCAAACAGAGGCAACAGACTTTATTTCCTTTTTTAATTGGACCTCAAGAGTTTCAGACACATAGGATTCATCATCTGTGACTCATACGCCACCAGCTATCATCATTGGTCCAGATCTGGCCCTCTTTTTCTTCATTCTCATGTATCTAACTTCACTAATTCCTTAATCCATTCATGATAATTTTTAAAACCCTGTGATTCACAAAAATGCAATAATAAGAGCAGTGAATATTCCACATCTGCCTATAAGATCACCATCATCAATACTTCACATAGGCATTAGCAAATATTATATCTCATATTTATTGGTTCCCATGTTTACTGTTTTAAATATTTCACACTTTTAATAGTACATTGAATATCTTTCTTAAAAAAAAAATACTGCTTTGGGCACCTGGGTGGCTGACTTCAGCTTCGGTTCTGATTTCACAGTTCGTGGGTTCGAGCCCCACATCGGGCTCTGTGCTGACAGCTTGGAGCCTGGAGCCTGCTTCCAATTCTGTGTCTCCCTCTCTGGTTCATGCTCTGTCTCACTCTCAAAAATAAGTAAACATTAAAAAATATTTTAATAAATAAATAAAAATAAAAAATTGCTTAACCAAATACAAGAACTTTAACCTTTACTCACAGTCATCTCCATGCGCCAAACACACAGGAAATCATGGAACTTTTGACCATGGAAAACGCTCAATCAGCTGGAATGTGTTGATTCTGAGGAGTGTTACCCAGAGCAGATAATCAAAAATTGAAACTTCTCTACTAGTCTTGTTTTCCTCATTTCATTTTTCCAGCTATCTGTTTATTATTTTTTCACAACATATATACATACGAAAATACAAACATATATGTCACAAAATTAACATTCTGCAACCCAAGAATGACCCAGGCTTGCAAAATTGAACATTGCTTCACAGTGTCCGCATCTACATGATCCTCAGAAAAAGAGGTAACACCTTTGGTCCATGTATTTCTCAACTTGCATGAGGTTCTTCAGTTTATATTAACAGGATTTCTTGCCTCACCAAATATATTTATACTTATAGATTTATAGATTTGTATTGGTTCTGTCATTGCTCATTTTATGTTAATGCTATAGAAATCCATTAATCCAAAATGACAAGAACCATATTGTTGTATATTCCTAACGTTGAGCCATAGGATAATTTGAAAAAGAAGAAATAGACTAGATTTCCCTTTCTGTTGGACCTCACACTTCCAGACACGTAGCATTCATTGGGTAGGGCTCCTACGCCACCAGCTGTCATCACTGGCTCAGGACTGGCCCAGTTCTTCCTTCTCATCTCCATTTGTTCCAACATTAATTCACCAATCTATCAATAGTCATTAAGTACATATCTATGAATCTCAAAAAGCAAGGACAAAAGCCTTCAGTATTTCTATCATTTTTCTTTAGAATCATTGCCTAATTAAATATACTTCTTTAGATGTAGTTTATCTATACAGTGGAATACTACATGGCAATGAGAAACAATGAAATCTGGCCATGTGTAGCAACATGGATGGACCATGAGGGTGTTATGCTGAGCAAAATAAGTCAGGCAGAGAAGGACAAATATCATATGTTTGCACATATAGGAGGATTAGGAGGAACTTAACAGAGGAACAAGGGGGAGAAGAAGGGGGGAAATGATGGTGGGGGAAAGGGAGAGAGGCAAACCATGAGAGACTCTTGAATGCTGAGAATAAACTGAGGGCTCATGGGTGTGTCGGGGAGAGGAGGAAGATGGGCATGGAGGAGGGCACTTGTGGGGATGAGCACTGGGTGTTATATGGAAACCAACTTGACAATAAACTATCTGTCAAAAAAAAAAAAAAAAAAAAAGAATGGATATTACCAAAAAGGCTAGTGCTGGTGAGGATGTGGAGAAAGGGAACCCTTGTGTATTGTTGGTGGGAATGTAATTTGGTACAGCCACTGTTCAAACAGATGGAGGATCCTCAAAAAATTAAAATTAGAACTACCATATGATCTAGTAATTCAATTTCTGGGTATTTATCCGAAGAAAATGAAAACACTAATTCAAAAAGGTATCTGCACCCCCATGTTCACAGCAGCCCTATTTACAATAGCCAAGACATGAAGCAACCTAAGTGTCCATCAATGGATGAGTGAATAAAGAACCGCGGTGTATATGTGTATATGTATATGAATATGTAGATGTATACACATACATACACACAAAAACATAAAATGGAATATTATTCAGCCATAAAAAAGGAAATCTTGCCATTTTACAGCAACATGGATGGACCTTGAGAGCATCACGCTAAGTGAAATAAGTCAGACATAGCCAAATACCGTATGATCTCTCTTCTGTACATCATCTCAAAGTAAATAAGAAAACAAAAATTATAATTAAAAAAAAAAGTTCATAGATACAGAGAATAGAATGGTCATGCCAGGGGGAGGGGTGGGTGAAATAGGTGAAGGTAGTCAAAAGCACACCGGTGACTGTACTGTCTGTCAGAATTGCTAAGAGAGTCAATCTTAAAAAGTTTTCATCACAGAGAAAAAAATGTGTAACAAGGCACGGTGGTGGGTGTTAACCAGACTTGCTGTGGTGGTCACTTCACACATATACAAATATTGAATTACGTTGTACACCTGAAACTAATATTATATGTCAATTATTTCCCCAACCAAAGAAGTAGCCATTTTTTTAGCTTTATGAGATGCATAAGCTATTTAGAGTCATAAGAAACTACACAAAACCTACATAAATAAAAATTATTCATGTTTCTTTGGCAAAACAAAATATACTTCTTTATTAACCATACTCATTGCAGTAAAGGTAGGTTAATCATCATAATGTTTCACAAAGGTTCAACTTGGTCATTGGGCCACAGTTAGTCTTTTTTCTTTTTTTTTTTTTTTTTTTAAATTTTTTTTTTAATGTTTTATTTATTTCTAGGAGAGAGAGAGAGAGAGAGACAGCATGAGCAGGGGAGGGTCAGAGAGAGAGGGAGTCACAGACTGAAACAGGCTCCAGGCTCCGAGCTGGCAGTCAGCACAGAGCCCGACGCGGGGCTCGAACCCACGAACCGCGAGATCGTGACCTAAGCGAAAGTCGGACGCTTAACCGACTAAGCCACCGAGGCGCCCCTAGTCTTTTTTCTTATATTAAATACTTTGTGAATAATTCCAGTGATACCCTGAACAAACCCTCCAAACCAAGACAAGAAATTTGATGATTACACACATTGGACTTCAGGCTCCCACACAGAGCGCCTGGAACGCCTGAACATGGCAGATGCTGAAATCGACTCAGGTGTTTTCTTTCTGAGAAGCACAAAGCAAAGTAGGTGTAAACAAGACTGAAACATGATCTCGTTCTGCAAAGTCTACGTTACAAGTCAATCATTTGGAAATACATTAATTTAGAATAAGGCTTATCATTTTATTTTTAAAAATGAGTCATCTCATACTTGCTACAGACCCAGAATAAGAATTTCTCTGTCACTGTTCACTAAAGAGGTGAGGCACATGAACCATTCATTCTTCCTAATGGGATTTGGTATCTTCAATACATTTGAATAGTTTCTATTGCCTCACCACATATACTAAGAGTACCTATGCCCCCAAATGCTCTACATTTTCACTTTTCAATATTTCTACATTGATTCTTGAATTGATCCATTGATAATAAAAGAATCAAAATTCAAGAAAACTAAGAACACAGTCCCTTTATATGCCTCAAATGAGTCCATAGAATATTCTCAAGCAGAGGTAAGAGACTGTATTTCCTTTTCTGTTGGACCTCAGAGTTCCAGACACGTAGTATTCATCGTCCATGACTCCTACGCCACCAGCCGTCATCACTGGTCCAGATTTCCATCTCTTCCTCTTCATTCTTTGTATATTATTTCATTAATTACTGAATTCACTAATACTAATTTTAAAAACCCTAAGATTCACAAAAAAATGAGTAAGAATGTTGAATATTTCATATCTGTCAAGAGATTCATCTACCATATTGATGTCTCTCTTTCCTTAATTAGCCTTAGTCTATCATAAATGGGTTCATAAATATAATGCTTGGTAATACTTCCATATATATCACTGGCCGTGGCTGGCCTTTTGCATTATATTCATTCTATTAATAACACAGTAAATACCCCTTTATTTAAAGCCTGTCAAATGAAAACATGAACTTTATTACTCACGTTGGTCTCTGCACACATGGAACACTTGTTCACTCATAGGGATTGTGACCATGAAAGAGTTCTTCAACCAGCTTGAGTGTGTCCATCCTGAGGAATACAAAACAGAGCATGTGATATATGAGACCTAATCTGAAATGATCATTCTTTTCCACATTTCATTTATCCTATCATTTAGGGACTTACAAATGTTCTTTCTCTTAACCAAAGGAACAACCTCAAAATTGAGATTGACCTAAAAACTCAAACTCTTCCTTATGAGTTTTTATGAGGTGACCCACACTTGATGCATTTAGTCCTTAAGGGGTATCAGTGTTTTCAATCTTTAGTCATAATGCTTGCCTTACCACATATATTCACAGCTGGACAACACTTTACTCTTTTTTTCTTTATCTATTAATTTATATTTCATTAGTGGTTCTATTATTGATCCATTAATAATAATAAATCTAAATTGATATGATAAAGACCAGAGTAAGAACGTGATCTCTGTATATTTCTAATATCTATCTACAGGAGCATGTCCAAAAGGGGGCTCTGACTAATTATGTCTTGTGTTGGACCTCAGTACTCCAGGGACACATTATTCACCATCTAGATGCATGTGCGACCATTCGCCATCAGTGGCTCTGGTTTGAGTCCCTTTATCTTCATTCATGTCTGCATCGGTATCAAATAAATCATTAATCTGTTAGTAATGGTAAACATGTGAATCACAAAATCTAAGAAGATCCTTTCAAATCTCTAAAATCTCTCTATAGAATCGGGGCGCCTGGGTGCCTCAGTCAGTTAAACATCTGACTTTGGCTTAAGTCATGATCTCATGGTTTGTGATTTCGAGCCTTTCATCGGGCTGTGTGCTGACAGCTCAGACCCCAGAGCCTGCTTCGGATTCTGTGTCTCCCCCTCTCTGCGTTGCTTCTCTTACATATGCTCTGTCTCCCTCTCTCAAAAATAAATAAAACATTAAGAGTTTTTAAAAAATAAAATAAAATCTTTCTGTAGAATCATTTCCCACATAAACTGATTCCATTTCATTAACTGACCTCTTCATTGAATCAGAATCATGTCTTATATCCTATTTCTCACTGGGGCAGAGTTAACGTCTTTAAATTAGGTTCCATAATAAAAATTCAATGTGTACCTTTTAACAATGGCCCGATCTATTATGACCACTTTGACCATTACTCACCTTGGTCTCTTTCCAGCATGGAAGCAACATGACGATCTTGATCAGGGCAGAAGCTAACATCAGCTTGGGGTTCTGTTCTGAAGAGTACCAAGCAGAAAAGGTGGTAACAAGATTGAGACATTCTCTCCATTTATCCATACTTTCCACCATTCATATAGGTGGTCATTTAGTTATTTTTCAAAGTCTGGTAACATTTCCTTCTATAAAATAAGCATCAAACGTCCAACATTTTCAGTTTAATAACTGACTTTTCTTATAAAGATCTCTCGCTTTTTAATCGAGGCAAAATTAGCTATTTAAAGTTAACAAATCATGGATGGGGTGCCTGGGTGGCTCAGTCAGTTTAGTGTCTAACTCTTCATTGTGGCTCAGGTCAAGATCTCACAGTTCATGAGATCAAACCACGTGCCATCGGCGTGGAGCCTGCTTGGGACTCGCTCCCTTGCTCTCTCTGCTCTTCCCCTGCTCACACTCTCTTTCTCTCTCAAAATAAATAAACTTAAATACTACTACTACTAATAATAATAACAATAAAGTCAACAAAACAATAGCATTTAGTATTTTCACAATATCTTGCACCACCACCTCTACCTAGTTTCAAAGTACTTCCATGACACCACGATAAAATCCCATACTCATTAAGCAATCTCTCCCCACCCCCCCGGTTCCCAGACCCTGGAAACTACCAATCCTTATTCTCTCTCTATGGATTTATGTGTTTGGGACATTTCATATAAATGGAGTCATGCATGAGGTGACCTTCTCTGTCTGCCTTTTAACATTTAGCATAATGTTTTCAAGGCACATGAGCACCGGTGTGGGTCACTACTTCATTTAAAAATCTTTTTTTTATTGGGTATCATTGACACACAACATTACATTAGATTCAGGTGCAGAACATGTGATCCAGCTTCTCTGTACATTATGCTGTGCTTGCCCCGAGTGTAGCCACCGCCTGTCACACACAACACTATGAGAGTTTCATTAACTATTTGCCTTTTCTTCCCATGACCCCATAATGAACTGTTACCGATCACTATCTATATCACCCTTAGTCAAAATACAAAATATGGGCGCCTGGGCAGCTCAGTCTGTTAAGTGTCCTACTCTCAATTTTAGCTCAGGTCATGATCTCCTGATTCCTAAGATGGAGCCCCAGAGTCGGGCTCTGCACTGACAACATGGAGCCTACTTGGGATTCACTCTCTCCCTCTCTGCCCCTCCCCCATTTGTTTTCTCTATCTTTCTCTCTCTTTCTCTCTCTCTCTCTCTCTCTCTCTCTCTCTCAAAAATAAATAAATAATAAGTAAAATATACTGAATCCATGTATTATCCATTCTAACTTACATTAATATTATTTCTATCACTAAATTCTACTTCTGAAACATATTACACGTTACATGTACATGTAATTACATGTACATTACATAACACATTACATGTTAACTAATTAGAATTTAAATAAAAATTAGAGGAGCACCAGGGTGGTTCAGTTTGTTGGGCATCTGACTTTTGAATTCACCTAAGGTCATGATCTCATGATTCTTAAGTTCAAGCCCCACATCAGGGTCCACCTGCCTGGGATTCTCTCTATGTCCCTCCCCTCTGCTGCTCACTCATGTGCTTTCTCTCTCTCTCTCAAAATAAATAAACTTAAAAAGTAACATAAATAAATAAATAAGAATTTGGAGAAAAAAATGCTATTTCTCCTTATGACATATTTTAGTAATGAACAATTTTTGTCTTGTTCACCTTTATTCATTTATACGTTGGTTTATTCTGCCATTGAACTTCTGTAATATTTCTTGAAATTCCTGAATAAGAACAAGGTCCTTGTATACCCTGACACCTGTCTATAGGAATATTCTGAGCAGAGGAAACCGACTAGAAATCTTTATGCTGGATGGACCTCAGACTTCCAGACACGTAGCAGTCATCGTATATGACTCATACGCCACCAGCTGTCATCACGGGTCCACACTCAGGTCTCCTTTTCTTCATTCTCACTTACATGTGTTTACTGTCAATTTATTAAGCAATTAATAATCATAAAATAAGCCTCTGGGAATCACAAAAACTCAAGGACAAGATCCTTCAGTATCCTTAGCATCTGTCTGTTGAATCTCTATACTTATTTCACTAATGATCCTCACTATGGACAATACTGGTTAGTTAACATGTTTCGTGTCAACACCATATTTACCATTGAGCTGTGTCTCGACTTCCTTGAATTTTTAATATGACACTGAGTATACTACACAAACCACCTAAAGCAGGCGGAGAACCTGACTGACACTCACATTGGTCTTCATCCTCTTACACAAAGGGGCATCCATGAGGCACCCAATCATGGCCAAACACCTAAGTAAGTTCAAGTGTATCCATCTGAGGAATACAAAGAAGAACAGATAATAACAAGACTGAGATACTCTCTATTGATCCACACATCCTACCTACATTCAGTGAGTCATTTAGGAACACAGTGAATTGGGATCATATTAATTCTTTTTCTCTTTAAAAAATGAACAATATCAATCCTAATACTAAGAATAAAAACTTTGGCTGTTTTTCATGGTCTATATATCATTCTCAGCCAAAGAGTAAGACATGTGAACCATTTACATTTCTTAATGAACTGCAGTGTTTTCTATAGAGGCAATAGATTGTCTTTCTTTGTGTTGGACCTCAGAGTTTCAGACACGTAATAGTCATCATCCATGATTCATACGCCACCAACTATCATCATTGGTCCAGATCTGTGCCTCCTTCCTTCTCATTCTCATCTGCATCAGTTCCCTGACCAATTCATGAATTCATTAATATTAGCTCTTAAAACTCCCTGATTCACAAAAACCCAAGAATAAGAGCAATGAATACTCTGTATCTGCCTATAGGATGATCTGCCGCACTGCTGTATCTCTCACATGAATGCTCATCAAAGTTCCATATGTGGATTAATACATGTCACGTAGCAGATAAATCCCATATTTATCATTCATGATGGCTGGCATTTCTTATTATATTTTACACTTTTAAGAATACAGTGAACACCTGAAAATATATTCTCAAAGACATGAACTTTAACTCGTACTCACGTTGGCCTCTATGCTCATTAGACACGGAGGCAACCAGAGTGTGTGGCCATGAGACGTGCTTCAACCCAAATGCAGTCATGTGCCTATTCTGAGGAGTACAGAGCAGAGAAGATGATAAAAGACATGGAGGCCTTCTCTTAACTGATCTTGTTTTCCTCATTTCATTTACTCAATCATAAAGGTATTTATTATTTTTCCTAATTTATACACACATGTAAGCATACATGTAAATGTAATGTTATGATACTTAAAAAAAGAAGTAACACCCTTGATCCATTTATCTCTTAACCTCCATCAGTTTCTTTGGTTTATATGAATAGTAGTTCCTGCCTCACCACATATACATCCATGGTTGAGAAGACTTCTTCTATGGTTTTATTTGGTTATATATTTATTGATTGGTTCTATCATTGATCCATTCATTTACATTAATAACATAGAAATTCATAAATCCCTGATTACTAGATTTACACCCTTGTATATTCTTAATATCAATCCATAGGATCATCGTCTTGGACCTCAGACTTCCAGACACGTAGCAGTCATCGTATGCGACTCATACGCCACCAGCTGTCATCATTGGTCCACGCTTGGATCTCTTTTTCTTTATTGTCATACACATTTTTAAAAAATTAATTCATCAATTCACTATGGTAATTAAATAACTAACTCTGAATCACAAAAGCCCAAGGACAAGGGCCTTTGGCATCCTTATCATTTTTCTTTAGAGTCATTGCCTCATTGAAATGATTCTAAAGAAAAAATGATAAGGATACCCATTAATCTCCCATAATCTCCCATTAATCATCCTCATTGTTGAAAAGGTAGATGAATCAACATCATATTTCATACATTTCCGATTTCAAGACTGGATCATGGGTGGTCTTTTCTCTTATATTCAATACTTGTTTTTAAATATTACAGAGAATCCCCTTAAGAAACTACCCAAAGTGTAATGAAAACATTGACTATTACTCACGTTGGGTTTCCATGTTCCTACAGGCATACAATTTAAACCACCTTGGGTGAGTCATTCTAAAAAGTAGAAAGCAGAGTAGATAATAACATGATTGATATATTTTCTCTATTGATCCTTGTGTCTATATTTCATTTCCCAGTAATAATGCTGTGTATTAACTTGGGATAATATGCATTTTACTTTTTCTTAAGAAAAACATTGAGCTTTCCATTAACTCAGAACAAGAATACTGGCCATTGTTTATACTGTCTATAACATTCTTACCTAGAGGTAACACCTTTGAACTATTTCTCTTACTCTTGCCTAACTATATGTTTCATCACTGTACAATGCTTTACCCCCCTCGTCTATTTTATATAAACATTATATTGATTCTTTTGTTGATTCACGTATTATAATAGAATCAAAATAAATGAGCACAAAAACCCCAGAACAAGATCCTTGTGAAACCTTAAATCTGTCTATAGGATCATTTCCAACAGAGGTAATAAACTAGATTTCTTTTTATATTGGACCTCAGAGTTCCAGACACGTAATCATCAACAGTGAGTCATACGCCACCAGCCGTCATCATTGGTCCACCCCTGGCCTTTTTCCTCACTTTTATCTACCTTTGTTTATTAATTAACTCACCAATTTATCTGATACTAATAAAATAAACACCTATAAGCAAAAACAAAAACAAAAAAACCTAGGCTACAGGCCTTGAACAGTCCTACATCTGTCCATAGAATCAACGTATATTCTTGATTAATCACCCTCAAAGTTTCCCATGGGGATTAATCAAAGAATAATGCAATACAATATCAACTCCATATTTCCCAATGGACCATGGGTGGCTTTCTTTTATTATATTTCATACTTTTCAAATACAGAGTGTATACCCATAAAAACTCACATTTTTTTCTATACACCAAACACTGAGACAAGCAGACACCTTGTGACCATGGAACAGTCCTTAAATTAGCTCTAGCTCCATCCATTCTGAGAAGTGCAAAACAGAAGGTGATATTAAAAATAAACAAAAAAACTTAGACCTTATCTTCATCACCTTGATTTCCACATTTCATTGACTCAACCACCTAGGTATTTCTTAATTTTCATATTTTACAATACTTCACTTATTCATATTTATTTGTATTGGATTATTGACTCTTTCACTTCTCTATACTAAAAGAATCAAAATCCATGAACACAAGGAACAAGAACATCATCCTTGTCTGTTACTAACACCTATCAATATGGTCACTTGAAACAGAGAGAAAAGAATAGATTTCTTATTTTGTTGGACCTCAGAGTTCCCGACACGTAGTATTCATCGTCCATGACTCCTACGCCACAAGGTCATCATTGGTCCAGAACTGGCCCTCTTTTTCTTCACTCACTTCTACATTTATTAATGATTATCAATAAATTAATAACTATAAAATAAATATCTATGAGTCAAATATTCTTGAAAATAAGATCCGTAAGTATCCCTAACATCCGTCCATAGAATCATTGCTGCCTCCTTGAATATACATTTCATTAATCATCTACAATGTTGCAAACACTGGTTAATCAATATAATGTTTCATGTCAATTCCCTATTTATCATGGGGCTGGCCTTTTTTATTATATTTAAATATTTTTAATATGACAGTCAACATGTTAAATAAACCACCAAAAATAAGAACTTTGTACTCACACTGATCTCCATCCCCTACATATAGAGCTCATAACCATGGCGGATGCTTTCATCACCTCGGAGTGCCCACTCTGAGAAGTATAAAGCAGACAGAACGGGAAGAAAAACAACAAAAGCTGAGACACAATATCTCCAACTCTCTATGCAATCCTTGCACGTAACTTTTTATTTAGTGGGCACTTTAGGTATTAATTACTTGGGGATAATATGTATTAATATTTCTCGTAAGATCGTGAACGTCAAATTTGCCCCCGAGCCAGAATAAGAACCATGACTGTTACTTGTACTTTTTGTATAATCATTAGCCAAAGAAATAACACCTTTGAACCATATTAATAGATTCTCTTACTTCATGACACATTTTTATAATTCTACAATCTTTTACTTATTCATATTTATTTATATTTGTTTATTGGCTAGTTAGAATTTTAATATATCCAATAATAATAATAGAATTGGAATCCATAAGCACAAAGGCCAAGAACATGATCCTTGTATACTCTTAACATCTGTCTATAGGATCATTTCTGAAAGAGGCAGTAGACTAGATTTCCTATGTGTTGGACCTCAGAGTTCCAGACATGTATCATTCATCATGCGTGATTCATACGGCACCAGCCTTCATCATCGATCCAAGTTTGGGCCTCTTCTTCTTCATTGCCATCAATATTTATTAATTAATTTACCAATTCCCTGGTGATAATAGAAGAAATACCTATGAACTAAAAAAAAGAACAGAAGAATAATGGCCCTAAATAGCCTTCCATTCGCCTATATAATCATTTATCGCATAAGTATATTTCTTATATTAATTATCTTCAATGTTGTGTATATGGTTTATCAACACCATGTTTCATATTATATATATATATATATATATATATATACACACACACCCCATAGCATTGGGCCTCAGTTGGCTTTCTCTGCTTATATAAAATACATCTTATTAAACCAGTGAATATTTTTTCTAAAAAGTAACCAAACTAAAAGCCCTGTGATCATTACTCACATTAGTCTGTGTCCCTAACCATGGAGACTACCACAGAGAATCAGCTTAACTGTATCCATCCCGAGGAGTACAAAGCAGGAGAAATGATTTTAAAAATTGAGACACTCTCTCCATTTAGCCTTGCTTTCACATTTACTTCACTCATTCATTTGATTATTGTTTTTTCATAATATGTACACATTCTCCTTTTAACAACATGCACAACCTCGCCCACGAGACTGGTCCGTGAGAACAGAAGTGACCATGATTAATCAGTGCCTGTACGATCCTTGCACAGAGGTAACATGGTTGGTCCATTTAATTCTTAATGGACTTCTGTGATTTCAATTCATATTAATAGTATTTCTTGCTTCACTACTTTTTTTTTGGAGTTAACAATGCTTCTTTTTATATTTACTGATGTATATATTTCTTTATGGTTCTATCATTGATCCATTTATAAATATGAAATCAAAACTATGTACATGTAGAAAAAGAGAAGAACAAAATCTGTGTTCTCCTTACATCTGTCCATAGAATTATTTCCAACAGAAGGAACACACTAGATTTCTAATTTGTTGGACCTCAGAGTTTCAGACACGTAATATTCATCATCCATGATTCATACATCACCAGTGGTCATCATGGTCCAGAATTGACTCTCTACTTCTCCACTCGTTTCTACTTTTGCTTATTGATTAATTCCTCATTTCATTAATAATTAATTAAATAACTCTGAATCAAAAAAACTTAAGAATAATGTTTTTAAGGATCTGTAATAGCTATCTATGGGATCATTTACCACATTGATTATATCTCTCATTAATCATTCCTAATTTTGGCATCGTTAACACACTGTTCATGGCAATGCCATATATACACTGAGCCATGGTTGGCCATCTTAGATCCTTTAAAAACCACCCAGGCCAAGACAAAGACTTTGGCCGCACTCACATTAGTCTCTGCTCCTAGGCAACAGACAGCTCATGACCATGGAGATGCTTCAACTGGCCTGGAGTATCCATTCTAAGAGTACAAAAACAGATGAGAAAGAAACTGAAATATTCTCTCCATTTATCTTTGTATGCCTCCTTTCATTTCACTTGTCATTTAGGTATGCATTAAATAACATACAACATTGAACAAGGCCCTGACCAAACAAGAAATTGGGCTATTATTTACACTGTGCATATATTAACCTTAGCCAAAGATATAACACCTTTAGGACATTTATTTCTTAATGGAATTCAGTGTTTTTAATAGATAAATAGTATTTCTGACCTCAACATACATTTTCATAATTGGACAATGCTTTATTTCCTTGCTTTAGTTATGGGCTTGTTTGATTCTTTTTGTTGACCCCTTTACAATAATAGAATCAAATTCCGTGAACACAAACTGAGAACAAGAACCTTAAATATTCTTGACATCTGTCTATTGGATCATTTCCAGTAGAAGGTATAAACCAGATTTCATATCATGCTGGGCCTCAGAGTTCCAGTTACATAGCATCCATCATGCAGGACTCATACTCTACCCATCATCCAGGACTGGCCTTCATTATGTTCAATCTTATGTGCATGTCTTAATGATTAATTCATCAATCTCCACAGAATAATAAAATGCCTAAAGGTCATGTCAACTTGAGACAAGATCCTTTAATATCTCTAACATTGCTGTGTAGAATTACAGCCCCCTGATATCCCTGATGTACATCCTTCGCTAGTGTTCTACAATGTTTCCTGTATAGATTAATATAATAGTTCACATTAACCCCATTTTACTATTTCACTGTGACCAAACTATGCCTCTGTAAATAAAGAAGTTTGAAATCAACTGTGATTCAAAATTCAAATTGAATAATATGTTTTCCATTCATTAATTGAATAATTAACTGTGGAAATGAATAAAATAGTTTTGTGTTCTTCCCCTTAATTGACCACAGATGTGCTGAACTGGCCCACGCATGACCTTAATTCATTTTATTAGTATATGTAGCCATTTATTGCCTTTCAATAATGGAGTTCACACCTATGACAAACCACCAAACCGAAAGCAATTACCTTGGCTGTTACTTACACAAGTTTCTATACTCCATAATTGATTCACTGTGCATACATTCTGTAGAGTATAAAGCAAATATAAAAAAAAAAGGTTCAATTATGTAGATGATGGATGGACCGATAGATATAGAACAGTCTAGATTGTGATATTTTAATTGAGTGCAAGTCAACAATAAATGATTAGAAATAAGCCTTAGTGCTCCTTATGTATTAAAACATTGAAGAGAATATTTATTGCTTGATTGATTCAAGCATTAAATCTAACTGATGTAATGAACACCTTTGAAACCAACACCAGATAAAAAAATAAAAAATGAACCACAACAACCACTCCTATCTGTTTATATGTCCCCTCCTCAGCCAGGAAAGAGCTCTGTCTTCCTTCTAAATGAATCTTGCTTGGAAAGAACTGAATCCTAGATTCAGCCACATTTTCAGCAATTGCCTATGCTTCTTTCACCTTCCTACAGGTACGTACGAACATAGTTACATATGGAGTCGCTTATCTTCTGCTGTTTTAAAGAAACTGCACCAAGCCAGAAAAAGAAAGTCAATCTAAGCATATTCACCATTCCCATCATCTAAGAGGATGAGTCTTACTTTCTTTATCTGGAGAGTACTTGTGTGGAACTGGATTAATCACTGTCCTTGTTTCAGAACATACACTCCTCAGGGCCCATGCTTTGTCTTCTTTCAAATAATTGATTAAAATATTTACTTGTTCTTTTATTCATTTATAATAATATCATTAATATTTGTGACTCCACAGAAACAAGACGATACTAATGCCTGTCCATATGCTCTTTAGGCACAGAAAAAAGATCAGATACTTTTTTCCTGTTTTGTTTTAAACAAAACATAGTGAAGATCATTAGATTAATTGTAACTGGTCATGTGACACACTCTCAACAAACGTCCACATGTAAGCCCTCTTTCAATTACGTAGTTATTTAATTGATAATTAATTTATGGTGAATGTTTGGTACTTCTCTTAGTAAAACAAAACACCAACGCCCCAACCCAGCCAAACAACATGGGTTCTTCCGTCCATTTATCTAAATTCTCTTTACCCAAAAGGGTCAGCTTTCATCCATTTATTTTACCAGAACTCAGCGCTTCAGAAATTTATTAACATGGATTCTTAGATTACATATATTACATTACATACTCCCATATTTGTACCAGCAATAACCCATGTTGTCTTTATTCATTTATTTGTTTCTTGATTTATTCATGCATTGATTTACTCAAAATATAATACTTAAAAGCCCAAGAACAAGCTCCCGAGCATTTTTAACTCCTAGAATAAACTTGCTTTCCATAGAGACCAAAGAGAGGAATCTTCTTGTAATGGACCTCAGAGTTATAGGGTTTAATCAAAATCCTTGATTTCAGACACCCCAGGGTACTCATCATTGATCCGTTTTTCTTCATTTATACCTTTGTTTATTGATCCATTCCTTGATTCACCAACAGTAAGAAAATCATGTCCATGAATTTTAAAAAAGCCAAGAACAAGATCTTGGATGTGACCAAGGTCTACTTACAGGCTCTTTTCCCATAAACTAGACCTCTTCCCTAAAGATGTCTTTTGCAGTGGCCCTCAGTGAGGTATGTATGGATCAACTAACATCCTTGCATCCTATTCCAACCATCAGCCATCTTTCTGTGGACTCCTTCACCAAGGAGCTACCCAACAGCTGATATTCACATATCAGAATATGAATGTGCTATATTGCATTCTCTAACACGGTCCCCATGAGACACATGAAATTGTTGAGTCCTTGAGATGGGGCTAGTGCAACTGAAGAACTAAATTTAAAATTCACTGAACTGTAATTATTTTAGATTTAAATAGCCACATGTGGCTAGGAATAACCACACTGACAGTGCCATCCTCGATTTTATTACTGGATACACGTTGAAGCCAAATGCAGTGCAAAACTAAGATGGATTAGTAATCTACTTTGAAAATGAATGTCTTCCATCTTGTTTTTAACCTCAGTTGTACCGAATCCGATTAACTGCAATCTTTGTTTCACAGCACATTCATATCACTGATCTCTGTATGGCTTCATTTAAATCATTCAGTGAATGTTAATGAAAAATTGACCGCAATTGACAAGATCGTTTGCCTCATCCTTACATTAATCAGTAAGTTCCTTACCCAGAAGGTAACAGGCAAGGTCTTCATCAGTAGACACTGGTTAAATCGGCCATGGTCTCATTCTGGAGTCAAGTGCCAATTTCAAAACAATGAACAGTCTAGATTTAGAGTGATTTAAAGGACAACAGGTGTGTGGTACAAAATTAATCAGGAAGCTGATTCTCTTGTCACTGATCCAAGAACATCACTCCTTTTTAATTTGTTGATGTAACTATAAATTTTAAATAGTATAATGAACAGTGTTGAGTTCATCACATAAAAATAAAAACTTTAACTATTGCACATATCTGTCTACACACCCCTTATCCAATTAGGCAATAGCCTAGACCGTCTTTCTTTTTCAAGAACTCAATTTGTGTAGAAATAGATGAGATTAAATTTGTGACTCATGGTGGATTGTCACCAAGCTCTATGCTTTGACCCTACTCCTATATTAATTCAATCATTCATTGTTTTATTTATTCATTTATGGAGTCACTTGTGGAATACTTGATCACACATTCAAGTATACTAACACACACACACACACCCCCCACACCCTAGCAAAATGGTAACTCCATGAACAACCCAGAATAGAAATGCTCTTCATATGCAAGTATCTACATGCCCATAGCCAAGTTAAGAAGAGACATCTGATGTATAGATAAAGATTAATCATTATTTTTGCTCCTTACTGGGCCACATTTTGCCGCCTTTTAAAAACTGTGACTAGGACTTAATCTACTCAAATGTAACAATTCATCAATATCTGGGAATTAACTATACCTGGGAATTAACAGCAAACTTGCATAACATTGTTTTGTCTCCACATGTCTATTACATTCCCCACAGGGCTTTAAACATGAGATGTTTTTCCTTTTTTTAATAAAACTCAGTGAACAGAGGTACATTAATAATAACTCTGTTCATAAGGCACATTCTAATGAACTATGCTCATTCTTTTTACAATTAAATATTTAATGAATTATTTATGCATGTAATTTTTCCTTTTCTAAAAATAAACAACCCACCAGCAGACAACCACCTATATCAAGCAATGACACTGAGTCTTACATGCATCTGTCTACCCACTCCTTCCAAAACAGGGGCAACAGCCCCTACAAATAGATTTCACTGGAATTCAATGCCTCAGAAATGAGTAATAATCATCCCAGTTTCATTATATACTCTCATAATCGATTTATGCCCAGGTTTCTTTATATTTACTCATTTATATTTTTCTTCATTTAGTCATGCATGATTTACTAACAAGAATTCAAGCTATTCCCATAAAGTGTGTACACCCATGATCAAGATATCTGAACACTCAGAAATCCTGCTCTAAGCTCATTTCCATGGAGGAAAAAAATGAGGCCACTATTTAATAATGGACCTCAGAGTCACAGATGGCTTTAATCAAAATTTTTGATTCAGACACCCTCCAATCTCATCATTGGTCCAGACTTGGCACTCTTTTTCTTCATTCATTTCTGTCTTCATTTTCCCAGGAATTACCAACTCCCATAACAAGACACTTGATAGAACTATGATCTGTCTCTAGTCTGACTTCTCACAAAGCTTCCAAACTAGATCTCAGTGTGAACCTTGCTTTGTATCAATACCATCACTAAAAATGTCCCAGGATTGCACCACATTCATTTAATTTGTCCAATGTTAAGCACGGTGCAATTAACCACAAGAAAACCACAATGGTATCCCACATCTAGGACACAGTCAATTCGCTACACCTTCTTCTGAGATCTTCCTTCTTCTAAACAGTTAATGCCTGGGTCTCCATCAAAATGGAAATGCTTAAATCAACTGTGTTGAGAAATTATACGGAATAGCAAACAGTTCCAAAAATCAATTACATCTCTTCCATCTTTTTAAAAAAAAAATGCATGTCGGGGCACCTGAGTGGCTCAGTTGGTTAAGTGTCCGACTTCGGCTCAGGTCATGATCTCACAGTTTGTGAGCTCAAGCTCCGCAATGGGCTCTGTGCTGACAGCTCAGAGCCTGGAGCCTGCTTCAGATTCTGTGACTCCCTCTATCTCTGCCCCTCACTTGCTCATGCGGTCTCTCTCTCTCAAAAATACATAAAACATTAAAAAAAATTTTTAATGCATCTCAGTTGTGCTGAAATGGGTTACTTCTACACCTTGGCCCAGAACACATTCCCACCATTGGTCCATACTTGGAGTTCTTAGATTTTATTTTTGCATCTAAAGCCTTTTGTTCTATTCAACTACCTTAGGGACCACACATGAACAAAACATACAAACTAAGCCACCTTTGATTGTCACATTGCCCCTTACTCACAGAAGTAAGCCAAAAGCTTCTTCATTGGACAATGGCTGAATGTAATGTGGAATGTTCATTCAGGAGGACAAGATAGATTTTTTAAATAATAAAAGATATAAATTTAGATTTTTAAATAGAAATTAGTTCTGCATTAGTAGATTAATCAGAAATATTGGTTGGTGTCACTTTTTCATCAATACAACAGGGTTATCCTTTTCTTCTACTGATTTACTCAATTTTTAGTGTGATTTAATACACTGAAGACCTTTTATAACCTACTCTCCAACACAAAAAGAACTATAACTATTACCGATATCTGTCTATGAAACCTACCAAATCGTAAAAAAGTGCAGATAATCATTCAGTGGGAAAACTCTAACACAATGAATTTAAATTCTTCTTTCATGAACCAATCTGACCAATGAGCCACACTACACTTTAATTCTTGTATTTATCCATGAATTTATTTACTCCTTTTTAAAATAAGTCTAAGGATAAGTTAACTCTCTACTCTTTTTTTTTCCTACAGAAAACACAAAAATGGTAGAGTCATCAACTACCCAAAACTATTACATGCAACTTTCTATCTAAGCACTGTCCTCCCTGATAGAACTTTCTGCAGGGAGGGAAATATTCTCTATTAGCACTACTCAATGTGGTAGCCACTGGCCACATATGGCTTGAAATGCGACTAGTGTTACTGAGGAACTGGATTTTCATTTTTCATTCATTTGGATTTAAATGTTAACAGCAAGATGTATTTAGAGAATGAAGTCTGTATGATCCTTCCCGAAAGAAGGAGGGGCCCGTGGACTTCAAGAGGGTAGAACAGAATTAATAATGCTCCTTTACACATTGTATATGCTCCTCACTGACCGATGGCTTACCTTATTTTAAATAACAGATTTAGATATAACATTATTCTTTTACTCACTAATAAGAATAGCACCGATAAAGGCGAACCCTAAGGATTCTTCACAAGAAAGCTGAGTGATACTCAGGGTCTCCATTGGCTTTTTGCTCACAGAAATCATTAACAAAATGCATTTACTTTTTGTTAAATAAAAAAGGATGAACACGATTACTATATTCACCTTCTCCGTGTTCATGCTTAGATCTTTTTTAAGTTTCCACAATTATTTAAGAATGTATTTTCTTGGGGCGCCTGGGTGGCTTAGTCGGTTAAGCGTCCGACTTTCGCTTAGGTCATGATCTCGCGGTTCGTGAGTTTGAGCCCCGCGTCGGGCTCTGTGCTGACTGCCAGCTCAGAGCCTCGAGCCTGTTTCAGTCTGTGACTCCCTCTCTCTCTGACCCTCCCCTGCTCACACTGTCTCTCTCTCTCCTAGAAATAAATAAAACATTAAAAGAAAATGTATTTTCTTTTTTATTATTGATCGTAGTAAATGATTGCTTGTTAAAATAATTTTCAACTAATGGGTTTATCATGATTTGCAATATTATTGAATATATGTGTTATATTAAGTATTGCTGATTGCTATGTAATCATATAAGTTTTTTGTCCCTTTTTAAAATGAGATATGTCACCAACTCACTACCACCTCAGAACAACACTGATGTTCACAAGTATCTATCTATACTTTTCCAAAGGAAGAACAGCCTTAGACTATTTTATTTTAACTCAAAATTCCAAAAAATAATATTAACAGTAATCCTTGGTCCATTACCTCCTTTCATAATTAAAGAAGGCACAGCCCTTATCTTTACTACTTATTCATGCATTTATTCACTTATAATAATACAATCCCTATTTTGAACAACAACAAAAAAAAATCAAGAACACATTCCTTGACTATTTCTAACTTCCTCTGTAAGCACATTTCCCGTAGATGCAATGGACCTCAGTTACAGACTGGATTTAATAAAAAAATTTATTCAGACACCCCACACACACCCATCTAGACTTTGGTATTCTGTGCCCTCATTTAATACATTGTTCTTGATATACGGAAACCAAGTTGACAGTGAACTATGTTGAGTTATTCATTGATTCATTAATAAAACGGTCAACGTGCATGGTTTGGAAAATAAGACCAAGATCCCTGAAGATACGAATATGTCCATGAAAGTTTACTTCCTACAGAGCTACAGAACTAGTCCCTTTGTGGCCATGCACCTCAACATTGCCAATGTGAATCAATCCATTTCTTGGCATCCTCTCAATTCCATTAGTCATTGGACTCTGTTTGGGCCTCTTTCATTTAACCTCCATATTTTAAAGATGGTACAGTGAACTACCATTCTGTACCACAATTAAGGAAGAGGCAAAAGTTTCCACTTTCTTATGGTTCCTTCCCCCGCCTCCCCCCCGCGCTTGATGGGTTCACAGTCTACAATAATATCAACCGGTGGAAAAGTGCTTGAATCCACTGTGGACCAAAAATAAAATGGAATATTAAAATGGTTTGAAAATTACTAAAATCTCCTTCATCCTTTGTCTCAATAAATTCAGTAATCCTGAAATGGATGAATCATAATTCTGAATTCATAACACATTTTAATCATTGGTCAATGCATCACCACCTTTGAATTGTTCATGTATGTATCCACTAATTCTTTCCAAACATCACAATGAACACCCATGACTAAGCCTCCAGGCAATACATCAACATTGACTATTGCTTACATTGATCCTTCCGTCTTTCCCAAAGATGGAAGCACGATCTTCGCCATGAGAAAATAATCAGTTATGAGGAGTAAAAACCAAACTTTAAAAAGAATCAGTCTACATTTAACTATCTTAAATGATCAAAAATCAAGTAACCATGAACCTTAGCTTACACCCTCTCTAAACACGAGAAAGACAGAGCTCTACTTAATATTTACTAATTTGGGGGATTTTTTTATTTTAAATAATATAATGACCACCGCTGAATTTAGCAGTACACAGAAGAAAATTAATTATAACGACCAGGAAGATCTATCTGTCAAGCCTGACCCTATGGAATATATTTATTAATTCGCTCACTAATTGTTCTACTTAATTACTCATGGGATAATAAGACTAGCTCTTCATTTTTCTCAAAGAATTCCAAAAACTAAACAACCATCAAAACAGAAGCAAAATACTTATGATGTACAAATGTCTACATGCAACAGTAGGAAGGCCTAGAACTCTTTTCCTTCCAATGGATATGAGTTGTGTAAAACACGATACATCATGATCTTTACATTCAACTGCATGCTTTCCTTTGATGCATTGTTGGCTGACTTAAAAAAATAACTGAGAGATAAATGCATATGCATTTTTTCACTTGTAATTATACTCAGTGTATGTCAGCCTGCCCACACTAGAGAAGTACCTTGAATAATATTTACATTTGTTCTCATGTCATTACCCAGAAGGATAGCAAGCTGATTCTTTAGTGTTTGTTTGCTTACATAAAACTGCGTAAGAAGATTGTATTAATCATGAGTGTGGTTGTATAAACAGTATCACCACCGATCCCTGCTCTCCCTCTCAATTAGATAGTTTATTCAATCAACTACTTATGTAAATGTATTTTCCTTTCCTTAATAGAATGATCAATTGGCAATGTGCCTCACCATAGAACAAAACATTGATTCTTAGGCACAGTTGACCATATGCCTCTCACCAAAGCGATAAAAGCCTTGACCGTTAATTTACTGGGGCTTTGAATCTCAAAATTGTTTTAATAATTATCCATGTTTCATTATCTGCCCTAAAAGTAGTACACGCATACCCCTCTTATTCTTTATTCATTGATAGAATTCTTTATTCATGGGCTAATTGTATTATAATAATGCAATTCATACCCCAAACCACAAAGCCTACGCATGAGATGCTGTAGGCTCATTTCCCACAAAGAGAATAATGAGGTGTTCTTTCTTAATGGACCTCAGAGTTGCAGATGGGTTTAATCAAAATTCTTGTTTCAGATACCCCATGGCATTCATCACTGGTCCGTGTTAGGAAAATTTTTTTGTTTACTGATTCATTTTCTGATTCACAAACAATAATACAATCACAAAATTCCAAAAACAAGATCTTTGAATTCTAGGCTTTTCTCCCACAGAGCTAATAAACTCATTTTTTGGGGGGTAAGGGGGTGCAAAGCTGCACGTGTGAATGAGTCAAAATCTCTGCTTTGTATCAAACTCACATCTAGCATTGCTTCCTGTGTGGCCCTCTTTTATTTAGTCTGTCCATATGTGAAAGATGGTTCAATGAAAAATAATGAAACTGCCATCTCCAATCACCTCTGGGCCTGCCCCAAAGAGCTATCAGCTAGCTCTACCCATATGGGAATGCTTAAATCAACCATGGTAAAAAGTAAACAAATAAAGACTATGAAATGAAATAAATCAAATAACATTATATCTTCTTTTAAAATTACTTCCGTGGTGCTGATTTAGATAAAGCATAATTTTTGGTTTGTAACACATTCCCATCACTCATCCATACTTGGGAGTGTTTTATTTATCGTGTGTGTGTAGCGCACAGTCATTTACTTCGAAACTCTTCAGATAAGACCCGTGAACGATGCATCCAGACTAAGAATGTGAACTAAGGGACTTACTTATTATATTCGTCTTCATGATCCTGGTTCTCTATAATAATTCTTTACTAAATGACTGAGTCAGCTATGCTATTGCCCACTCTGGGTAAGAAAAAGCAGAGTTAGGCTACATTCAGAGTTTTTTAATAGCTCTTGATCAGGCAGAGCTAGAGACCAATAAACGTCGACTCAAGCCTCCTATTCTTTATTAAACCAGTACAGAATTGTTAGTTATAAATAATATAATAAACACTCTCAAGTCCACCACCTAGTCCAAGATTAAGATCTATCATGCTTACAAATTCCCACCTTTATAAATGCCTATTAAAGAGATGGTTATCTAATAGTTTATTGACTGATGGAAACACTTTCCTTCCTCTTAGCTTAAAAAATAAAAAAACCCAGCAGGGGCACCTGGGTGGCTCAGTCGGTTGAGCGTCCGACTTCGGCTCAGGCCATGATCTTGACTTCAGCTCAGGTCATGATCTCACAGTTTGTGGGCTCGAGCCCCACGTCAGGCTCTGTGCTGACAGCTAGCTCAGAGCCTGGAGCCTGTTTCGGATTCTGTGTCTCCCTCTGTCTCTCACCCTCCCCTACTCATGCTGTCTCTGTCTCTCGGAAATAAATAAAAAACATTAAAAAAATTTTTTTGCAAACTCCAGAAACTCAAAACACTGGGTCTTAACTGCAGATATTAATCTATTCCATATAAAGGAGGATTACACAGTAAGACTTTCCACTTTCCTTCAGAATTGTATTGATAGTAATAGTGTTTACTGCACTCTGCTAATTGTCCCTGAGGAGTCTTTTAGTGTCTCATGTGTTCATTTCTTTATTTACTCATGTATTGATTCACTTGAAATAATATAATCCGTATCCATGAGCCACAAAAGCCTGAGCCAAGTTTATTGAATTTTCCTAACTTCTACTATTAGCTAACTTCTACAGACACTATTGACAGATTTTTTTCTGTAACGGACCTCAGAGCTACACAGAGGGCTTCATCAAATGTGTCGATTGAGATACCTCCACCAATACGCATCATTGATCCAGGCACAGCTTTCTAGTTCTTCATTCATTTATGCCTTCTTGAATGGATTCATTCACTCATAGATGTATGAATCAGAATTATACCCTCAATAACCTTTAATGACATAAAACTGAGAACAGGAGCCTTAAATACAACTGAGATCTGCTCATTGCCCCCATTCATGGAGAGCGAAGGGTCACTCGCGTTTCACAGTGAATCTCTGTTTTACGCACAAGGATTAATCAGCACGCTTGCTTCATAACCATCCCTCACTTATGACTGGTGTCCACCTGCTCCTTTCTCACTTGACCTGCAGAAACATTAAAGCTGGCGTAGTCAACAGCCACAGACCCGTCATCTCAACTCACAACCGACAAAACCAACAGCCCCCATCTTTCGAGGTATTTCAGCCTCAAAGAGTTAACACCTAAGATCTTCATCGGGGAAGACACGGATTAAGCAAATGTGACAAGAGCATGAGATGGGAGGACAGACTGCTCTGAGAATATGTGAAAAGCCCGCCATCACTTTAGTAATGGTTCTTAGTTGGGCTGCGTCAAAGCATTCGTAAATTTTAGTTCATGATGCATTCCGATCTCAGGGCTCATGATTGGCATTCCTTAACTTCATACGTTATTTAACTACGCATTTATTGAAATAATTTAGTGGGCTTCCATAAATAACCCCCATCTAAGCCTTAAACACAAACACTGATATTCACTTACATCAGTGTTCACACTTCTTAGGCACAGAATTAACAGCCCCGTCTTCACGATCATAGAATGATTAAATCAGCTATGTGTTCATTCTACGAGCAAAGGGGAAAGCGGGGAGGGAAGCCAATTTGTAAAAACAAGGAAGATTGAGTTTGCTTTTTTAAACTGAAATGTGTCAAGAGGAATAGTTCAGCAGAAGCCCTATTTCATATCACATTCTTGTCAATGACCCAAGGATGGTAGCTATCTTACTGAGTTAAGTTTCAACTAACCAAAAGGAATACTATTGAATTCATTGCTCAACACAAAATAAAAACTCTTTACAATTAGAGACATCTGACTTTCCTTGCAATCTACATAGGGAGAGCCATGATCATCTTTTTATTGGACTTAGCTGCATAGAATTTACCATATTTGCTTCCAGATACAATCTCCCAATCCTCCCATACATGTACTTATGGATTCATGGATCCACTCACTTACTGGTTTATTTTATTATTCAGAGTAATAATAATACCATTCTTCTAAAGGAAACTCAGAATGGTTAAACACCAGCCCAGAACCAAACGACCACAACTCGGAAAGGTCCAGATGTACCTTTCAAAAAATGGAAGAGCCTAAAATTGTTCCTAGACTATTTGTCATTGGCAAACTAAGAACAATCGGCATCCTCATATTTCTAATTGGTCCATGGTTTGCTGACTTTTTAAAAAGAGAACAATACAGAAAATTATACCTTCTTGCTCTTACACAAAGACACTGGGTACCGTGATCTTATCCACTGGACAAGGAAACCAAACAAAATTTATGTCTGTCCACAGTCATTACTGTCAGTAACAGACTTGCTTCTTTTTTATTGTTTTAATAAAAATCAGTTTAAAAAAGATTAATGATGAGTGTTGTCATGGAAATCATTCTCGTCACTGGTCTCTGCTTGGCTCTCAATTATGTGGTTATGTAACCAACTATTATAGAGTCAGGGTATTGCCATTTCCTTAATAAAAGAATCCCTCAGCAACCCTTGAGCAACCAACATTCTTTAGTATTTGTACAATTGACCATATACTCTTTTCATTATTTGTAATTTATTGGAAGTCAGAGCTTCAAATTTCAGTAATACTACCGCATGTTGCATTACTTTCCTTAATAAGTGTATACATTGTCCTCTTTTTTTTCATTCATTGATATATTTTATTTATTTGTGGGTCAATCTTATAATAAAATACAATCTGGGGCACCTGTGTGGCTCATCCGACTTCAGCTCAGGTCATGATCTCATGGTTTGTGGGTTCGAGCCCCACATCAGGCTCTGTGCTGACAGCTCAGAGCCTGGAGCCTGCTTCGGATTCTTTGTCTCCCTTTCTCCCTGCCTCTCTCCAACTCATACTCTGTCTCTATCTCTGTCTCTCTCTCTCTCTCAAAAATAAACATTAAGGGGCGCCTGGGTGGCTCAGTCGGTTAAGCGTCCGACTTTGGCTCAGGTCATGATCTCACGGTTTGTGAGTTCAAGCCCCACATTGGGCTCCGTGCTGACAGCTCAGAGCCTGGAGCCTGCTTCGGATTCTGTGTCAAATTCTGTCTCTGGCCTTCCTCAACTTGTGCTCTCTCTCTGTCTCTCCAAAATAAATAAATGTAAAAAATTTTAATCTAATAGTAATAATAATAAAATACAATCCATCCCCAAGAACCACAAAAGCGCAAGCACAAGGTACCATGTGGTCTTCTCCCGCAGCAAGATATAACTGCACGTCTCTTCGTAATGGACCTCAGAGCTGCATATGGGTTTAATCCAAGCTCCTGTTTCAGATACCCCATGGTGCTCATCACTGGTCCAGGCACGTGTTCCTTCCTTTATATCTTCATTTATTGACTAGTTCATTGATCCATGAAGACAACACTATCATAAAACTCCAGGATAAGATCGTCCCATGAACGGCTCTTTCCCCATAAAGCAAATAGACTAAATCTCCTTTCAGAATGGACCTCAGAGCATACGTGTCATCGGTTCATCCCCATGCTTCCCACCAATTCCGCATTCACCATAGGTCCCTCTGTGGCTTTCTTTTATTTAATTGAGCAGCAGGCAGAAGTTTATTAGAGTAGAAGATCAGAAAGGAAGGATAGCGTTAAAGCACTCTTTCAGAGAGGGGACACTCAAAAGTGAACACCCCTCATTTTCCCATGAAGGTGGTTCAATGAAAAGTGAGGACACCACCATTTATATTCACATGTCAAAACAAAGTGTTCCATTTGCTTATGGGTTGCCATTCAAAACAGTTATCGGCGAGGACTATACCAACATGGAAACGTTGAAGTCCTTTGTGGAGGAAAATGAACTGTAATATTAAATAGTTCTGAAAACGAATGAAATGACCATTTTTTAATCACAATTTTTTAATTGTGCCAAACTAGATTAACCATAGCTTTTGGTTCATAACATATTCCCATCACGGGTCCATATTTGGAGATTTTTATTACTTTTACTGACATTGACTCTTTTACTATACCACTAAACACCCATCAACAAAGCATCCCAATCAAGGGTGGAAATTGTGAGTCTTACTTACATTTGTCTCTGTATTCTCTACACAGAGAGATAACTGCCAATATTTTGTTTCTTAGAAAATGAATACATCTGTTGTCTTATGGTCATTCTGTGAAGGAAAAAGTAGAATTAACCTAGATTTTTAATGCATGTTAATTATGTAGAACTAGAATAAACTTTGGTACTTCTTCATTAGTCTAGCATTTTACTTTCACTTTTAAATAATCTACTAGCCACTGTCGAATATACCACATAGGAATAAGAATATCAAAGACATCTTTATATTTAAATAGTTTTAACAGAACAAAAGATAATTTTAATGGATGCTGACGTTGCAAAGCTGGGCACATTTAAATCTTTATTTTACATTATCTGGGATGACTCATGCATGATCCCAGTTTATATGTTCATTTATTTATTCACATAATCATGTATTTAATTACTTATGGCATAATACACACATTATATAAAGAAAGTCAAATTGGTAATCCAGCTGATAATCCAAAACAGAAATACTATTAAGTGCAATGATATACATGTCCCTTATCAAAGATGGGAGTAGAGGGGCGCCTGGGTGGCTTAGTCGGTTAAGCGTCCGACTTTCGCTTAGGTCATGATCTCGCGGTTCATGGGTTCAAGCCCCGCGTCGGGCTCTGTGCTGACTGCCAGCTCAGAGCCTGGAGCCTGTTTCAGTCTGTGACTCCCTCTCTCTCTGACCCTCCCCTGCTCACGCTGTCTCTCTCTCTCTCCTAGAAATAAATAAAAACATTAAAAAAAAAAATACCAAAAACGCTCTGAAGTTTTTAAGGAAAAAAAAAAAAAAAGATGGGAGTAGAACAGGAATTTTTTCTTTCTATAAACATCAGTAGTGAAAACCCAAATTAATAATTATCCTTGTCTCATAAAACATGCTCCTCACTAATCTGTGCTTTCTCTTTTTTAAAATAATTAAGATAGGATTTTATTCATTTATTCCGTTATAACAACACATCAAAATTTGTGAATGCAAAGACTTCTAAACAAATCCTGAATGATACTAATATCCATCTATATCCTTGGTAGTCACAAAAATAGGTTACAAGATCATTATGAGTTTAGTACGATTTACTGAACACAATCAGATCAATCCTAATGCCTCTCATATGACACATTGTCAACATGTGTCGGTAACTGCTTCTTATTCAATGAGAGACATACTCAATGAATTATCCACTTATGTTAATTTTTACAGTTCCCTAAACAAACAAACAAACAAAACTGAGATACAGCATGAGTAGTGCTTGGAGGGAAATTTAAAACACTGAATGCATACGTTGTAAATAAAGACCTTCATGTCTGTTGATGGAAGAATGGATAAAGAAGTAATGGAGTCTAAGTACAATGGAATATTATTTAGTCTTTAAAAGGGAGATCCTGTCATTTGCAACAAAAATGAGAACCTAAAGACGTTATGTTAAGTGAAACAAGCCAGATAAAGAAAGAAAACTGTCTCATGATTTCACTTATATGTAGAATCTAAAAACGTTGAATTCACAGAAGCAGAAAGCAGACTGGTAATTACCAGGAGTGGGGAGGTGGAGGACATGGAGATGTTGGCCCAGGGTACAAAGATGCTATTATGTAAGATGAGAAAGTTCTAGAGACCTAATGTACTGCATGATAACTATAGTTGACAACACTGTATGGTGTACTGAAATTCTGCTAAGATTTAAGATGAGGTGCTCTTATCATGAAAATAAAAAATAGAAAAAGAATAACTGTGAGGAGATGGATGTGTTAGCTTGATGGTAGTAACTATTTCACTATGTATTTGTATATCAATATCAAAACATCGTATTGTACAACTTAAAAATATTGTTATTTTTTATTTTTTTAAATTTTAGTGAGAGAGCATGCAAGTGGAGGAGAGGGGCAAAGGGAGGGAAGAGAGAGAGAGAGAGAAAGAGAGAGAGAGAGAATCTTAAGCAGGCTATATCAGGAGGAGCCCAATGCAAAGCTCAATCCCAGAATCATGACCTGAGCCAAAATCAAGAGTCAGATGCTCAATCTCCTGAGCTCCCCAGGCGCTCCTCCAATTTTTATTTAAGGAAAAGAAGACTTAAAATCAGCAATTTAAGTTGCTACTTTGAGAAACTAGAAAAAGGACACATAAAATATGAAGTAAGAGAAAACAATAATTAGAGCAGAAATAAATGAGTTTAAAAACAGGAAATTAATAGAGAAAAATCAATGAAACAGAAACTCGTTCTTTGAAGAGAACAATAAAGTCAATAAGTCTCTAGCCACACCCAAAAGAAAGAAAGGAGAAGAGAAGAGAAGAGAAGAGAAGAGAAGAGAAGAGAAGAGAAGAGAAGAGAAGAGTGAGTGTGAGAGAAAGAGAGGGGACACAACGGAGTGGGGGAAAGGCAGTCCTCCCTCCCAGGTGACCAACAAGCACAGGATAGAGAACATGGTGACAACCATCTACTACTTAAAAGGTGTTTGGGGCAGAAATCACTAACTTTTTGTGGGTTTAACTCTAAGTGGTTATTTTAAATGGTGCCTGGGAAAAATAAAGCAAGAATTTAGGGCAAGTATCCTAAACTCAACTTATCTAAACCAAATTCTGAGGCACCTGGGTGGCTCAGTTGGTTAAGCATCCAACTCTTGATTTCAACTCAAGTCATGATCTCATGTTGTGTGTTTGAGCTCTGCATCAGGCTCTGCACTGACCATCCAGAGCCTGCTTGGGATTCTCTCTCTCTCTGCCCCTCCCCCCACTCTCTAAATGCCCAACCTCTATATGTGAGCAGGATTATCATACTGTAAAATGCCTAACAGCAACTCAGAAAAACAAAAGATTTTATTTCCTCAGAATATGTTTTTCTCATCTCATCACATCAATAGATGAGAAAAAGCACTTGACAAAATATAACACCCATTCATGATTTTTAACAAACCTCTCAGTAAACTAAGAATAGAAACTAATTTCCCCAACTTGACAAAGAATATCTGCAAATAAGCTACAGCTAACATACTTAGTGATAAGAAATTAGGTTTCCCACTGAGATCAGAGCAATGCAAATATGTTCCCTCTCAGCACTACTTTTCAACATTGTACTGGAAGTTGTAGCTTGCAATGCAAGCATAAGAATAAAGAAATAAGAAATATACTATATAAGAATAAGAGTAAGAAAAACAAGGCATATTATTAGTGAAGGGAGAAATGAAATTGCGCTTGTTGACAGATGACATGGTCATCAATGTAGAAAATATATACACATAAGTCAATCATTTTCCTATATTCCAGCAACAAACAAGCAGGATTTGAAAGTCAAAATACAATACTATTTACATTGGTACCAATAAAATTAATACGTAGATATAAATCCAGCAAAACATATGAGGAAAACAGCAAAACTCTGATGAAAGTAACCAAAGAGTAACTAAATAAATGGAGAGATATTCCATGTTCATGGATAGGAAGACTCAGTATTATCAAGATGTCAGTTCTTTCCAATGCAATTTATAGATTCAATACAATTCCTATCAAAATCCCAGTAAGTTATTTTGTGGATGTTAACAAATCAATCTTAAAGCTTATATGAAAAGAAAAGAAAAAAAAAAAAAAAAAAAAAAAAAAAAAAAAAAAAAAAAAAAAAAAAAAAAAAAAAAAAAAAAAAAAAAAAAAGACTCAGAATAGCCAACCCAAAACTGAACAAAGTTGGAGGACTGGCATTATCTGACTTCAAAACTTACTATAAAGCTCCAATTACCAAGACAGTGCATGGTATAGGATAGGAGACCCCAGAAGTAGGCCCACATAGTGATAGTCAACTAATCTTTGACAAATGAGCAAATGCAATATAACGACACGAGACAACCTTGTCAACAAATGGTGTCAGAACACCTGGACATTCACATGCAAAGAAAATCGACTCAAAATGAATTATCAACCAACCTGTGAAATCTTAAACAATAAAACTCCTAGAAGTTAACAAGAGAAAAATCTAGAAGACCTTGGGTTTACTGATGACTTTTCACCAAAGATACAATACAGGAAAGAAATAATTGATGAGCCTGACTTCGTTAAAAATAAAAGTTTCTGTTTTGTAAAGAAACTGTCAAGATAACAAAAAACAAATCGCAGGCAGAGAAAAAAGTATTTGCAAAAGGTATCTCTAATAAATTACTTTTATCCAAAACACACAAAGAATCCTTAAAAAAAGAGAGAGAGAGAGAGAGAAACAACCTGGGGTGCCTAGGTGGCTCAGTTGGTTAAGAGCCCAACTTCACCTCAGGTCATGATCTGGCGGTTCATGAGTTTGAGCCCCACATCAGGCTCTGTGCTGACAGCTCAGAGCCTGGAGCGTGCTTCAGATTCTGTGTTTCCATCTCTCTCTGCCCCTCCCCTGCTCACATTCTGCCTCTCTCCCTCTCTCTCGCTCTCTCAAAAATAAATTTTAAAAAACATTAAAATTTTTTCTAAAAAAAAAGAAACAACCTGATTTATAAATGGGTCAAAGAACTTAACACCTAAGTAAAAAAGATACACAGGTGGCAGATCAGCATATGAAAAGATGTTCCACATCACATGTCATCAGGGAAATACAAAGTAAAACAATGAGATACCACTACATACCTATTACAATAAGTGTTTGGCAGTTTATTTCAAAACTAAACATGTTCTTAACACGTGATCCAGCAATCACACTCCTTGGTATCCACCCAAAGGAGTTGAAAACTAATGTCCACACAAACACCTGCACATGAATGTTTATAGCAGCCTTATCTCTAATTGTCCAACCAAGATGGTCTCCAATATGCAAATGGATAAATAAACCGCTAAAATCTTCTAATAGAAGATTATTCAGCGCTAAAAAGAAATGAGAAATGAAAAGACATGCAAGAATCCTTTTTAAATTTGTTTATATATTTTTTTTTTATTTCTGAGAGAGAGAGAGAGACAGCATGAGCCCGGGAGGGTCAGAGAGAGGGGAGATAAAGAATCTGAAACAGGCTCCAGGCTTTGAGCTGGCTGTCAGCACAGAGCCCGACGCGGGGCTTGAACCCATGAACCATGAGATCATGACCTGAGCCGAAGTCGGACGCTTAACCAATTGAGCCCCCCAGGTACCCCTAGACAGAGGAATCTTAAGGGTATATTCTGTGAAAGAAGACAATATGAAAAGGCTACATAGTATTTGAGTCTAATTACAGGACATTCTAGAAAAGGTAAAACCACAGAGACAGTAGAAAGGTCAGAGGTTGTTGGGGGTTAGAGAGGAGAGAGGGATGAAAAGGCAGAGCACAGAGGATTTTTAGTGAAATAGTCTGGGTGATACTGCCATGGTGGATACATGTCATTGCATGGTGGTCCAAAGCCGCTGAATTTACAAGCAAGAGTGAACTCTAATTAGAGTGAACTGTAATGCAAACTATGGGTGATAATGATGCATCAGTGTAGGTTTATCAGTTGTAACAAATGTACCACCCTGGTGGGGGATGTCAATTGACGGTAAGAATGTTATACATGGGAGGGGGTGTGGGGATTATGGGAAATCTCTGTATGTTCCCCCCAATTTGCTTGTGAACCTCAAACAGCTCTAAAAAATAGTCTTTTAAGAAAGGAGGTAACTCGGGTGCACACACACACACACACACACACACACTCACCCACAACTAAAACAAAAATGAAAAATCTGCCAACGTCTGGAGACATTTTTGATTGTCATAACTGGGAGGGAGGGGTTAATGCTGGCATCGAGCTCAGCCCCCACGGTTACTCGACATTCTACTGCGTACAGGGCAGACTTCCCAACAATGAATTATCCAGCCCCAAATGTCAGTAATGAAGGGTTGAGAAAATCCTGCTGTACCCTCTTCAGAATAATTGGTTGAGACATAAATGTATTTATACATTCACTCACAATATCATCAATATCTACAAACATACAAACTGGATTAGAAATCTAAATGGAATTAACAGCTGTTCCTATGCTCATTACTCCCAGATATAACCAACCAGATCCTATTTTCTCATCTTCAGCAAGGAGCCAGCACCTTGAATACAACACAAAACACAACACTGCTTTTCCGGTACTTATCTCTATATGTTCCTGACACACATAGGTATCAGATTTAATCAATTCATGCTGGAACTGAGTGCTTCAGAAAATAAAATTATAAACATAATTATACATTCTCATAATTAAGGCACATGTGGCCCACCTTGTCTCTATTTATAAATTCGTTTATTCATTTATTAATTCACGTCTACCACTATAATGCAGACCTCTGAACCTTCATACTAAGAACAAAACCTGAATGTTACTAAACTCTGCTGTAAGTTGACTTACCGTATAGGCATTAACTAGGTCTCTGACCTCAGAGTTATAGGGTTTAATCAAAATCATTGATTCAGACACCCCAGGATACTCATCATTGGTCCAAACCTGGCATCTTTTCCTTCATTCATTAGTACCTTTGTTTACTGATTCTCTTCTTAAGTCGCCAATAATGATAAAGGCAAGGACATGTATTTTGACTATAATCTCCTACAATCTCTAGGCTCCTTACCCACAAAGGCAAAAACTAAAATTCTTACTATGGTTGAATAACTAAATCAGCTGTAACATTTTGTTCTGTGGATTAAAATACACTCTTTTTAAAGAACTAACTAGCGTAAAGAACTAACTAGTCCATTTTTTATTGGACTAGAGTCATGAGGTACTCGATTACTCATAACCCTTACTTGCTATCACATTCTCATTATTAACTCAAGAATGACACTATTATTTATTTATTGTCTTCTTTACTGTATACTTTTTAACTTATGTAGTGGACAATGTTAAATTCACCACCCACTAGTTATTAAATGTAACTAGTACTACTATCCATCTATCTACACCCTAACCACATGATTCACAGCCTCATTGATCTGTTTTTAAGGTTCCATATTCACACGTTGCTAATAATATACGAGGTAGCACTGGTCTAAGATTTACCCTACTTTAATACATGTGTTGATTCACTCATGTTTTTCTCTTAGGTAATTACTCAAAGAATAATTTGATCATCTGCTCATTTTTTTTTAAAAGAAAAGAGTAAAACCCAACAGCACACCAGAATTGAAATAACATTTCATGCAATTGCTGATACCCACTTTGTCCAAAGTAGGGTAAGTCTAGATTTCTTCCCCTTCATCTAAAATGGTTTCATCATTACATTTGTTTTAATGATACCTGTTCCTCTGCCTTCTTTTAAATAACTGGCCAATATATGAAATCATTTGTTCTTTAACTTTTAACAATGCATTCAAAGTGAATGCAAGCTAAAACACTGTGCAAGAACATTGACTAACACTAGGATCTGTCCCTATGTCATTGTGCACAGATATAACCTGTCACATTCTTTATTTTTTTTAAAATGATATCACATTCTCAATATCAGTCCCTGCTTGGCTTTCTTTCAATTAAGCACTCACGTAAGCAATTATTGGTAATGTAAAGGATTTGTTCCTTTTCTAAACAGAACCAACAATCAACTAGCTACCACCAATCTAAAACAACGTGGACTCTCATGGAATCGGCTACATATTCTTTAAGGAAAAAATGTAAGATAGACTTGATCTATTTAGATTATAAAATTCAGTGTTGGGGGAAATAACAGAATTATGATACATTTCACAGACATGAAGAACTAAAAGCTCAGGAACTGGATCTTAACGTGTCCTCACTTGTGCTGGAAGTCCCTCTCTCCCCAAAGAAATAGCTAGATTTCTGTTTTTCAGTGGACCTCAAAGGTATAGAGTTTAATTAAATCTTTGATTCATACATCTCTGAATACTCATCATTCATCTACAGCAAAATCTTTTTCTTCCTTCATATGCATTCTTTGTTCCTTTATTCACTGACTCACTGATAACAATATAATCCATTCTCATAAATCAAAAGGCCCAAGAACAGCATCCCTGAATATCACTAAGAGCTGGCTCTATGCCCATTTCCCACGGTGCTAGTAAACAAGGATATTTTTTGCAATATGTATGTATGCTCTCTGCGTATATAACTTAATCAGTTTCCTATCAATTTCAATGGTCCATGCTCAGCCCTTTTACACTTAAAGATGATGCAGTAAATAACCATGGGAACTTGACTCTTTCTCCACATCTAGAGAGACAACATTTTTTCCCATGTTCTTGTGTGTTCCTCCCTCAAGAAATTCATAGCTTAAATCTTTATCAGTGGAGAAGTACTTAAATGTATAACAATGCAAAAATAAAACACAACGTGAAGCAACCCTAAAAATGAATGAAATGCCCTGCATCTTTTTGATTGAGTTTTAGTAGTCCTGAATCTGATTAGTAATCATAAATCTCATTTCAGGTCTGTGCTGGGGCTATTTGGCTTTACCTATTACTACACTCATTCATTGCTTTGGAAACTTCAGGCAACACTCAAGCCACCCTCCCAACCCAAGAATATAAACTCTGCTACTTACATCAGTTTCTTCTGTCCTTACCCGCAGTTTGTTGAAGCCAAGATCTTCAACATTAGAGAATGATTCAACCATCTGTGGTGTGTGCACGTAGTGAAAATGCAGACTTTCAAAAGAAAGAAAGAGCCTATAGTTAGATTTTATTTTTAATGGAGGTTAGTCTTGCAGGATTAGATCAAACATAAACACGGGTCATTTCAGAATGTCGTCATTGCCCATGAATTGCGCTCTTATTTATTGCCTTATATAACTTTCCCATTTAAACAATACAACGAACACCAACATGAGAATAAGAACCATTATCTATCATAAATATCTGTCGACATACTCCCTATCCATAAATTTAACAACTCAGTGATTGCTTTTAATTCACCTCACTTGTCCAAAACTGGATCTTTGTTTGAAATCTTTGTTTTATGGCACATTCTCACCAATGAAGCACATATCTTTCTGATTTATGTCTACTGATTCACTTACTCATTCATGTATATAATTAGGCATAAAATAAATCAATTATCTACCCAATTTTTCTGAAGAATGTCTTCATCCAAATGTCTGTGTACACCTGAAACTAATATCACACTGCATGTTAACTAAATGGAATTTAAATCAAAGCTTAAAACATAGCTTAGCGTGCTTTGCCCAAAATGGAAGGAATTTAGAGTTCTATTTCTTTATCTGGACAGCATTTGAGTATAACGGGAGTAATCATTATCTTTGGTTCATAATACATATTCCTCATTGGCTCGGCCTTCTTTTGAATAATTAACCTACAGAGAAATGCACTCCTTCATTCCCTTTTGACAATATGTCAGTATCAATGAAAGCCAAGGCACGGAGCAGGAATATTAAATATCCAGTCTACATGCTCATGGCCTATAGACATAAATGATTACTAAATCATCTTTTGAATTTTTTAAATTAAACTAGTGAGTACCGTTATATTAATTGTAATTCTGGTCACATGATGTATCCTCAGTATGGGTTCACATGTGGCCCTCTCTCAATAAGGCAATATTTAAGTAATGGTTTATTTATGAAAACATTTTTTTTCATCCTTCTTAATTAAAACCATCAAACAAAAAATCAAAGCAGCACATAAACTCTTGTGCACATCTGTCTCTACCGTCCTTATGAACGGCTTTGATTTATCTTTGGAACCTGATGTTTCAAATATACACTAATAATCAGCTTTGTTTTATTATGTAACTTCATAGTCAGTCCACATATGGCCTTCCTTATCTTCATGCATTTACACAGTTCTTTATTCATTCAGGAATTCATTTCCCTAAGTGTTTATCTCTCTCTGTTTCTCTTTCTCTCTCTCTCTCTCTCTTTGGCAATAGTCCACAGATTTCCAGATAGGGATTAACACAATTTTCTATATTTGTTTTTTCTATTTTTATTCACTTTTTTAATTGTTTAAGTTTTTATTTAAATTCCAGTACAGTTAACATACAGTAACATACAGTGTAATATTCGTTTCAGGTGTACAATATAGTGATTCAGCACTTTCATACATCACCCAGTACTCATCATAACAAGTGCCCTCCTTAATGCCCATCATCTATGTCTCCAATCTGCCCCCGCCACCCCTCTGGTAACTATCAGTTGGCTCTCTATATTGAACTATTGGTTTGCCAGGCTCACTCTTTATTTTCTCCCACGCTCATATCTGTTTCTTAAATTCCACATATGAGCAAAATCATATGGCATTCAATGTCCTTGCAAATGGCAAGATTTCATTCTTTTTGATGGCTGAGTAATATTCCAATGTGTGTGTGTGTGTGTGTGTGTGTGTGTGTATCACATCTTTTTTTATTTTTTAAATTTTTTTAATGTTTATTAATTTTTGAGAGAGAGACAGCATGAGCAGGGGAGGGTCAGACAGAAAGGGAGACAGAATCCCAAGACAGGCTTCAGGTACTGAGCTGTCAGCACAGAGCCCGATGCGGGGCTCAAACCCACGAACCATGAGATCATGACCTGAGCCAAAGTGAGACGCTAAAACGACTGAGCCACCCAGGTGCCCCATATATCACATCTTCTTTACCCATTCATCAGTCGATGGACACTTGGGCTGCTTCCCTAATTTGCCTATCATAGATAATGTTGCTATCAACAGTGGGGTGCCTATACCCCTTCAAATCTTTATTTTTGTATCCTTTGGGTAAATACCTAGTAATACAATTGCTGGGTCATAGTATTTCTATTTTTAACTTTTTGAGGAACCACCATACTGTTCCCCAGGGCAGCTGCACCAGTGTGCGTTCCCACCAGCAGTGCAGGAGGGGTCCCCTCTCCCCACATCCTATACTCTTCTGGATTCAGAATCAGCCCCCACCCCAGGCCTCATCACTGTCCTCAGCTTTGCACTCTTTTCCTTCAGTCCTTTCTCGTTTAGTTTATTGATTCGCTCACTGTTCCAATAACATAATCAATACATAGTAATCACTAAAGCTCAAAAATAAGATCCTTAAATATCACAAAGATTTATTTATAAGCTCATTTCCCATAGAGCTAATACATCCCATCTCGTTTTGCAGCGGTCTTCAGTGTAGCTCACATGCCCCTCTCACTGACTCTTTTGAAGGTATGAATGTTAAAGCCCAGAGTACTGTAAGTAACCGTGAAAATGTATGAAACATCTTCCACCTTTGTTAAAGGTGTCATCAGTTGTGCAGAATTGAATTAATCATCATTATCTCTGGTTCCTAATCTATTCCTGTCATTGGTAATGTGCAGCATCCTTTAATTTTATACTTCTACATAGCTTTTTATTACCTGAAGTACTTCAGTGAACAGCCACAAACAAGTTCCCCTAACCAAGTACAAAATTGTGACTATTACTCACCTCAGTATTTAATGCTCCTTACCCAAAGAGCCCAAATCTTCAGCATTAGATAGGATTAAATCAACTATGGTGTCTTAATTCCTAGGTAAAAATCAGGCTTTAAAAATAATGGGAAAAAAACCATAAATTTAGGCATGTTTGAAAGATACTAATTGTAGAATTCCAGATTAAACATAAAACGTGTGTCTTTTTATTGACTCAAGAATATCACTACTCTTTATTTACTTAATTCATTTTAAGTTTTTCAAGATTTTATTTTTAAGTACTCTCTCTACCCAGCTGGGGCTCGAACTCACAGCCCCAAGTCTATGTTCTATCGAATGAGCCAGCCAGGCACCCATAATTTTAATTTTAAACAATAAAATGAAAATCACCAAATCCATCACTCAATCCACAAGTAATAACTATGACTCTTATAAACATGTGCAGGTACTTTACATAGTTAAAATCTACATTATCCTTCTCAATGGATCTTTCTTAGATGGACTGGATAAATTTAAACCCTTGCTTCATGATATATTTTTAACAATGGACCACGGTTGGCTCTACTTACTATATTCATCCATTCATTCATTCACTCATTCAGTTACTCATGGAATAATTTTACCTGTTGTTCATTATATAAAGAAAAGGCAAAGATGGTAGCTTCAATTATGGTGAGCACGGCAGAACATTTAGAGATGTCACCGTGTCATACACCTGAGCCTGATGTAACACTGTGTGCTAACTGCATTTTGATTTTTTTTTAAAAAATGGATTAAAATGAGCATCTGTCTGTATATCATACAAAATGGGAAAAGCCTAGGTTTTTAAAAATATGGCTATCGTAGCATAAAACAGGATAAGCATTATCTTTATTCCATAATAAGGGTCCTCACTGGTGTATGATTTTTGCCTTTTAAATAACATATGAACCTGTTCTATATAATAATAATGTTATAATAACATATAACATGTCACTACTGTAACCCACTGGACAATGCCGTGAATAATACTAATAGGTGATACACTCGCAGGAAACCATGGGGTCTATTCTCATCACTGGCCCATAGTCATTTTCTTTTTCAATTAGATCTTTATTTACTGATGCAAATACATTTCCCTTTTCTTAATAAAACAATCAGCAACCTGCCATCGATTGATAATAACAACATTCAATCTTGGGCATATCTATCTTCCTATCTGCTCCCTGCCGAACAGAGTAAACTCTTGATCTACTCACTCTCCTAGATGTCACTACTGCAGGAATGTTTCAAAACAGACTCTCAAAATTTAACAATGTGTGGCTTTCCTTGCCTTCATCCACTCCTTCATTTCCTTCCTTAATCAGGCCTGACTTCATGTGTAGTTAAAAACATCCCGCATCCGAGGAACACAAAACCCAAAAACAGGATCCTGAATATTCCCCTCTTGCTTCACGAACACCTTCACCATAGAGGGAATGACTACATTTCTTCTCGTAATGACCTTCGAGCTACAGAGCTTAATCAAAATCTTTAATTTAGACACCCCAGGGTACTCATCATTGATCCGAATGTGGCATTTTTTTGTCCTCTTCATTGATATCTTCCTTTCTGGATCATGTTTACATGTATAAATTATAATACGGTCAATAGCCATGAATCACAAACGCCAAGAATAAGATGAATGAGTTTTACCCAGATAGGTCTATTTGCACTCGTACCATAAAGCTAACACGCTTGATGATTTTTTTCAGTGCACCTCTGAGCTGTACAAAGGGAATGACTGACAGCTGTGTTTCGTATCAACGTCATACTGATACGATGTTTTTGCTCATCTCTTTACATTAAGTGTACGCATCAGAGAGCGGGCAAAATGAACAACTATGAACCATCATCTACCCTCACAGCTAGAATGACATCATTTTCTCCCACCATCCTACATCCTCCTCTCACAACAAGTTAATAACCTTGAGCTTTACCAAGGAAGGGATACACTTCTAAATGTACTTTGGTGCCAAACTAAAATGATATATACTATTATGTGTCTGTGCCTGAAAAAGTAATCATAAACCTTGGTTCATAACATATTCTTATCCTTGGTCAGTGCTTGGTGTTCTTTAATTCTATATATATATAAATGTCTTATAGTTTATATGTTATATGCATACATATAAGTAAATAATATACATTTATGTATATATAACCAATTTTATGTTTATATATCTTATTATATATTTTAGATATTATACATATGTATATTTTTATATATTTAATATATCTATACATATAACTAATTTTTTAAATTAAATCCTTGTAAACTCATGAGCAAACTCGCCAGAGACCAGTGACTATAACATTTATATTCGTCTCTGTGCTCTTTACCCACAGAGGTAACAGCTAAGATCTTCACCGTTAGAGAAGGATTCAGTCAGCTGCGGTGCGTTCATGCTGTAAATTAAAAGTCAATTTGAAACAGTCTCTGTTAGATGTTTTTAAGTGGACGTGAGTTTCACACTGCCAAATTAATAATAAAGCTGGATCACATCACATTCGCATTACTGGCGCAAAGAGTGAAGTCTCTTTTATTTATCAGCTTATTTTATTTTTATTTATTTTTATTTTTTAGTAATGTGGTAAATATCATTCAACCTAAGACTCAATTCAAGAATAAGGCAGGGGGGCGCCTGGGTGGCTCAGTCAGATTAGCGTCTGACTTCAGCTCAGGTCACGACCTCATGGTTTGAGCCCCGCATTGGGCTCTGAGCTCTGTGCTGACAGCTTAGAGCCTGGAGCCTTCTTCAGATTCTGTGTGTGTGTCTCTCTCTGTCCCTCCCCTATTGGTGCTCTGTCTGTCTCTCAAAAATAAATAAAATAAAATAATAAATAAACTAAAAAAAAAATAATAAGGCAGGGAGCCTGGATGGCTCAGTCAGTTAAGCATCTGACTCTTGATTTCGGCTCACTCCATGATCTCACAGTCATGGAGTGAGCCCCACATCAGGGCTGAGTATGGAGCCTGCTTGGGATTCTACCTCCCTCCCCCTCTCTCTCCCTCTGCAACTCTCTACCAACAAAATAAATAAATATTACAAAAAAAAAAAAAAAGAAAAAAGAAAGAAAACTGAGGTGCCTGGGTGGCTCAGTCAGTTAAGAGTCTGACTCTTGTTCTCACTCAGGTCATGATCTCACAGTTCATGAGTTCAGGCCCTGCATGGGGCTCTGCTCTCACAGCACTGAGCTTGCCTCGATTCTAACTCTCCCTGCCACTCCCCAACTTGTGTGCACACATTCACATGCACTCTCTAAATAAGTAAATAAATAAATAAACTTTAAAAAATGAAAAAATTAAGATTAAAAAAACTTTCTTATTAAAAAAAAGAGTAAGGCTTATGACTATTACAGGGCAGAGAAAGAGGCAGAGAGAGAGACAGAGAGAGAGAGAGAGAGAGAGAGAGAGAGAGAATCCCAAGCAGGCTCTGCCCTGTCAGCACAGAGCCTGACACAGGGCTCGATCTCACAAACTGTGAGCACATGACCCCAACCGAAATCAAGAGTTGGGCGCTTCACAGACTGAGCCTCCTAGGTGACCCTTCCTTCTTCTTAACGGAACCAACCAGCATCAACCTCCCAGCAACTCACAGCGTTCACATGCCCGTGGGGACATGCCCTACGCTTCCGGGCCTCCTGTGTGCTCTGAGGGGGCCAGCTGCACTCACCTATGTGTGACATTGAAACTTGGTGTTAAACAAGTCTGTTACCAACAATACTTCTTTCGCATGCAGTCTTCTTTGTCTTTGTTCACTTACACATTTATTTACAGACGTATTCACTAATTCACTTATACCAACACAACGCACTCCCAAAAATTCGCTCAGACCCAAGAACCGAATTCCCAATGGGCTCGAACCTCTGCCCCGGACTCTATTCCCCTTAGAGAGAATGATAGGTCTCTTTCCTTTCTTTCTTCCTCTTTTTTTTTTTTTTTTTAATTTTAATTCTTCTGTAGCTAACACACAGCGTTATATGGACCTCAGAGTTTAGGGTTTAATCAAAATCCTTGATTCATATACCCCAGAACTACTCATCATTGATCCAAGCTTAACATTCTTTTTCTTCATTTATTTATTTATTTATACATCGTGTATTGATTGTGTATGCATTACTTATTGATTATTTCATTCATGGCCTCACTGACTGAAAAAAAAATTACTTCCTAGGAATCACAAAAACCCACGGACAAGATCTTTGAATATTGCAGAGCGCTGTTTACAAGCTTATTTCCCACAGAGCTACTAAACGAGAAATCTTTTTAATTGGACCTCAGTGCTGCACATATGGATTAATCGATAAACTTGCTTCATGCCCATCCCATGCGCGTCACTGCTCTCTGCTTGCTCGTCTTTCATTTCAGTTCTTCATATTTTAAAAATAGTGCCCTGAACCTACCATTTGACTCTATGACTAGAATCCTGACAGTACTTTCTAGCTTCCCAGGTGCTGCCTTCTCAAAGGCTTAACAACCTAGATAGCTATCGGTAGAGCATGTTCTTAAAATGGGGTACAAAAATGAAATGGAACACTACAGCAGCTGTGAAAGTCAATGCCAAACCCTCAGACTTTGTTTTCAATGGATCTCAATTATCCTGAAATGGACAATCTTAACCCAGGGTTCATACATATCCCCAGTCGGGGTCCATGCGTGGTGTGCTTTGGTTTCATTTCTATGTCCACGGGCCATTCCTCCTTTAAAACAATACCATGGACCACATGAATGCCCTCCAAACCAAGAATACAAACTCTGTCACTTACGTGAGTCACTTTGCTTCTCAACCACAAAAGTGGCAGCCAAGATCTTCATCACGTGATAAGGGATAAGTCAGATCAGGTTTACCGAATCTGTGGAGTAACAGGCAGATTTTAGAAAATGGAAGAAGCAGTATGGATTTAGATTTTCTTTAAGACACCTTAGTTCTACTGTGCTAGATTTATCATAAGTCCCTTTTTTATCATATTCCCATTATTAGCCCACAAATGATCCTTTTTTTACTTCCTGACTTTAAATTTTTTAATGTTTATTTATTTCTTTACACACACACACACACACACACACACACACACACACACACAGTGTGAGCAGAGGAGAGGCAAAGACAGAGGGAAACACAAGAATCCAAAGCAGGCTCCAGGCTCTGAGCTGTCAGCACAGAGCCTGATGCAGGGCTCAAACCCACGAACCGTGAGATCATAACCTGAGCCAAAGTCAGATGCTTAACTGACTGAGCCACCCAGGTGCCCCTTACTGACTTCTTTTTTTTTTTTTTTTTTTACTGTTTTATTTATTTCTGAGAGAGAGAGAGACAGCATAAGCAGGGGAGGGTCAGAGAGAAAGGGAGACACAGAATCTGAAACAGGCTCCAGGCTCTGAGCTGTCAGCACAGAGCCCGATGCGGGGCTTGAACCCACAAGCCGTGAAATCATGACCTGAGCCAAAATCGGACCCTTAACTGACTGAGCCACCCAGGCGCCCCTTTACTGTCTTCTTTATTATTAATCTATGTAATACAATGACTACTGCTATCGACAACCTAGTGGAAGAATTAAGAACTACATTTGTTCCGTATTCTGTCTATTAAACCCTAACCACTCAGGTCCTAGCCTCGATTGTCTTTTACATGAGTCTTTCTTGATTACAGTTTGGTAAATTAACACCTTCATTGCTTGCCATATTTTCAGCAACGATCCGTGCTTGGCCTTTATCAATTTATTCTGTTTTTTATGTATTTACTCATGGAAAATTTTGTGGTTTTTTTTTTTTTTTCAAAAAAAGAATGCAAAATGGTCTAAAATGCTATGAAAAGTAATTGTCTCTATGTCCTTTACCCAAAGTGGCACAGCCTCAAACAAACTCCTTTTACTTAGAGGTAGAGCAAGGGTAGAGCAAGATTAATAATTATCTTCTTGTAATAACATATTTTCCTCCTTGATACATGTTTCCCCTCTTTTAATTAATCTCTTTCTTCACTCACTTATAATACTATCATCGATACTTTGTGAAACTACCTCCCTGGACATAACCTAAATAGTATTAACATCTTCCAACCAACTCTATACCCACAGAAAAACAATTAAATGTGTTTTTCAAAAATGATGCTAATTGAGAATAATTCATCTAACCCTAACTCCTCTCACTGGCCCATGCTTGGTGTTCTTTAAGTACTTCTGTAATCAGTCATTTCTTATGTCTCCCTTTTCTCCCCTTTTCCTTAATAAAAGTTGTAACAAAATTAACAACCACCAGCCCAGAAGCAATACTTATATCTGCCTACATGTTCCTGATGAAATATGGTTAAAAAAAAAAAAAAGTATTGGACTCTTCACTGATCAGAACTGAGCTCTTCAGAAATGTCTTAATAATCATTTATTTCTCACTGGATACTCTCATAATTGGTAAAGACTTAGCCCTCATTGTCTTTATTCATAGGTACGTTTCTTTATGGACTCATACCCTGAGTCACTAATAAAAAGACCCTTAGCTAAGGTGTACCAAAATCAGAAGCAGGACACTATATCCCTAATTTCTGCCACAATTCTGTCCTGCCAAGGAAAGAAATTAGGTTTGTCTTTAGGGTGGACCTCAGAGTTATAGGGTTTAATCAAAATCCTTGGTTCAGACATCCCAGGATATTCATCATTGGTCTAGGCTTGGGACTTTTTCATCTACTCATTTATACACTTGTTGATTCACCCATTCATTCATTCACTTGTCTAAATAAGTCTAAAAATCACTAAAAATCACTTCTCCATATTCATGAATCATAACAAATCAAGAATAAGAATATAAGACAATTCCTAATGTCTGTCTTTTGTCTAATTTCCCCCAGAACTAATCCCCCAGAATTCTTTCTACAGTGGACCCACTGTTAGGCATACGGATCAGTCATTCTTCATCCAAACCCGCAGTCACCATAACCTTGCGTGGCCCTCATGCTTTAGTCTTTAAAGACTAAATTTTGTTCAAATTTTACATACATAACAAAGAAAATTCAGGAGCATCTCATTTTACTTTACCCGTAAAGTTGCATCTTTCCTTGTGCTTTTCTCTCAACATGTTAGAAACCCAACTCTTTGGGACACCTGGGTGGCTCGGTCGGCTGAGCGTCCAACTCTTGATTTCAGCTCAGGTCACGGTCTCACGGTCAGTCATGAGACGGAGCCCAGAATCGGGCTCTGCGCTGACAGTGCATGGGCTTCTCTATCTCTTCTCTCTCTGCCCCTCCCCCACTCACACACGCATGCCTGCACTCCCTCTCTCAAAATAAATAAGCTTAAAAAAAAAAAACAACCAAATCTTGATCAATGGTGGAATGTGTAAATAAGGGATGGTGGACTATAAAATGAAGAATTACACAAATGAAAAATAAATGAAGTGTCTCCTTTGACCTTTTTTAAAAAAAGGAACTTGCTTAATACCCATCAATGTTAACTAACTAAAATTTAAATTAAAAACTAATAAAACAGAGGCACCTGGGTGGCTCAGTCGGCTAAGCAGCTGACTTCAGCTCAGGTCGCGATCTCATGGTTTGTGGGTTGAGCCCCACATCAGGCTCTATACTGACAGGTCAGAGCCTGGAGCCTGCTTCGGATTCTGTGTCTCCCTCTCTCTCTGCCCATCCCCCACTTACACTCTGTGTCTCTCTCTCAAAAATAAATAAACATTTATAACTTTTAAATAAATAAAATAATCAAACAAACAAAAAGACCTTGCATGTTCAAAGTTAGATTAATCTGAAATTTTGTTTCATGGCACATTTCCCAAGTGCTCATTCTTGAGCCTCTTTTCTGTATTTGTCTATTTGCTTATTTGTTATTTAATTTGATTCATCATGGATTAACTGATGATTTATCTATCTTTTAGAAGAAAATTAACAAGAGTAAATCTACCAGCAGCCCAAAGTGAAATAATATGACATGAATCTGTCTATCAACCTGAAATACATAGGGTGGAGCCTAGCCTTTTTGTTTTTTATAAGGATACTAGCAACTAAGACGGAATTTATCCTAACACTTGCTTAAGGAGTTACATCCATCACAGGTCTATGATTTGCCCCCTTTTAATTAACTGAATGTGCCATACACATATTCATTCATTCCCTTACAATCCCGAGCTTGGAATCTAAAGAAACTGGTCAAAAACTCTGAGTAAAACTAACATCTGTCCACTGGTTCATTACCTACAGAGGCAACCAACCAGATCTTTGTGGTTGTTTCAAGAACTCAGTAAAAAACTGGATTAATCATAATTCCTATCATGCGACATAATCTCAACATTGGTCTTCTTCAATTTTCTTATGTATTTCTCTTCTTCATTTCTTCTTTATTTCTCACATCCTTTTTAAGGATGGACATTAGGGCTTTCTTTTCTTAATGGACTTCAGTATTTCCAAAACATATTAATAATACTTCTTGGTCCATGTTACACACTCATAACTGATCCATAGTTGGCCTCTCCTTTCATCCATGTATACATTTGTTTAATGATTTGCCGACTGACTCACTTACTCAATAATAACATAATCAATACCCACAAGCCTCTAAAGTCTAAGATTAAGACCCTGTGATCTTTCTAATCTCTGATGACAGGCTCATTTCCCACAAAACTGAGATTAGGCATTTCTAGAGGTGGATTCCACTGGTGCCCATCTGGATTAACCCACACCTTTGCTCACAATGCTGCCTTCACCCAGCACTCACCATGCTTCAGTCTCTTCTATCTAGTTATTGACTCAGCTACTTGTTCATGCAGGTCATTTTCTTTAAAAACAAAAACGAAACATTGGCAGTACACTGACAACTCAATACAACAGCATTGATTACTATACACATCTATTCATATGTTCATTAACCATGGGGATTAACCACTGTACATTGTTTTGATGGGTTCTGGTGCTTCAAAAAAATTTTTTTAAATAACGTTCACTTCAAAACATTAATATTCAGTGTGTGCTCTTCCCTATTTTTCTCATTTGTTTATTCACTTTCCATTGATCCATGAATTGGCCAATAATAAATCAATATCCATGGGACAGAAAAACATAAAGGTGGGGCACCTGGGTGGCTTAGTCGGTTAAGCGTCCGACTTTGGCTTAGGTCATGATCTCTCAGTTCGTGGGTTCAGGCCCCGCATCGGGCTCTGTGCTGACTGCCAGCTCAGAGCCTGGAGCCTGTTTCAGTCTGTGACTCCCACTCTCTCTGACCCTCCCCTGCTCGTGCTGTCTCTCTCTCTCTCTCCTAGCAGTAAATAAAATATTAAAAAAAAAAAGAAAAAGAAAAACATAAAGGAAAAGATCCTTGACTATTTCTACCATTGAGGCATAGCAGTGCCGGCCAATAAAACATAATGCAAGTCACCCAATAACTTTTCAGTTTTCTAAAGTCTACAGTTTAGAGGTGCCTGGGTGGCTGAGTCAGTTAAGTGACTGACTCTTGCTCTTGGCTCAGGTCATGACTCATGGTTCATGAGCTGGACCCCCACATCAGGCTTTGCCTACTTGGGATTCTGTCTCTCCCTCTCTCTGCCCTTCCACATCTCTTTCTCTCTCTCTCTCTCTCTCTCTCTCTCTCTCTGTCCCTCTCTCTCAAATAAAACAATAGAATCTACATTTTTAAAAGTAAAAGCAGGTGAAATCAATTGTAATTAGTACTTTAGGTCAACATGTAATCTACAAAGGCACCTGGGTGGCTCAGTCACATTGCGTTTCTGACTTCAGCTCAGGTCATGATCTCAAAGTTTGTGAGTTCACACCCCGCATCAGGCTCTGTGCTGACAGCTCAGAGCCTGGAGCCTGCTTCAGATTTTGTATTTCCCTCGCTCTCTCTGCCCCTCCTCTGCTCATGTTCTGTCTCTCTCCCAAAAATAAATCAACATTAAAAATTTTTTAAAAAACATGGAATCTATATAAATACATTTACTGAAATATTTTACATTTACAATATTTATATTTTTGGACTGGATCTTCTAAATTTAGTATGTATTTTTAAAATAGATCAACATCTCAAGTCGGACTAGCCACAGTCCAGGTGCTTGGTAACCACCTGTGGCTAATGGCCACTCTATTGGACAGCACATGTCCACAGGCTAATTTCCCACAGAAATTATATGCTATATATCTCTCTATAAGGGTCAACAGCAGATGAGCCTATCAACATGTTTGCTACATATCAATCCCACACTCATTACTGGCCTGTTCATACTTCTTTCTTTTAATTCTTTTGGATTTCAAAAATAATGCAATGAACTATTATGAATCCACCATCATTCAGAATAGAAAACTGATAATATCTGTCCATCTCTCCATGGACCATCGTCTCAATCAGTTAACAGCATAGAGCTTTTGTATCAATGGGGAAATGTTTAAATCAACAGTGGTACAATATTTAATATTGGAACATTAAAATACCAATAATACAAGTAAAGGCTTTAGCGTATTCTTAATGAAATTAAGTTGTATTGAATTGTATTCAAAATGGTCTTTGGCTCATAGCACACTTATCACTGGTTCATGCATGGCCTCCTGTGTTATGACCAACATACGAGGTTATCTGTTTCTTTTAAGTAATGCAGTTAACATCCATGAGCAAACCATTCCAACCAAGAACAAGAAATCAGTCACTTACATCAGCCTCCAGGCTCCTTGCCCACAGAGGCAAGCTGTTTACCATTACACATGGCTACTCAGCTCTAGGCATTCCTTCTATAGAACAGAAATCAGGTATTAAAAAAAAAATGAACGATATTAGGTTTAAAATTTTTCAATTAATGTTAGTTGTGAAATACCAGATCATCCATAATCCTTGCCTTGTACCACATTGTCAACATGGGTCCCCAAAACAGCACTCCGTTTTTAATCACTTTGATTGATTTAATCAATTAACGGTGCTCGATTGTTATTTTGGTGAGCACCATAAAACTGATTACCTAAAATAAGAATGATGACCATGACCCAAAATAAAGAAATAAATAAAAACTCCCACTATTTTCAAATTCTATGGGCAAAAAAATTAAAAAACCAGAATGATGACCATTACCAACACCTGTCCTTATTCTTTATTTCCTACACAAGTGACAGCCACACTCAGGTACATTTTCCCAGTAGGGTTCCACACTGCTCTATCTCCTGTTCTCCAGGGAGGTGTGGAATAGTTCCAACACAGTATGTTTACCACATGAAGACGGATAACCTATCTCTAGAAGTTTCTGCAGAAGGAAGAGTCACATCCAAACCAGAAAGTGAAATGATGGTCTGGACTTTGAACTGAAGCACTGACTGCATAGAACCTGAATAATCTCAATTCTGGGATAATGAGATATTATTGTCATAGGCCCTTGTTTGCCATTTCTTGTTTTATTCCTTAATTTGTTCATTCATTCATTTACTTATTTATGAATCCCCTCAAACAACTTTCTAGCCAAAGATTTAAGAACATCAATCGTTACTTACATTTTTTAATGTACCTTATCCATCCAAATAAGATTCAAAATGCTCCTAAATATTGCATGATTAAATGAACTATGGTGTGTCCATTCCATGCAACAGAAAACAACTGTTAAGAAAATCAACACCCTGGATCATGTTCAATGGCGTGTATAGAATTAAAATAATCAGCCTTAGTTTATAAAACACTATCCTCGTTTGTTTACATTTGGCCCTTTTTAATTTTATTTAAGCCTTTAAAAAATCATAAACCAATATTTATGAATCTTACCCAACAAACAGAAAACTACCAATATCTATGTCTCTATGAGCACCGCTTTCACAGAGTTAGCACCTCAAATTTATCCAGGTGGGAGTGTCTCTATAAGCCATAGGGTATGAATTAGTTAGCAAAATGCTATTAAATTAGATAAAATAGCATAGATCTTTTTTTGTTTTAATGTCCTTCAAATCTGCAGGATTATGTAACCATAAATCAAAGTCTTGTCTTCATTAGTCGGTGTTTAATCCTTTTCTATATTATTTAGGCATGCATTCATTTATTTTTAACAAATCAATAAACACATATGAACTCACCACTCAACCCAAGAATAAGAAAAGGCAACAATTATACTTATATAAAGAGATATCTATGTCCTGTACACATATACACATATGAACAATTAATATATATGAATATAATTGTTTCTTTTCATTTGCTCATTTCCTACACAGATAGCAGTGGTTTACATCAAATAAGATTCAGCACGTTGGTTCATGACAATCTCTTCATCGGTCTATGCCTGGCCATCTTTGATTTTATTTGTTCCCATTCGTGTTTAATGATACACGCACACCCATCAGCCAACCACCCAACTTACAACACCTACCATCACTCCTGTTGGCTGATCCATGGCTCACTTCCCACAGAGGTCACAGCCAAGATCTTGATCCACAGAGCGTCAGCAGACCCATTCCAGGGCTTCTGTTCTGTGGGACACAAGGCAGATGTTAAAAAGGATGAAACAACCCAGGAATTTTTGAATGGCCACCAGGTGAGCAGCACAGGACTACATCACAATTCGGTTCATGACACAACATCACCACTGGCCTAAGTATAGTTCTCATTGTACACATTTTCTCATTTAATAATTTTATAATAAACGTGCATGACGGAATCACCAACTAGAATGACGCCCATTAAAAGTATCTGTCTCTATGCTTCTTACTCACAAAGGAACCAGCCCCGATCTTCTTCCTAAGGGACTCAGAGACGCAGAGTTGAAGTAATAACAATCTGTGATTCCAGGTATAATCGCTACATTGTTTCCTACTTGTCCCTTTTACTGTTTTTATTTTTTTTTAAATCCAATAAACACACCAGGTCAGCACTAATGCAGAACAAAAACTGCGATCAGTACTTATATCAGTATTTACACACCAATGCTTCTTATCCACAGAGCCAAGAGCTTTGTTTTGTTTTATGGTTTTAAATGGTCCACAATTATACCTAAGTGGATTAATCTTAATCCATAATTCATAAACATTATCGTTGGTGGTTCATTATCGGCCCTATTTTGTTCTGTCACTTATTTTATTTACTCATCTAATCATATTTAACTATAGAGCAAATACACTTGAATCCACCCTTCAGCTCAAGACCGATGACTGCTTTACTGGATTGTTAATATGCTTCCTACCACTACCCCACACCTTTCAATGTACTGAGCTTTGTCTCTGTTTTTTGTTCTCTAATAACTACAGTTGCACAGAACAGATTACTCACAAGCCTTGTTTAAAAACACACCCTCATCACTGGCCCATGCTTGAACCTCTTTAATTTTATTTATGCATTCATACATTCTTAACTATTCTGTAAAATCCGTTAAGTCCCACCTACACCCATCCACAGTTTCCCCCGCCCCACAAAGATCTTTCCTCTCTAGTGGAAACCCCACTGTGCCCATTCTATGAAACACAAAGCCCTGTTACAAGAAAATAACCTAGACCTTTCTTGTTTGTTAATGTCAGTGTAGCAGACTGGATTAATCATGATCTTTTGTGCAGAATACATTCTCACAATTGCTGTATTCGAGGCCTTTTTTCCGTTACTTATTCTTTTATTATTTTTAATAATAAAACTAATGACCACAAACCACTCCAATCTCTTTTTATGGCCCTCAGTTGTGGAGAATTAACCACGATTCTTGGTTCAGGGTCGCTTCTGGCCATTGCCCCAGGGTTGTTTGTCCACCTCTTATTTGACAGATTCTTAAAACCCATAAACAACCACACATGACCCCCAACTCCACTGCCCCTGCTCTTAGCCCCTTGCTGCCCTCCTTAAATGGTCACTCCCAAATCTCCTGAGCACCCCCCCTTTCCCTTCCGTATAGATAAGACTTTATCACGCGTATTTATTCTTTACAAATATCTTCCATGGGGCAGTGGTTCGCAGGACCTTTGTAGGGATGGTAAAAGGACTCAAGCCCAGATCCCAGAACTGCGGGCGCCATCTTTATGTCACATGACTATGTGCTCTCCATCCTAAGGCACAGTAGGTAGAGCATGAGAGCCCACATCCCTCTGCCTGTCTCCAGATCCAGCCTCAACCCCGGACAAGCTGGGCAACATCAGGAAAGTTAACTAACCTTTCTGCGTCTGTTTCTCCATCTATAAGACAGTCCCAGCCCTGATCCCTGAGCAGAAGTAGCCATTACTTTTCACACCAAAGGCAACCAGGCAAACTCCCCCACCCTCCACCCTGTCTCTGAGCCCCTCACCCAAATCTTTGTTCCCTCTGTAGCAGTGCCCGAGCTGTGGTGCTAGACAGACAGACAGACCAGGTTCCACCCCAGCAGGCACTCATGAGCTGTGTAACTGCAGAGACGTGACCTGGCCTCTCTGTCTTGTGCCCCGACCTGGGCGATTTGTAGACTGAGGACAGCGGCACCCCCGTGGGTCCAGCGTGAGGGTGCAGAGAGCTACCGACAGTTCCTCAAGCAGCTCCCAGCCTGCACAGCCCCCTCCCCGAGCCCCCACCCGCCCACCCCGCTGGCCAAACATCGCCCCCCACACCCACATCTGATTAGAGAAACAAATTATCTGGATGCTCAGGCCAAGCCGAGGGTTTCGGGAAGGACGGGCCTCGGGCAGGAAATTGTTGGGATCTGTTCTTTTTTGGACTCGGCATCAAAGCTTAAACAAGTGCCCTGGAAAATAGAAATCCATCTAAGGGATGCACTTTAGGAAACTAAAATTCATTTCGTGAAAGGGGGCTGCCCTCAGGGGAGTCTCTGCCAGGAGATCCTTGATGTTCAAATCGTTTCCCAGAAACTACGAAGCCTTCTGCTCTGACCCTTACTGACAATATCGCCAGTTTCCTGCCTACCCTCCCAGACTGGCCTGGTAGGTGCCCAGCACGCTGCCCACAGGGCAACTCTGGAGACATGAAACGTTAAAAACAAATTAAATTTAAAACCGTACATATGTTACGTACACGTGCGTATGGTATAATATACACATAAATATATCCACCTGGGGACTTTCCTAAGGGAGTCATGGGAAGACCACCGGGCAGGGAACCCAGCCTCCTGCCTTTGCCTTCATCGCACCGCGTGGCCTACGGCAAGGCCTTTCCCCTCTCTGAGCCTCAGGTGGCAATGATCCACCAGTCTGCCCTCCCTCCCAGGTGGTATGGAAGTTTAAGTGCAAGTTCCCTCCAAGCGGCGGAGGATCATTAATGTTGTACGTCCTGTACCCAGCACGTAGTGTTCACGACATGCCTTCGCATACATTATCTCGCTTGATCCTCACAGCAGTCCTGTGAATTAGACATAATAATCATAATTAGCCAATATTGATTGAATGCGTACTCTGCACCAGGCACCATGCTGCCTGCTTTGCATGCGTTGCCAGTCTTCTGGGGTGGGTACAACTCAACAACACCTCTTTCTTTCCCCCCACCCCAAAAGTTCTGCGCACACGTTTTGTGCCAGGCACGGGTCTGGGTCCTGGGATATAGCAATGAACCAAACAGACAAAATCTGAGAGCTAATATCCCCTGGGTGGAGACAGGACAGACAGTATTAAAAATAAATAAGTACAGGGGAGCCTGGGTGGCTTAGTCGATTAAGCGTCCGACTTTCGCTTAGGTCATGATCTCGCGGTTCATGGGTTCGAGCCCCGCGTCAGGCTCTGTGCTGACTGCCAGCTCAGAGCCTGGAGCCTGCTTTGGAGTCTGTATCTCCCTCTCTCTCTGACCCTCCCCT